TGCTCTGCTCTCTCGCACACATTTCTGATGGATGGAGAGCAGCCCCCTCCCTTGCATACCCGATTTTGCATGGAGTTCCACTCTGGAGGGGGGGAGGAGGAAGAAGAAGAAGAGGAGGAGGAGGGGCGTGGATTCTGGGGGAGGGGTGTTGCTTGTGGGTGTGCGTCTGTGGGCGATTCGGCTTTGCTCTTTGAAACTGGCTCAACTGGAGAGATGAGCTCTCGCTGGCCTGCCATTCGTCTTTTTTTTTTTTTTTTTTTTTTTTTTTTTTTTCATATTATTTTTATTATCAATTTTTCCGTTCCCTATGTCTTCTTCCCCTTTCCCTCTGCTCTTCTCCTCTCAGGGTATCATTGTCATGCCCTTTTTTCTTTCTTTCCCGGACGTCTGATATGTGAACCCACTCAACTGCGTTGTTCTCTTGCGTTGGGGCCCTTGCCAGCTCAGAGGACAGGGGGGAGGATCCGCCCGCCTGCGAGAGGACTAGGCGGTCCGTGGGCAGATCGCATTGGTACGTAGACAAGGCAAGGCAAAGCAAGCAAGGTCCTCTTTTCCGTGGTCACGGTATGAAGTCACGACGAAGGGATCCCAAGTTCCAAGTTCCAGTCTCAGACCTCTCGGGGCCGAAGGGTGGTGGTGGTGTTGGTGGTAGACTGATCTGCCGAGATCAAGCGCGAGCGAGCGACCAAGTAGTAATAGTAAGTGAGTGACTGAGAGAGTCTGAATGAGCGAGGGCCAATGCAATGCGAAAAGAGACCCTTGGGACGATAGTAAAAAAGAACGGGGATTCATCTACCAGAGTAGTAGTACGAATTACACCCAATACGACTGAGAAGGATGAGACAAGATATGGGGGGGTCCCTTGGCCAATGCCATAAGAGTGATTGATACCGCACCGGCCAGTCAGCACATGCGACCTGAGCTCAATGCGTAGGATGAGACGGATAATACACCCGACATTCTCTAGAAGGCAGAGCAAAAAAGGGCCAGATCGGGCACCAGCAAAGATGGTCCTCGAGGCTGACTGAAAGGTGGCAAAGACGGGCAAGGACGACGAGTGCATGGGAAGAGCAGAGGCCAACAGCTGAACAAGCCGTTGGAGGGCCTGTCATGACAATGCTTGTACGAAGTGATGATACGCTTCCGTTCCGTCCTTCGTACAAAGCATGAAGTATGTCAATAAACATCGTGAGTGTGTGTGTGTGTGTGTGTGTTTGCTGCTCGTGTGTGTGACGAGGACCAGGATCAGCCCCCGGTCTTCATTCCCTCTCTTGTCTCTCTTCCATTCAGCCCCAATCGTGGTCGCTTGGTGCTCCTTACAGCATAATATGAGATGACCATCACATTTGGAAGCACTGCCGTCAAAGTCGCAGCCACAGGGATTCTGCCGTGGGCAGAACGAGCGTAATGATGGCTCGCTCGCTCGCAAGGACTGTCGTACCGCTCACTTTGTTGTTGACAGCAATAAGAATACCAGCAGCCTCCCAGTAGGTCTCCCGTAGCATCGCCGCGTGGGCTGACATGTAATACATCTTGCTGCAGACTGTCACCCTCGCGTGGTTGTCAAAGATGCTTCAAAAAGGAAGGTCTGAGCTCGTCAGATATCTCAAGACGTTTGGCGCATGATGGTATCGCTTGGCCAACCTGCCGCTCACTCCCTGGGACCCTGAGGCTGTTCATCCCACGCCATGTCATCTTTGTGAGAGCGAGCAAGCAGGCGCAAAGTACGGCAAAAAAAAAAAAACGAAAGCCTGCTGGGCCGACTTCGTGCGAGTAATACAAACAACGTAGTGACACGTTCTTTAGCTTTCCCGCCACAGGCGCGCTTTGAAGCACAACGACCGGGGGAAGCTCTCGCGGCATGGTCCTCTTCGTACGTACGAATCGTCCACCTGACTTGCCGCTGTGATGAGCGGTAAGTGTTTCCAATGAGGCCCTGGAAAACACGCTTCTTACAGCAGTACTAGAGTCTCTTTCTTGTCTCTCGTCTCCCTGCTTCGTGCGGGCACGCTGCCGTGCGAACTGCTGCCTGCCATTATACAGACGACATGCGTACGATTCTGTATGTACGTAGCCAGCGTTGACACATTGGCATGTATGTACGTACAAGCACAGTAGGTCCCTGCTGACGTACATGTGCATAGAGGGCTGATCTGTCTCGCCAATGCATTGATTAGCACTGCGCTGCCTGCACGACGGGATTGGTTGAGAGAGCCCCGGAACCCCGTGGGAGCACGGGGAGCGCCGAGCTTCTCCAGCTCGACCACGACCACGCATTTCCACTTCATGCGACTTGGAGGCTCGTTGCTGGGGTTGGCTTGTTGCAACGGCGAGCAGCTCTGGCATGGACACAAAAGGCCTGCGAATTGCCCAGCGCTTCGATAGCCGGCTGGAACATGCGCTCCTCTCGCTGTGAGAGATTAATTGTCCAGCCATGCCTCTCCAGATGTACCGGTACCGGTGACTCTGCGCTGGGCGCGGAGACGCTCGCATAGGCAACAAGTGCGGGCTTGCTGGTCGTGGCCAACGTTCGGGGACCCATGTTCGGGTCCATCACACAAACGAGCTGTTCCGTAGCCGAGATCCCAAGCCCGGAGCTCCCACGAGACACAACCTCCCGCGTGCTGCCAAAGGCACAGGAATGGCACAGAAACTGCCAACTGGCGGGGAACTCGCAGTGTGCCTTTCGTATGCCGGCAGCAACATCAACGTGCTTCGCGATGGCATCGCATCGTATCGTACAAGATGCTCCGGAATCTGGTGGGGGACCTTGTCTAGTGATCTGCAGCAAAGCGGCCCGGAAGCTGGTTGTGCGCGGCCCCCGTCCATCTGACAACAGGGTCGCCGTGGTTTTCAGTCGAGCGACTGCGGTCCAGACAAAGGGCACAGGGCACAGGACCTTGCACGCGCGCGCACAGAGCAGAAGAGCTGGCATGAAAGGTTTCGGCTGACCTCTGCAGCATGTACCACCGGAGTGTATGTACATACAGCATAGGTAAACAAGCAGGCACACCGGCACTTGGTACAGCACGAGGTTAACGCTGCAAAGCAGGTATGATGCGCATAAGTGCGGCGAGGCAAGATGCCATGTAAGGTGCCGTGGTCCATAATCTGGTAGGGCCAAGCACAGGGCCAAAGAAGGGACCCCGTAGGACGGACGGAGCCTGCGACAGCCGCGATGCTTGCAGAGTTGACCGAGCGGCTGGCTGGTTGGTTGGTCGCGCTGCGTGCCAAACTTCGTGCACGGTCGCGGTGCGCAGTTTTACAACCGGCGCCGTTGTGCTCGTCTGGCGACTTGTGCGGAGAGTTGTCGTGGACAAGGCAATTGGTCCAGGGCAGAGCTCAAGGGCGGGCAGTCGACGAGAGAATCACGGCTGCTGAAGGCGCAATCACCGAACCAGCCACCTCTAGGGGGGAGGGAGTTTGTCTCCCTGAGACGGGGCCCTTGTCGCTGCTCAACGCTGATATGCCGCTTCGTTGCGCTCCGTCATAGACTTGCCAATCGCGTTGAAGGGCGAAGGGGGCATAATGAGACCAGCCGCGACCTGGTCAGGGTATTACACTGGTACAGTCATCTATTGGACGCACAGACTGCACCTGCTGATGAGCGACGTGGCTAGTGAGCAGGCGATGCCTTCATCCGAATAATCATGTGTCCAAGTCTCCATAAGGAGGATCTCGTTGTGAACTCGCCTAGCAGGCGAGACGAGAAAGATTCCATCTGCGCAGAGCGATATCGCAGGTCGATATCTCCATGAGAGGATGATAGGATGAGGGCTGACAGCGCACATCAAACGGTCTCGGGCCTCAGATGCTCCACTGAGCCAGTAGCCTGCTTGTCTAGTTGAATTGTGTAACCACCGTGGAGAGGAAGAGAGGGACAAAAAGAGGCCAGAGGCCTGGAGAAGGACCACTCATGCGCTTATATGGCGTGTTCAAGGGTACCATCTCGAAGAGAGCCTCTGCATGCTGCGCGCGAATCTCACTTCAAGCGCGCATCTCGCATGCAGCTCGGGGCAACCAACCGGCGCATCACTAGGCAAGGCGCATCATGGTGCTGAGTGCATTGCATTCGACGATGAGCGGCTATGCGGAGAGGCAGCTTAGGGGTCCTTGGGTGTCAGTCCTCGGGATTCTTGGGGTCCTTGGGGTGTCTCGCAGCAGGCTTGCTGTGGGTGTGGGGGACTGGCTCTTCAGGGGATCGGCCCTGCGTGAGAGATGCGATGCTGGCCATCTGGCAGAAGCGGGTGGCGATGCGGAAGCAGCTCCTGGTGTAATGGTGGTGGTCTGTTCACCCTCGCAGGAAGAGCAAGCTGAGACATTTGGAAGCGCTGGCCCGACTTACAGCGGACTTTTGTGGCGATGTTCTGGGCCGGGAGTCTGGCGGTGGCGATGCGAGGAACGGGTAGCGTCCATGGCTGCGGATGCCCTCATCAGCGTGAGAGGCCGTCTGAAGGCTCTGCGGGCGGTTCCGATGCCGAATTCGACGATGTTGATGCTGGATTTTGTGGGAGACGGATGGGAGGAAGTTGAGGAAAGATACACAGATACAGCAGGGAGTCATGTGACCTGGCGTCAGGCAGGCGCCGGACAGTCGTGACAGCTGCGGCAGGTCTAGCGGCTCAAACGCGGTTGAAACGCGGTCAAAGAGGGCAGAATGGCGCCGTTTCTTCCTTCTCCCTTTGGTGAAGCGAAAGAGTCTTCTCAAGGGGTCTTGGACAGGGCGAGCAGATGAGCATCTTCTCTCTCTTTCTACATGATACTGCGATCTGCTCCAGCTGCATCTACAGCTGCATCAACACCTGCAGCTACAGCTACAGCTTCAGCTTCAGCCACAGCTAACACCTACTGCACTGCACATACTACCGGGTGCAGCTGCTAGTAGCCCTGCCCCATCCATATGCACGCCATCTCGACACGATCCTCCCCTCCTAAAGAAGCAAAGCGACATGTCACCCCCTGACGGCAACCCCCTGTCCCGCATCTCCGCCACGCGCCGCTTCGATCCTTGGAACTCGTCCGCCACTGGCCACCAGCGCGCAGACACGCAGCCCGGCACCGGATGGAGACACTCGCGGACCAGGAAGCTCAACAGCCAGTTCGGCGCCGGCGACGGTTCCGGCGGCAAAAGGCTGAGCGATACCTGGGGGGCGGGGGCAGAAGACGCCGGTGCTGGTGGTGATGATGCCGGCAGAGGCAGAGGCAGAGGCAGCGGAAGGGGGAGGGCCGGCAGGATGTTAAGCAGCAGTGTGCAGGATGGCAGTAGCAAAAAGAGCAGCGTCATGGACATGCTGACCCGGCCCGGTCTGATGCGCCAGACGCTGGAAGCAAACCAGCCGAAGCAGGCAAACGCAAGAGACAGCCACGATGGCGAGTTCATTGTCGGAGACGCCAATCTCACAGCCGAAGAGCGCTTGATGCAGCAGAGACGGCTGGAGGACGAGGACAAGCAGAAGCAGGCACAGGGAAATCCCCGCAAGCTGTTCGATGGAGTCACCGTCTACGTCAACGGCAGCACATTTCCCCTGGTGTCGGACCACCGGCTCAAGCAGCTCATCAGCGAGAACGGCGGCAACATGTCCCTGAATCTGGGCCGGCGAAAGGTCACCCACGTCATCCTGGGACGACCCAATGGCTCGACGGAAGGGAAAGGTCTTGGCGGTGGCCTGGCTGCCACAAAGCTGGAAAAAGAAATTCGCAAAATTGGTGGCTGCGGCGTCAAGTTTGTCAGCGTGGAATGGTGAGGTTGCCCCTTGTGTATACAGAGGCTCGCAACTTGTCTACTAATGCAGTATATCAGGGTTCTACAGAGCATCCAGGAGGGACGGAGGCTTCCCGAAGCGCGCTTCTCCAATGTCAAGATGGCCGCAAAGGCACAGAATAGCGTCTATGGGCTGTATACCAAGCACGATGCCGCGCCGAGATCCATGTCGTCAGACCCTGCTCCTTGATTACTGTATTTCGACCATGGGCACGCCACGTGTATCCGATTGGACAGCAAAACAATTTGGATAACAAACATTTCATCATGATTAACAGAGACCGGGGGGAAGTCCTAAAGAGAAAGAGAGAGATAACCAGCCTCTCACATTACACCGATACGAGCTCATGATATATCATCTCTCATGGGACACAGAACCAAAACATATCCCCCACGCAGTGCAAGCACGAAACCTATGTTCAAGGAAAACTATCAAAGAAGTAAGGGCAACAATTTCAATCCAGATGGTTCGGAAGGAAACTTGCTCATGCCTCAACATTTAACTCCCTCGACGTGCTACCACCCCTGCTATATTCTCGCCGATGAGGAAAAAAGAACGAAATCACACCAAAAAAAAAAAAAAAAAAAAAAAAAAAAAAAAAAAAAAAAAAAGGACAAACCAAGGAATTCAGAACGTTTGAGCAACGATCTAACTGACTTGAGGCCCTGTCCCGGGCTCACAGAGCGCTCTTCACCCCCCTTTTCTCCCTTGCACAAGAACCGCTTTGTTGTCTTCTATCTTTCCGAAGCGGTGGCGGGCTTTGTGTTTGCGTTTGCATGAGCAGTACTCGCACCCGCAGGGGTCTGGTGAATCTTTCTTCTTTTTTTCCCCCCCTCCTTTTTTCGCTTTCTTCCAACGGAAGTGAAACTGACAGAGGGGAATTTGGGCATTGGATTCGTGCGTCTGAGCGCCTCGGGCCTTTGGAGCAGCAAGGACGCCGACTTCATCTTGCTCCTGTCAGTAAAAAGTCTATCGTCTTATTAAATTATCACAACTCTCGGCGATACTAGACTAAACCATCTACAATTCACATTCTCTTTCTCTCTGACCCCTGAAGAAGAAATAACCAGTCACAGCATACTGCTCAAATACCCCCCCCATGGCAATCTCCTCACACCAAGATACCTCCCCCCCTCCCCTCCTTTATCCATCCCGTGTCCCACCTCCGCCGTGCAACTCCATGCCCCGTCTCCCGCCTCCTCGACCCCCCCCCCCCCTTCCATGTAACAAACCACATGCAGTCAGATCACCAGTCACAGCCCGCCTCAATATGTCACAAGACTAAAGAGAGAGAAGAAAGAGAAAGGGGAGGGGATCATAGATATTAGAAAACTAGACACCGATCCGCAAACGCAACTGCCGCCTACGATAAGGAAAGCTGCCGTACACACGCACACTCCTAGAGGAGAAAAAAAAAGGGGGGGGGAGAGCGCAACTTCTATTCCGTGCAACTGTCTGGCCCGTTCTATCAGCCTCTCCGTCCAGGTGGCGATATCTTTTTCATCTTTTCTGTTTTTTTTTTTTCTTTTCTTCCTATTTTGCTCTCTTGGTTATTCTTACTCAAATACTTCCCATTTCGCTGGCAATGGTGGGACAAGGACGACGTTGCAAGTCTGTTTCGAGTTTGAGGGGATACGAAAAGAGGGGTGGGATTCTTACGATTATATTCTTATACTCAGCAACGTTTGATGGATGGAACTTTTGGGTTTTGTTCAAAGGCAGGAGAGAGATAGAAAATGAACGAAAGTGAAAAATATAGAATGAAGAACGAAATGAGGTACTTTCGAGAGGCTCTTGAGGGATTCCAGTGACCGACTTGGTAAAGGTTGTGATTCTTGAGAACAGTTGTCGCGTACGTACGGCTTGACGAGCATGCGAAAAGAGTGCCCGCCTTTCTATGCTGAGTATCTTCATACCTCGTTCAGGTGGCTTGTATGTTCAAAATTTGCGCTTCATGCTACTGAGCGTACAGTAGATATCCATCGATGAAATTGCTTAATCCAAACATAGGGTTTCATCAGCCATAGTTCCAGCACCTGGACAACTTTGTACATGTCCGTACATTTCAAGGCCATTAAAGCTTCGCCTTTATTCCGTGATCCTCGATGGCGGCATGTTTGTTGCCCACAGCATCGAAATACTCCTTCACCTTAGCCCTAGCCACGTCCACAACTGCCGCGTCTTCCACGGTGCTAGGCACCGCGACTTCTTTGTCAAACTCGCCCTTGGTTGCATTCTCCAAAAGCTCTCTCAGGACTCGTCTCAGAGTCTTGCCGGAGCGTGTCTTGGGAATCATGCCCTTGCCTTGGATGATGCCGCCAAGTGAGGCAATGGCGCCAACCTGGTTCCTCACCAAAGCCTGGATCTCGGCAGCCAACTTTTCGTCAGGGACAGCAGATTTTGGGTGATTGGGGGTGGAGAGTGTGATGAAGGCGAAAGGCAGCTGGCCCTTGAGGGCGTCAGGAACGCCCACGACGCAGGCTTCTGCCACCTGCGGATGCGAGGTTACGGCTTGCTCGATACCACCTAGAAAAAGCTTGTCAGTTGCTGTACCCTCGGGTCTACAGGATACCAACGTGAGAGGAGAGACAGAGGCATGCCATTACAGGGGTAAACTCACCGCTTGACAGCCGATGCGCGCTCACGTTCAACACATCGTCATTGCGGCTCATGACATGAATATAGCCTTCCCCGTCAATCCAACCCGAATCCCCCGTATCCAGCCACTTGCCCTGGAATCTCTTCAAGTAGCCCTTGTAGAAACGCTCCTCATCATCCCACAGAGTGCGGAATCCTGTTGGCGCCAAGGGCATGGCCAGCACAATGTTGCCCATGGTACCTCTGTCGACTTCACGGCCCTCATCATCTACGATGCGGATGTCGAAGCCAGGCATGGCTTTGCCCGCGCTGCCAGGCTTGAGGTGAGGCGGATCATGACGAGCCTTGGTCCTGCGTTCGTGGGCTGCGTGGGGAACGAGAGCACGACCAGTCATGGGAGAGCCGGCCTCAGTGGACCACCAATTGTCGACGACATGAGCTGAAGGCGCCGCATACTTATCCAAGAGCTCCTGATACATGGATATGATGCTGGGCTCCGACCGCTCTCCTGCTAAGAACAGGGCCCTGAGTGAGCGGAGGCCTCCGCGCTCACCGACCTGGGTCAAGAACTTGTTCTCGGGATCATCGCGCTTGATGGCGCGAAGAGCCGTCGGTGCAGTGAACATGGTGTTGACTTTGTATTCTTCGACGATGCGCCAGAAGGCGGAGGCGTCTGGCGTCCCGACTGGCTTGCCTTCATACATTACACTGGCAGCGCCGGCGAGCAGCGGTGCGTATATGATGTAGGAGTGGCCAACAACCCAGCCGATATCCGAGGCGGTGAAGACAACATCTCCAGGCCCATGAATGTCGAATAGATAGCTTATTGAAAGATGCAGACCGACGGCATGGCCTCCAGCATCTCGGAGGACACCCTTGGGAGAACCTGTGGTACCGGATGTGTGAATGATGTAAACGGGATCAGAACTCTTCACAGGAACACACTCGGCCTTGATTCCTCTTGACCGGGCGCTCTCTACAACCTTTTGCCAGCTTGCCTGGCCCGAGCTGCGGTCAGTAGGTGTCCAGGCAGTCTGCTCCCGCTGCCAAACGAGCGTCCGGCGCGGTTTGTGCTTGGCAATCTGGAAGGCCTCCTCGACAAGTGGGCGATATGGCACGGGAGGCTTGTTGCCCTCAATGCCGCACGAAGCCGTCAAGAGGACAACGGGCTTGCATGAGTCGATGCGCTGAGCGAGGGCATTGGGGGCGAAGCCGCCAAAGACAATGGAGTGAATGGCACCAAGACGGTTGATGGCGAGGACGCCAATCAAGGCCGCGGGAATCATCGGCACTTGACTCAGCGTTAGCAACTGACCAATACGCTTGTAGAGATAATAGGAGTTAGGCAAGGAGAAGGGTAGTAGGTAAGTGAAGTATGAAACAGAGGAAACTTACTGTAAAGCATGACTACATCGCCTTTGCGCACGCCATCTTCCCTCAAAGCTCCGGCAAAAACCTCCACCTCGTCCAGCAGCTGACGGTATGTAAATTTCTGCTTGGTCTGAGTGACAGGGCTATCAAAATAGACGGCAACCTCGTCACCATGGCCAGCCTCGACATGCCGGTCAACGCAGTTATAGCACGTGGAGATCTCGCCGTCCGGAAACCACTCCCAGCTATCGTGCTCGACGCCGCTCTTGAGCTTCTTGGACGTGAGCTTCAGGACCGTGCTGGGCTTCTTGTGCCAGAAGAGATGCTCGGCCTGGTTGGCCCAGAACTCCTCGGGATTCTCCAAGCTGTGCCGCAGGATGTCATCCTGGACGTGGCCCCCCTTTCCAGACATGGCGCCTCTGTGGGAGAAGGGCAAGACAAACGAGACTGGCGATTGCAATCGACGACAAGCTGGGCGCGTAAGGAGACGCCAAACGAACTGCCGCGTGAGCCTCAGACTGTTTCTGTGCCAATGCATGAGCTTCTTAGCGTCAGACCCCAGATATAAGTAGTAGCCAGTAGAAGAAGCCCAGGCAATGACCTTATCCTCGGCAATGCAGCCCCTCGAGCTCTCTGATTACTAAAGCCCGTGGAAGCGATCACGAGCCGAGTCATGCACAAGGGAAAAAATGGAGGCTGAATGGCAGCAGAAGAAAGAAAAAAAAGTGAGACGTCGAGAGAGAGGCGCGCGGGCAGACAATCCTACGTAACAGGAGTGGTCGCGACACGGAAGCCACGGTGGAGCTCTGGCCTCTTGCCGCACTTTGGCGTGAATAAGGGGAGGCAGGAGCCGGGGCCCCGGATTCACCCCGCTTTTCGTCGCTCTTTCCAAGGCTTGGGCTGGGCTATCGATAGCGGATGGTTTGCAACCTGACCGGTAGAGCTCGGCAATGCCAGTCCGCTATCGCCACTTGAAGCATCGTTGCAGGCAATTCTACTATGGGGATAAGGAAGATTTGAAAGGAGCAAGGCCGGTTCGTAAGATCAAGGTGCACGCTAAACGTGAGATCGAAGGCTATGAATGCGGGGTAGCCGTTGACCCGGGCTTGAAAGGAGCAATAGCATTCATCCTTACTGGGTGAGAAGAGCCGGCGCTGTGATGGAGACGACATTGAAGTAAACCTTTGGTATATCTTGACAACTCTTGTATATGTGCTTTAAGTGTACCTCTGTTTCCCCCTAGAGATGATTGTTGAGTCTTTAACTGAGACGTCTGTCTCTACTCGACACCATCCCGTCCTATGACAACAGCGTAAAGTTTTACGAAATACATCATGACTGGATCAGCATGTGTAGAACCGTTGTGCAGAATCGCCTCACTAACACTTGGCTGCCATGTACACGACAAAATCTGGCTTGAATAGCGTAAATGCCGCGAGATATTCATCATAGTCCCAGCAAAGGTCCAAGTAAGCTACCTCTATCACCAGCTCGGGCACAAGCAGCATAAAAGTGAACCTCAACCGCCACTTTTGAGCAAACCGCCAACAACAAGCGGCTCAATATCTGAGACGACCTGAAGCCACCTGGATGAACATCTCGACATGGACAAATCGCGTCCCTCCATTTATCTCTATAGGTGCACTAGGTACCTGCTGACCAGTAAGATGGTTACCTAGTAGGTACCAACCAGCAGTTACCGGTGAGTCGGTAGAATGGAAGGGTAGAGCGAACAGGTAAGGCGCAAGATCACACTACACACACTCTACATTCCAGTGTCATACGACCAGTAGATTGTATCACATCCGCGGGAATCGCGACACTATGAGAGCCTACCTCGAAGATACCATTACCTCCCACCACATCGGAGACAACAAACACCCTTGATGCAAACCCAAGCAAATCCCACGAGTCAAATCACGATTCGAGGCAAAGAGAGAGAGAGAGAACTGTGAAAAATATTCTATGTGCTGGGCCAAAACTGCCCTCCCAGAAAATGCTTGCTTGCTTGCCAACTATCTACGATAGCTAAGCTCGCCGGCCGGCATTTCGAATATTGACGAGAGGCCATAAACACGCCCAGCGAAAGTATGTATATATATATGTGTGTGTTGTATGAAAGAAGGCCTTGCGCGATATGTAGGAAGCTCCATCGCGACCAAAGGAACGAAAGTTGAAAAAATCTGACAAAGGAAAAGGTGGAATCGGTTTTTTTTTTTCTCGAGGCCGGAGGCGTTCTTCTTCTCTATGAGTTGTTCTCGATTGTCAAAATAGGGCGAGGGGACGCGAGGGGGGTAGAGGTTCATGGCAAACCCCAAAATCCCTATTTGCTGGAGAAAAATTGGCACATTATATTCCGGCCCCGGGAAACGACCGCACACAAAAGCGAGATGTGTAGCGCATCTTTCCCTGCGGGCGATCAAAAAAAAAATCGAGTTCCCTTGAACACCGAGCTTGCATGTCCCGTTAACCCAAGAGAACCCATTCTCTATACATCCCAAAAAATTGAATATCGCTTCCCCCCATCCCGTCGACGTAAACCAAAAAAATAGATAAATCCCAACACTTGGTATTTCCCCCTTATATCAGAATCATGAACGGAGGCCGAACCCACGACTTCCAAGAATCGTTGAACCAAGAAATCGTAGACGGTATATTGGCGAGGTGTCGAAATTTACAAGATTTACAGGACGAAAGCGGCCAGACCGACGATACCGGCCAGACCGGCACCGGAGAGGACGGCCTTGCTGGCACCGCCAGTGGGGACGGCGGGAGGAGCGGTAGGGACAACACCACCAGTGCTGGCGGGAGGGTTGCCACCGGCAGGAGGAGCCTGGGTGGGAGTGGTGATGGTGGAGTTGGTGAAGGCCGGGGGAGCACCGCCGTTGCCGGAGGGGACAGCACCAGTAGGAGCAGCAGCACCGCTATGTGGTTGTTAGTCGGCGGACTTGGATTGCTTTGGATCCGGTTCTCGTTGCTGTCAAGGACTTACCAGGTGTAGCAGGCAACGCTGCTGGTGACGGTGACCGGGCGGGTGATGGTGCAGGGGCAGTCAGAGATGGTCAGAGTGGTGGGCTGGCGGTTCATGTTAGTCCCGTGTATCCTCTGTCGATGATCAGGAATTCGGTCGGAAGTACCTCAGTGACGGTGTAGGTCTTGGAGCCGTGGGTGATCTGCGTGGCGAAGGGGCAGTAGGTGGTGTAGACATCGACGACCTCGGTAACGACGGTAACGTTGCTAGGAGGGACGTAGACGGCAGAGACGCCAGCGGCGGCGAGAGCGACAGCGACGGTGAACTTCATTTTGTCGGATTAGGAATTAAACTCGAGGGAGCTTGATTAGGATTATAGATGCGGAGGTTGGTTAAAGAATGAAATTGACAAAAGTGTCAAGGTGAGTTTGTAGGTGCTTAGCGAGCGTGAGTGTGGTGAGGAAGGGAAAAGGATCAAGACCCAGAAGGGCTGTGGAGGAGACGGGCTTTATAACCAAAGTCTGTGGGCACGGAGCGAGACAGACTCGGGTGGGAAAGAAAAACAACAAGAAGAGCAAAGCCAGGGGAAGCTGCCAGGGGGTGTGGCTCAAGGGAGAGACAACAGCCTGGCAACCTGGCTGAGAGTGGGTGGGCCATGATGGGGTCTGTGGATGATGGGGGGGGGGGCAAAAGCAGCAGCCAAGGCTGGGGCCCTTGCTCGGGGGCTCCAGCTGCAGAAGCAAGACAAACAAGCACGAGCAGGACCAAAAAGCAGCGCAAAAGCCCAGGGATCATGGATCATGGGCCTCGAGGGCGCCAGTGCGCGATGCAGGGGTGGACCGTGATGGGGCCAAGATGGGCTGTCTAGAGGTGCTTGTGGGATACTACTAGGTAAGGTTGTATACTGTGCTAGAACTGGGTAGTAGAAGGTCGATGCTAATACTAGTAGGCAGCTCCAGACGCCGGAAAAGCCACTCAATCAAAGGAAACGCGTGGGTGGCGCCTTGCTGCCGTGTTTATTTTAATCCGTCGAATGAGGTGCTGCGACGGCGAGATTGCCAGTTGACTGATTGTGCCAGACGGTGCATTGAAGCCGCCGGGCAAAGGCAAGGGACGGTGATGAGAGAGCGAATGGACGCGACGGTGTCGATGGGTGAGTGTGTGTACAAGGTCCAAGGTCCACGGGTACATTCAGAGAGCAGGCGCCTTGCCTGGGCTTGGTTGTACCTGAAGCTGCAGGCAAGAGAGGCATCAAATTGGAGTCACTCCTCGTACGAGCCCACCGGCAAGCCAACCTGGAAACCCGACGTCTCCTCTTTAGGTACTTCTCCAGGCACAGGCACAGGCGCAAGTAAGCTTCTTCTCTTGATCGACCCGACAGTTCCATATTGGGTCTCGAGGTCTCTCTCTCTCTTCTCTGCTGTTGCCCCGTGCTCGCCCACTCTCACGCTCTCCTGCTCCGTATCTTACGCCAGCCCGCCCGCCCGCAACAGGGCCCCAGAGAGACAGACAGACAGAGAGACGGTGGACAGGACAGGACTTGGCGATGATCCGGTCCCAAGCGGCTCCCCTTATCTTGACAGCCCTGAGAACTTGCTTGCATGATTGCATGCTATGGATGTTACAGTAATAGTATGTACTGCCACGCTCAATCGCGGTGATGAATCACGACTGGGCCAGGAAATTACCTGCTGCCAACTATTGCCATTAGCAGCGTGCTAGTTGCGCCGTCCTGCGATTTCCCCTGCTTTTGCCCCTGGCAGGCCATCTGATCAAGCATTCTTAGTGGCTCTGGGCCATGTTGGCGCTAATGCAGGAACCAAAACCGTTCTGTCAGCTCTCAAATTCCCGCCCCTCGCCGCACCCGGCAATTTTCGCACCACCAGCAGCGATTGGCACGAAAGAGAGAAGCTGGAAATCATTTGGGCATTGCTCAATGGCAATCGTTGCTGGAAACGGCTCTTGCCTTGCTGTGCTAGCTAATAAGGTAGCCATTGACTGATCTCAAGCGACGGGAAGGGGGATCTGACCTGACCTGGTGATTTGCCACGACAGAGGCGGTAGAGGCCGAGTTCCGTCAATCAATGCCGGAGAGAGAGAGGAAAAGGAGGATCGATTTCCATGCTCGCATGCATGCAGGGGTGCGTCCCTACTAGTATGTATCTCTCGCAGCTTTACTATTGTATTCCCGCACCATCAATCTCTCGCCCACCTATGGATCACTATCGCCGGTCACGGCTCCATGAGATACAGAGGATTAATCCCGCCACCGATACGAACGGATCAAGATTACGGGGGCCTCGTCTATTTCTGAGCGTTTACATACAGAGTACGAAGCACTAGTAGGACGAGGCATAAACCGGCACTTTTACGAGCAGCGCGGCTTTGCCTTCCAAGAAGAAACAAGACGAATCACGTGCTGCGTCCGGGACCCTAGAGAAGCGATGCCCTGCGAATTGCAATTGGACGGGGAAGCATGTCTGGGCTCTGCTTCTTCTTCTTCTTCTTATTCTTCTTCTGCTTCCATGAGGATTCATTCATGGATGAAGTACCTCAGGTACTTAGGTAGCTTGCCGTCCATGGCATGAAGACGCTGTTAATCTGCGACTCTGGCGGCTTTGCCACTGAATCGTGATTAAACCATTCGTTGTTCGTTATCAGTGCATCCTTTCACCTGTTCAGCCTTCCAAAGTCAACACGTAATACGAGGATCAGCAGCAGCATCACCGCCGCCGAGTCAATTCCAGCTCCCTCTGATCCACGCTGTGCTCCGTCGGTGAGCCAAAAAAAAAAAGCCCCCAAAGAGCACTGGAGCCCACTGAAGCGATCGAACGGAAGCCCTAATCCTGCCTCTACATAGCGACCTAACCATGAATCTCACTGAACGCGCAGACGTGCTGGCCTCGTATGGACCTCGATCCTGTCGCGCCGACGCCGAGTGACCCTCCGCTAATTTCCCGCCTACCCACTCTGCTTCCAGGATGCTGGCCACTCAGCGTTGGTTCTCGGATGTTTTTTTCTTTCCTTCTTCTCGGTTCAGGTTCCTTTTTTCGCTCTCTTCCTTGTGCTGTCTTGCCTTGTCTCTTCGCTTGCGGCAGCGCAAAAAAATAGGGGAGAGACACGCAGAGAGACAGCCTGCATGTCTTGTGCGCCCACGGCAAGCAAGGGGTGGAGGGGCTACGAAAGTCAAGACAGCCGGTTGTTGTGCTCCGTAGGTAGTTCTGTACGAGCATCTTGTGATGGGGGCCGTTGTTGTTAGTATTGTTTACGGACACTGTCGCCCGCAATGTGTCTCACACCGTCTCATCGACGGTCCAAAGTTGCCCGTTTTCGCTGTCGCCTGGCCTGGGGGCTCATTGGGCAACGATCGTCGAGATCCCCCCTGATCCCATCTCGATTGTGTTCAGCGATCCTGATCGACCTTTTTTTATTTTTATTTCATCTTCTTATTCTTATGGCTTTCTGCGGATGTTCTGGTGCCTCGGACGGCTCTTGCGACCATGTCTGGGCTGGCCGATCGCCGGGCACGTCGGTCTACCTTACAATACAGTATGAGCTCTGATGGCTTCGTAATAGATATGTAATACCTGTCTATGAGGGCATCCCGCTTGCGTCCTTGCACGGTATTCTAAAGGCTGTTTCGCACATGACCCATCCTTGTGCTGTTTCTATATTTACAGGTCAACACTTATCATACGAACGTTCGTGTCTTTTGATACGAAGCCCTGATGGAGTAAATTATGCTCGTACAAAGTGGCTCACTTTTCGTACAATGTCGCCACCACGTGCCCGAGATGGATTCTTCATGCGAACGTGGTTGAAGTTTTGTAGTAGGCGAAACCATTCACGACGAGCCCGGTATCCGCTTACGAGTACCGAGAGCTGCTGGCCCCTTGGCCCTCGTACTTGTAAGGATCAGCTATTTTATCATTGTATGGAGTATCGTCCTGGAGTAAAGACACCACTAGGTATCAAGGTGAAATGATATGCTGCCGTATTTACTCCTGTGATGGTGTTGGACCGGGCCAGCTCAAGCCCGCACACCAAAAAAAGCTTTGACTGACGGTCAAAGTCAAGTCCTAGCAAATCGGCTCTTCCGCGCCGTTTCGCAGCATCACCTGCTTGTATTACATGTATCACTCGGATTGGTAAGAAGCTTAACTGATACACGTACAGTACGGAGCGTGTAACCCTGCATTTTATCCTGCTTGCTCGAATCCACCCATAACGCGTTTAATTGCCCGTATTATATGCACGTAGCATTATGTGTCTTATTTGACCAGGATTCTGTGACTGCGGTGTGCGAGGAAGGACGTGAGGTTGCATCTGCCAATTTCCACCAAATTTTACGGCGACAGGCACATCTCTCAATATCTGCCGCGATAGATATCAATACCGCCTATCTCGGCGAGAAGGGCTTGTATTCCAGGGGGGTGGTGCAATGAAGGTAAAAGATAGGCGCTTGGGTTCTCCGATAAGGTGCAGGTATCCCGGCGCCAATGTGCGATAGGAGCCTTTCGAGCGGTTTGAAGAAAGGGCCAATTCGAGGTCCGAGTAATTTCAACGGTGTCGCAGCACTTCATTCAGGCTCAAACGTCTTATCGAGGCTACGGCAATGTCAATATTACCACCAGGAACCGAAGACACGACCAACTTTGTCCATCTCAACAGGCCGATGCAATTGTATGATGCCTCAAGGCCACAGCTATCATTTACAGGTCCTCGAGCCACTCAAGGCAGTGTGAAGGCCGCCGCCTTATTCTCTCCTCTGAGACAAGTCTTACATGTCACCTAATGAGCAAGACAGTCTGCGGCTCGAGTTGCGGTGATGGGTTCATCTGTGTTTCGTTCACCAACGCTCAGTCGTGACATATGACGATGACGGCCCGCATGTTTCGGTCAATGTCTGGTGCCAATTCAATAGTCGGGTAACCATGGAAACTTGTTCAGACGACGACTGTCGGGTCGTCGGCCATATTCAGGTTATCAAGACACATCTTCAGCCGCATGCGCCCTTGATCAGAACGCTCAACTCAACCAAGGACGACTCTTCCTATGTAGCTGCGGTGTCGACTCTGTTAAGGATGCCTCTCAGTCCGCCACTACTCCTCCATTCGAGAAGCAACGATATGCTTCCATCTGCTCCATTATGACAGCAAGATGGGTTGGCCAAAGCCTTTGAGTGCTTATTCCGCCCCCCCCCCCCCCCCCCCCCCCCTCCCCCGGGTTCAGAAGCCTCGCGTCTTACACCCGCCAGCCACCTACGAAGTCTGACACCCCGAGGTAAAATTTAGAGGAAGAAAAAATCCATATGGAAAATGTATCTTGCCATCTTATCTTGATCATGTTTCTTCATCTTCCGCTGCAGAAGAAGATTCTCGTCAATGGCAACATCAATCCGCGGCCTCGGCATTCGGCAAAGAATGTGCCCGCAAAAGCAAGAGAAAGAGGAGTGTCGGGATTTCTATTGCTCCAACTCCTCCTCACTTGCATTACTAATGACGTTGGAAACTGCTTGGTGCTTTTTTGGAGAGAATGAATTGCGTCGCCTCATGATTGAACATGAAAGTGGGTTTGTGACGCAAGAAATGGCCTTCGTTTAAAAGACTCCAACTCCGCGTCAACAAATATCCCGTGTCTTGTGAAGTGAACTAATCGTGTACTCCCTGACTGTAAACAACTGTTACCGTGAAATCCCATTGTCCTCTTCGTCTCATCAATAAGACAAAAACCTCCCAAAGCATCACAATGGCCACCACAATGCGCGCAGTCGGTACGCCTCTCACAAATCCTTCTTCTCATCACCAACATCAAACAGCACATGCACAGCAACTGAACCAATGACACAGACATCAAGGGCGGAAAAGGCGAACGAGACGCCCTCTTCATCAACCCCGAAACCCCCAAGCCCACCCCCGCCCCAGGCCAGGCCATCGTCAAGATCGCCGCCTTCGGCATCAACCGCATGGACATTATCCAGCGCCGCGGCTTCTACCCGGTGCCCCCGCAGGCCCCCAAGACGCTCGGCGTCGAGTTCAGCGGCGTCATCGAGTCCTTTGGCTCCGAGGATGCCCGCAACGGGTTCCAGGTCGGCGACGAGGTCTTTGGGCTGGCCTACGGAGGCGCCTATGCCGAGTACGTCGCCGTCAGCACAAAGATGCTGCTGCACAAGCCAAAGGCCCTCTCCCACGAGCAGTGCGCCGCCATCCCCGAGGCCTGGATCACGGCGACACAGGCGCTGCATCTGGTGCTGGGCTTCGTGCAGGGCAAGAGCATCCTCTGGCACGCCGGCGCCTCGGGCGTCTCCATTGCAGGCATCCAGCTGGCCAAGGCCGCCGGCGCATCGGAAATCTACGCCACGGCAGGGAGCCAGGAAAAGGTCGACTTCATCACGGGCCAGCTCGGCGCCACCGCCGCCTTCAACTACAAGACGCAGGACTGGGTCAAGGAGATCAAGGACAAGACGGGCGGCAAGGGCGTCGACTACATTGTCGACTTTGTCGGTGGCGAGTACTTTATGAAGAATCTCGACGTGGCTGCCCAGGATGGCAGTTTGCTTCTCTTGGGCACTCTGAGCGGAGGAAGGGCTCCCGATGCGGACATTGGCTTGATTCTGTACAAGCGCCTCCGTGTGCTGGGGAGCACTCTGCGGAGCCGCGATGAGGAGTATCAGGGTAAGCTGAGAGACCGGCTGGAGACGTATCTTGACGATTTTGCGTCACAAAAGCTCAAAATCTACCTGGACCTGGTGCTGCCCTGGGAAAAGATTCAGGAGGCGCACGAGCACATGGAGAATGCAAGGAATTCCGGTAAGATTGTCTGCACCATTTCTTAAGCATTTCTCTTTGGAGATAGGAGCAGTGTTGGAAAACAATATTGGACAAAGCCCTCATCAACCTTGCGCACCCCTTGCCATGTAAGCGCGACACATTTAATGTTCCTTCAGCCACTTCAACATTTGCTCGTATGCCGTGACTTGGGCATCCATAATGGCCGACTCCTGGTATTGACCTGTGACTGCAAATCCTGCTATTCATGAGATAATGACTTCACCATGTCGTGGACATGTAGACTTACCGTGCGGCACCCCGGGGTATACCTGCACCTCGTGCTCCACGTTGTCCCTCGTCATGATGTCCTCTCCAGCCTTTCGCACCTCATCCGTGAATAGAGCATCATTCTCGACACACACTAGACTCAATGGCGCTTGCAGGTCCTTGAAGTCGTCCGGGGTCACCGATGCGGCATGTGCCAGCGCTCCGGCTTTGATATGCGGCCCTTTCTTCACCATGCCCGACTCTTTATCGGCACCGCTGTCATGGGAACCTTTGGCCAGAAGGAGGACGTAGCGGCCACCAACACAGTATCCTGCTGCGTAGATCCCGCCGCCATATTTGATAGGATCAGGGTACTGCTCGTGCGCTGCTTCAATCACCTTGAGCAGTATAGGCATGATTTTGGCCTCCGTCACTCGTGCCAGCCACATATCGATCATGAAGGACTTTGCCACCTCGACGGCCTTTAACTTGATTTGCTCAAGCAAAGACGTCGAGTGGTCCGCAAAATAGGCCTCTTTTCCTCCGGGAGCTGTCTCGCCGCCAAACATGTCCGGCATGAGGACGAGAAACCCTTCAGAGGCATACATGTCGGCCTGGATCTGGTTATTGGTGGACTTGATGCCTGTTCCGCCGGTGAGAAGAAGGAGAAGCCGGGACGGTGTATGGGGATAGTCGGCTGGTTTGGAGATGTACACCTGGAGTTTTATCGGGCATTAGATGCGTGTGCGTCTATGGAAGCTTCACCCCGGCCTGGACATACGTCGATGTCGTTGAGCTTGATGATTTCGCCGGTTGATCCCTGACCAGCAGCTGTGTCATGTCAGCGATGGATGCTTGGGGATGCAGATGCGGTCGCATTACGAGTCGGTCTGTCGGTCACGCAGTGCTCATGTTGGCCCATCGGCGAGCTTTCATCTACTGAAGCGTCTTCTTGGGCATCGCTCTCCGGCGCCCTGGTCGCATTCGGAAGCTCCGTCATTGCTGCTGGAAGGGAGGATCGTATATAGTGGTGAATACAGAGGATAGGCAGAACTGATGAGAATAGCGATTAGGCGAGGGATGTGAAGATACAAGAGGAGAAGTGATGATACGGGACAGCTGACGTGTTGTTTGTACTGAGAGACTGGCGCTAGGTTCAACGTCATGCGGTTTCGAGTGAGAAAATGCGGAAGGGAACGGCCATGCTGCACTGTAACAGGAAAAAGGTACCTGGGCATTCTATAGCAGTTAGCGGAAGGTGAAGGAAAAAGTATCCTGCCTACCTTAGGTACCTAACTGGAAAGCGTAGAAACAAACCTTGCCTTATAGATAAGGTAGATGTCTTTCCTGTTAATACGTAACTTCCAGGTTATTAAGAGCCTCAGGAGTCTCTTGTTCAAGGCAATTCCAGCTCAATCTACCTACCTAGGTAGGTAGGTAAGTAGGTACCTAAACTGCTGGAATCCCGTCTCTGAGCCATATGCGTTGGGTATCTACATGTATCACGTTCACCGATATTGGTGACCCTTTACGGCCCGTTCTACAACGGTCCTCGTTGTGATGAAGTCCAGAGTTAAAAGCCACACTTGAACACACGATACAAGCCTGTAACACTTACGAAGCACATGCTATATTCATCTCATTCATACCTATTCTTCAATTGCTCTCGTCATGGTGCTGTTAAGAGGCCGACGACCAAAGGCGGTACATCTTCCAGCAAGGACCCCGCTGACCCCGCCATCACGTGATGACTTGTCCGCCTCTCAACGCGTAAAGCGAAACGCGTCGCGGGTCTGTCAGGTCTTGCGCCTGGTGCCTACAGAATCAGGTACCTCTATCGTGCACGAAATCCGCAGCTCTGTGCCGGTGCCATTCAAGCCAAGTCTTGTCAACTTCACATCTGCAGACAGACGGCATCATCACATCAGCCAACATGGACGCCGAATCAGCTCTGTCCCGAGGCTGCATCGCGTAAGTCGACTAGCCAAAGCTATGCTTCAAGCCTGCTCTACTGGACCTCTACTGATGCAAGTGTGCAGGGCCATCTTCAATGACCCCGATCAGGCCGCAAAGCAGTTCCCCGTGCCCGTGATGCAGTGCCTGCAGATCAAGCAGATGGCGCCCTCAGGGCAAGGCGGCGATAGGTATCGACTGGTCATGAGCGACGGAGTCAACTATGTCCAGACCATGCTCGCCACCCAGGCAAACCATGTCATTCACGACAACAAGCTCGAGAGGGGCTGCCTGACCCGAGTCAAGCAGTACACGCCCAACAACTTGAAGGGAAAGAAGTAAGGCAGAAACAACCAAGGCGCTGCGTCTGACAGAAGACGGCTGACACAGTGGACAGCATCCTCGTTATTCTGGACCTCGAGGTCATCGAGTCTCTCGGCGTGCACGAGAAGATTGGTGACCCAGTGGTGCTCGAACCCAGGGCGGCCGAGACGACAATTGCCGGAAACGACTTTTACGGGGCGAAAAAGGAGGAACAGGATGTCAAGCCACAGATGCAGCAGCTTCAGTCCATGCCATCAAGGTCGGCCACACACTCCGGTGCCAACATATACCCCATCGAGGCCCTGTCGCCCTTTTCCAGCAAGTGGACGATCAAGGCTCGCGTGACATTCAAGTCCGACATCAAGACATGGCACAAGCCGACTGGAGAAGGAAAGCTCTTCAGCGTCAACCTCCTGGACGAGAGTGGCGAGATCAAGGCCACGGGCTTCAACGATCAGTGCGACGCCTTCTATGACATTCTTCAAGAGGGATCGGTCTACTACATCTCTAGCCCCTGCAGAGTCTCCCTGGCAAAGAAGCAGTTCAGCAACCTGCCAAACGATTACGAGCTCGCATTTGAGCGGGAGACGGTCATCGAAAAGGCCGAGGATCAGACCAACGTGCCCCAGGTCAGATTCAACTTCTGCACCATCCAAGAACTGCAGAGCGTGGAGAAGGACAGCACCGTCGATGTGATTGGCGTGCTGAAGGAGGTCGGGGAAGTCAGCGAGATTACATCAAAGAAGGACGGCCGACCCTTCCAGAAGCGTGAACTGACCCTGGTGGACGACACCGGCTACTCGGTGCGCGTCACAATCTGGGGCAAGACGGCAAGCTCATTCGACGCCAACCCAGAATCCGTGGTGGCTTTCAAGGGCACCAAGGTCTCAGACTTTGGCGGCAAGAGCTTGAGTCTGCTGTCGTCAGGAACCATGACTGTCGATCCCGACATCCCCGATGCCTACCGTCTCAAGGGCTGGTATGATTCAGTTGGCCGAACAGACACGTTTGCCACCCATCAGAACCTGGCCGGTGTGGCCGGCGCAACTGGCCGAAAGGAGGAGATCAAGACAATCGCCCAGGTCAAGGACGAGAACCTCGGCGTGGACGACCAGGCGTACTACACGATCAAAGCCACCATTGTCTTTGTCAAGCAGGACAGCTTCTGCTATCCTGCTTGCTCTAACCAGGGTTGCAACAAAAAGGTGACACCGATGCCGGATGGTACATGGCAGTGCGAGAAGTGCAGCGTATCACACGACAAGCCAGACTACCGCTACATCATGCAGCTTAACGTGGCAGATCACACAAGCCATCAGTGGCTGAGCTGCTTCGACGACACCGGCAGGATAATAGTCGGCATGTCTGCCAACGAGCTGATGGAACTCAAGGAGAATGACGATGCCAAGTTCATGGCCGCGTTTGAGGCCGTCAACTGCAAGAAGCTGATGTTTAGATGCAGAGCCAAGATGGACAACTTTGGTGATACTCAAAGGTACGATCATCATTTAGGCTCCAATTCAAGTTGAGTGACAGCGACTGACAAGTTGTTTAGGGTGCGGTATCAAGTCATGAGTGCTTCGTTGATAGACTACAAGTCAGAGGGCCACAAGCTGGTGGAGTTGATTAAGCAGTTCAACATTTAACTGAGTTGATTATGGCTATGGTGGGGGCTGATACTGGGCGAGAGGCTGATTGACCAACGTGTCGGATTTACTGGAAGAAATACTTGGCTATTGTAACTAGTATGAAGCTGTCTCATGAAGCAGCTGGGGATATGGGAACGGCGAATTCAACGAGCTGTCAATAGGTACTGCATGTCCATGGACATACGACTGCAGCTATACACGTGATGAGTGACGAGCGAGCTGCAGAGGATGCCAAGATTCGTCAACAATCTGCTCCGTGACCAATCCCAGCCCGAGGCCGCAGTCGAACACTGTGCCTTGTGCGCCTTTCAGGCCGTCTTGCGCCTGCTGGAGCGATACTGCTCGCACTTTGTTGGTGGTGCAGTTGCTTGTCAAAAGCGGCAGCCCGCATCCAGTGTCGCCCCCTTTGCGGTCCGAGAAAGGAAGCTGGGGGATGACAATGACACGAGGGGAGACGGTCGAGTGAGGTGGTTGGACGAAGCAAGTTGGGGGTTTGCACGGAGTACTTTGGGGAGTCTACGGACCTGGGTGCGAGAAAGAGAGAGAGAGAGAGAGAGAGAGAGAGATGTGAGGGATGCTACCTATTGGGAGGTTAGGGCGGCGTGGCGCTCAGCCACCACGTTTTCCTGCTGTTCCTGGTTTTGGGGTATTGGTGAGATTGGATTTCTTTGGAGATGGACGGCAACAAGAGATGTTGCCATCTTACTCGAAATGTGACAATAAGGCAACGAGGAAACAGCGGCAGGTATTCGATGTATCGTTTGCTGGCATCACAGCATATTCTCTCATGAATCACGAGTACCTACTAGGCAGACAAAAGAGGGGGGAAAGATGGGGAGGGGTCCCAGCAGGTAGGTATTGAGATTTTTCGTCAAAGTCACCGTGACGGAGCTTGTTTCTTTTCTTAGCCCTTTTGCCGTTGGGTGTGGCAGCTGTGCTAGGCTCGCGCCGTCGCGAAAAGAGGCTTGGATGGCGGCTTTGTCCAAAATGCCTCTTGTTTTTTTTTGTCTCTTGATGGATTCACATGACGGCCGGATTTTGGCGACGGTTCTCAAACTTTGTCTTGGAACGTCACGACAGAGGATGGTAGGGTAGGTAGATGGAAGAACACATGATGCTTGGAATCTCGTAGACATCTCGCATCGAACTTGAGAGCGGCAGGACCTCTGTAGGTAGGTATGAAACGTTGCCTGGTGCTCTTGATGGCATTGGATGGATGGTGTCGCAGCGGTCCAACAGCTTGAGGGGAGTGGAGGCGGCGCTGCTGCATCTGCACTGTTTTGCATCAATAGGTTGGTCCCGCGGCATGAAGAATCAGAGCTGAACAGTCCTAGTCGTGCTTATGCCGCAGTTGTATCTGTTTCAGGGTTCGATCCATGGATATCATTGGATCCGTACGGATTCCGGAGCAGGTGCAGCAGTTGAAGAATGATTAGGTACCTACTGTAGAAATCCCATCCATCCATGATGCATCAAGCAGTCAGTCAACCTTGATAGATACAGGTACCTCTGAATCAATCAGTTACAGGCACAAGGTCCGCTAAAGCCGTGGCGTCAACGACCGACCGGCGCCATCGCTCCCGCCAGAGACGGGCCACTGGTGTCTGATTTGACGGCTGCAGTTCCGGCTAATCCAGCTGTATGCAAACAAGACGCAAAGGGGAAAGGCGACGACGATGATGATGATGTTCTTCTGTGCGAATCTGCACACCTGGAGGTATTACCGGGTATCAGGTTTTCGTATCAGGTATCAGGTATGGGTATCAGGCACGGCCTCCCAAGATGACACTGTACAACTATCCCCCAGACAGGACAGGACGTGGGTGGTGGCACTCGATATAGTATCGCCCCGCCCTCCTCGTCAGACCAGCGCAGGTTCAATTCCTGCCTCCTACATCGACATCGACATCGACACCGACATCACTCCACGTCCCCATCGCCGTCGAATCAGATACACCCATTCCAGCTGCTTCCGAACGTGCTGTACCGCACTGCTGGACGACTGCGGCCAAAGAAAAAAAAAAAAAAACCATCTCGCCGCTCCATCACCATCACCATCACCATCGCCTTACTTGCTTGCTTGCTTCTCGCCCAGCCCTCGACGAATCGCATCCGCCATGTGCCAGCGGTCCGTCATCACCGTGCCACCCCCTGCATCGTGAACCTTGCGAATCGAGCAAAATCGAGTCCTTTGGGATCTGCACCAAGGCTGGCGGCCACCGGGGGGGCCCAGCTGCTGCCACTGTCACTCACTGCCAGGCGATCTCACCAACCACCTGCTCGCGTTTTTTTTTTCTTCTCTCTTTTTCTATTTTTCCTTTTCTTCCTTTCCAAGTTTCCTCGGAACCTTGCGCCTTTCATTCGTCCTCACGCCTCGCTCTTTGTTCGCTGAGCACCGCGATTCCCTTCCTTTTTGGCTTCTTGCTCGCTCATCCGCTGCCGCGGCCAATCACCAACTCGACAGCGTCTCACTCGCCGCCTCAGCACTGCGCCCGGCCCTTTGGTGGCTAGCTGTACGGCACAAGTTTCACACCGGTGCTTTGAGACTTCTTTCATTCTTCCGTTTCTTTGGGTGGAGGAGGAGAGAGACCCCGTTGACGCAGGCTCAGCCCGGGTCTCTCAGCTTATTACCTGCGGCTGCTTGTCTTCTCGCCTCGGATTGGCCGTCGAGAGCCTGGGACCCAGCAGCACCTCTCGATCGCCTCGCAAATCACCATCGCTGGCCGGCCACTCACGAGCGCGCCGCAGTCTGATCTCGATTAGCTGGCTGCTCACCAACTGCGGCGCCCTGTCCAGTCCAGCGCATTCTACTTGTCCACCATCATGCAAAGAGGCCCCTGCCTCAACCACGCCGCCGCCACGTAGTCTGTGTGAATTATACTGCTACTGGGCAGCCTGTGCTTCCTCTACCAGCTCGAGGCCTGCTCGCAAGCCAGTGCTACCGACAACAGTTTGAGATTCGAACGATGGCGGCGCTTCAGATGAATGGCAGCCCTGTGCCTGTGCCTGTGCCTGTGCCTGTGCCTGTGCCTGCTCCTGTGCCTGAGGCTGCGGCTGCGGCTCCGCGCCAGTTCAAGAAGCACCGGGTCCTGCCGCGGCCGCTCAACGACCAGGCGCACGATGGCCCCAGGCGCAATTCCAACCTGACCAGCGGAGCGCCGGTGCCCAGAAGCTCGACGCCTCACCCGATTGTCAGCTCACAGCCCTTGAAGCACCAGCTCAGGAGGATAGGCACCGGACCTGACCTGCCTCCCACGCCGCCCGCGCAGTCCAACGCCTCCTCTAGCAGCCGTTCTGCCGCCGCCCCGAGCCCGACGAGCACCGAAGATAGCGTCAGGCTGCCGAGCGTCGTCGCGAACCGACCGCCAGCCACCCCCCCTGACCAGCGCAGCCCCCCGACGCCAGATGTCACCCCGCCGCACTCCTCAAGCCACGCCAAGGTCCCGCGTCCGAGCATAAAGGGCCGCAATACTTCGGGAAGCACCATGGGCCCTGAGTCGAGGGCCGAATCCTTCATCACCGCCCGCGAGGAAGTGACGTCTTCGGAGGACGAGGCCGGGAGGGCTGCCGAATGGCGTCGCAGGGATTCCGTAACTTCGCAAACAACCGTTACCATACCCGCCAGCACCGTTGCTATTGATGACGATGCGGCAAGCGCGACAACTCCTTCGGACAAGACGCCAACGATCCAACAAGGACGAAGAGAGGGCGACGGTACACCAAGGGCAAAGGCTAGAGCTGCTGAACCTGTCGACAGACAAGGCACAACTTTCAGAGATGGACATTCGGGGGACGCCCGCCTGGCAAGTGTGATAATGTCACAGCAGAACCAGCACCAACGACGATCGTCAAGAGTGTCTCGTCCAGTCTTGCACCACGACGCTGTCATCCAAGACAAGGTGTCTGCGGCGCCTACAGACGCCACGAAAGCCGTGCGCAACATGCAACTTGACGAGGCGGCGCCTGAAATATCGTCATCAAAGAACCCTGATGATCACAAGGCTGCCAGGTTGGCTCATCCGCAGGTCGAAGCCACGGCCAAACGAGACCGCCCGCTGAGCACATCCAGCCAAGCAACGTCAATCGTCGAGGTTGTCCTGGTGGATGGACCGCCCAAGAGGGAAAGAAAACTGCGCCATATGCGAAAGCTGAGTACCCTGAGAACTGCTGCTGATAACAGAGGCGAGACTGCCCTGGTGGCCCATCATAGGGATGTGAAAGAGGAAGCCTCAAAGGCCCCCAACATCCCGCAGAGCCCGAAACTGGATCCGTATGATCGCGAAAGCCACGCCTCAACAGTGACGCCTTCGGCAAACCCTCCACCCATCTCCAGCAGGACCGCGAGACGGGAGATTTGGAAGAGTGGCGCCATCCCCGTGGTTATCGTCCCTGATCGGCGATCCTCGAGAGGTCCCAAGAGCAGGGAGCCTTCCCTTCGATCCACATCCAGCAAGCGCTCGGACAGGTCCAAGAGCGTCAGATCTGTCCCTGCTCACTCTCCCTCGTCATCGACCAACTCAAGCTCTGGACCTGTCTTTGAACGCCCTTCTCGCCGGAGTCGGGCGTACTCCGAGTCAGATGGATCTGTGCGGACGATGGACTTTCCTCCCACGATTCCGCAGCGGTCCTCGTCACTGTCCGCCCCCACGAGTCGCAACATTTCCAGGGCTGGCTCAGTGACTGGTGTCTCGGTCACCGCCAGCAGTGTCAAGGTCCACGTCGCCGAGGTCGAGGAGCAGGCCATCTCTCGCTTCAGCCAGGAGGTGCACATCATCTGCCCTAGCACGCCGTCGCTACCTCCCGCGTCCCCAGAGACGAAGGGCCTGGAAAGGGAGGAGACAGCGAACAGCCTTGGGGTCGACCAGCACGATGATGTGCTCTCGGTGAAGAAGATTCCACTGCGGAACACGCCCTTCTCAGTGGCTTCCATGGACACGTGTGCAACGGCGCCCGAGCTGTCGGAGGCTCTCGCTATCCACATGTTTCCTCACCAGAACTCATCGGTTGTCATGGTGGACCATTCAGCCCCGGCGAAGCACGTATCCAGCCCTCCGAACTCCATGATGGCACATTTGTACGAGCAGAAACCAGCGACCCCTCTCCAGAGAAGATTCTCGTCGCCTGCGGTCGATTCACCCCTGCGCAACCCACGAGCACCGCCTCAACCGCCATCGCACCCACCCGCGATCAACTTCATTCCCGCCACGCCTTCAGGCATGACCCCTGCGGCCGAACGAGCCATTCTCCAAGGCAACTACTTTGAGTCGCTGAACGAGAAGCCTCCTCGACGGGCTTCCATCGTCAGAAGAGCTTTCAGCCGACGACGCCATTCCATCGACTACGTGCCGACTTCGCGGGCTTCGGGCTTCCTGGCCAGGGCTTTCTCTCTCTCGCGGAGGAACCGCGATGATAGCGACATCTCCCTCTACAGAGACAACGACAAGCCTACCGAGGAGGACAAATTGCATCCGTTCTGGCGCCCACAGTGGATCAGCGACGAGGATTCCGAGCCCTGGGATGATGACGAGGAACGGAGTGACGACGAGGAAGAAGAAGAGGGCGATGAAGTCTTTCGATACCCTCCCGTGGACAACCGTCCCCGAAGGCATACCAGGAGCTTTGGCCAAAGGTTGAAGCAGACCCTTTCACTCTTGCCATCGCAAGAATACCATGTCGACGACGTGCACGGACCCCAGCGCCGAACCATTCGACGGACATCGAGCGGCAATCTGCGAATCGTACGCCGCAAGGTCAGCTCCGAGTCAATGAGGCGAAGGCAGAGCCCCGGGTGGCACGTAAGCGAAGAACCGCGCAAAGGTTTCTGGCGGAGAGGAAGCATCAGCCGAAGCGGCATAGGCTCACGGCGGTTTTCCATTGGAGGCAAGCTGGGAGACATTCAGAATATTCCCTTAATGTTCAGCGAGCGAAGACGCGAGAAACGGTCACAGCGACTCCGGCAAATGATAAGCGCTCCAAAAGAGGTCCGAGACAATGTTGGCGAAGTCATCATTCGTGGCAATGGCTTGGTTCAAGCAGACACAGCTCGACGATTTTGAAACAAGTGGTGAAGACCTCATGCGCTATCTGCTGGCGTCTTGTTTTTTTTCCCTTCTTTTTCCCTTTTTTTTCCCCCCAATTATAAGTCTCTACCAATGAGGCAATGACGACTGCAAAGAACGAATGATTTGCGAAAACGAACGATTTTGAAGACGATATGATGGGACTCACGGGTAGATGACCAACGATTTGCGTTACGATAATTCTGCAACGACTGACGATTTTGACGAATTCGCCTTTGAGGATGGACTGCCACAGCTCGTGCTTGTGGCTTCTTTCTCACCTATTACCAACACAGAAAGCAAGTTGGATCGCAAAGGCTATGATATGAAGCGCTTTCAAGCGTTCAACGTCTCATTTTAATATATGCTCTCTCATCAGGATCTTTTCCTCTTTTGATACAAGAGCTACGCTTTTGAGTTACCGTTGTCTCCTTTTTCCATTCCTCTTTTTTTCTCTCTGATTGCACGTTGGTTGCTTGTTCTCCTTTCAAGTTTCATGTTGCTGGTCAATATTGGACCTTTGCACGAAGAAATACGGGATTCTCAAAGAAGGGGTAGGCTAGATTTGGTTGCCTTTTTGTTTCTTTCTCTTTTCTTCTTTCTATGAGAGATCTGTAAATGAAATGAAAGCCATTTTTTTCTTTCTTTCTGGTTACTACTGCTATCTCGCTGTCGTTTCTCGATTTGTGTTTTTTTCCGTGTCAGTGTTGATGTTGGGGTGTACTATAATTTGGTGTATGTCGAGCAGAGAGAAGAGCAAATTTGGGCCTTTTATGAATGTCGTTTCATTTCCTGCCAATCGACGAATGGTCATGTGAATCAGTCACGTTTGAAAAATTGAAGGGGGCTATGAATTGTATGTGCTTTTATGCGAATGCTGGCTGTTGACCGATTCAATGCAAAAGCTTCTTTCAAACTATTGCTATGCCTTTCCTTTCCTTCCATCCTTCTTTTCATCTACTTAAACAGGTGTATATGCTCTCCCAACCGATCAAAAGAGAAAGAGATAAAACGCCTCAATGCGCCCAATTATTACCGTCATTCCCGAAATACACATGAAAACGTCTTGCAAAGCGAACAAAAAAAAAATGTGACACAAACTAAACTTCGCACCACAAATCCCATCATCGCCTATCCTGTCCAGGCGCAGGAGGCGGTCCTCCCGCCGGGAACCCAGGCGGCGGAAACGCGTGCTGCCCCGGCGGAGGCACGGGCATGCCAGGCATACCGGGGAAGCTCGGCGGCGGGAGACCACCGGGAGCAGCAGCAGCAGCAGCAGCAGCAGCAGCAGGACCGGCAGCAGCAGCGGGGGCACCGGGCGCTCCGGGGGGAGGGAAGGGGGGCAGGCCGGCGGGCGGAGGGAAGGGCAGGCCGTTGGGGGGCATCGGGGGCATTCCGTTGGGGCCGGGAGGGAAGGGGGGCATGCCGGGGATGCCGAGGCCGCGGCCGCCTGGAGGCGCTGTTGAGATTTTTGCTGAGGTCAGAGAGGTTGCGTGTGAGAGAGGGGGAGGAGGGGATGTTGGTGGAACGTACGTGGGAGGCCGGCGGGGAATTGACCGGGAGGAGCGCCGGGCATGCCTGGGAATGGCGGAGGGATGCCTAGGTAAGGGGGGGCAGACCCATGTCAGCTCATACACTCTTGTTCTGATCTATACTGTAATCATGATGCGCTGGGCAAGAACGCCATTGTTCGTGGCGACGCCGGGGGAAGAAACATGAATGGTGATTATCGCGTACCTCCGGGGAAGCCAAACGCAGGGAATCCCTGGCCGGGCTGGTTCTGGAGAAGCATCGGGTTCGCGTGGGCCTGGCCCTCGGCGGCGTACGAGGAGGTGATGGAGTCGATGACCGACTGCGCCTTTTCGTGTCCGATTTCTATAGAGAGATGCCGTCTGCTGTTAGTGGCGAAGAGAAAGAGGAAGAGCGGCGACAAAAGGCCCAAGAGAGAGTTTGAGAGGGGAGGGGGGAGAGAGAAACTCACGCTGGTAGTAGTCTACCACGTTGCGCAGGTGGTTTCGGCCGCTGTTGTGAGCCTTGCGCACGGACATGGAGTCGTGCGTGAGGTAGACATCGCAGTAGTCGCCTTTTGAAGTCTTGAGTTAGATGGGGGGATGTGCTGGAGGGGAGCGCGTCTCGGGGTGGACGTACAGAAGACTGTTGTTGCGACAGGTTAGCGTTTATCAATTGAAAGATATAGGGCGCAAGATAAAGGGAATGACGTACATTTAGGCATCGTGACTAGAAGAAGGCTGTCGTTGCAGTCTCGCTGCTCTAAAGAAGAATGCGACAGAATCCAAAGCAGGCGGCTGTAGATAAGGAATGATGAAGCAAAAGATTCCAAGGCTGAACATCCCCCCGTTCCTTGTCTACCTAAGCAGCGACAAGGCTGCCCCACACGTGACGCCGAGCTTATCGACCAGCTACGTGATTGGCTAAATGGCTGCTCTCATCGATATTCCTCAGCCACAGCAGCAGCCCCACCCCCCAAAACGCGACACCTGTTGTCTTTCTGCGGCTGGTGCGAATTCAAAGGGAATCGAGACCCGTTGTAAAGCCAGGGTGGTCTCCGAACTGGTGGACGGAATCGCAACTCGACCTCGACGAACACAGCTCGACCCCAATTCATCATCAGCCGAGACGAGCCTCTGCATACGGCACACACACCAAGAGAGACAACCAAGCTACAGAGGAAAAAAAAAATAAAAGAAAAAGGAGGCCAATGGCGCAAACGGCCTTTTCGCCCATGCAGTGGCTCTGCAGCCTCCTGCTCCTCGCCAGCGCCGCCAGCGCCCTCAAGTTCGACCTCGTCGCGCACACGGGCGGCGAGAACCTCAAGAAGGAGCGGTGCATCCGCAACTTTGTGGGCAGCGACACGCTCGTCGTGGTGACGTCGACTGTGGACGGGTACAAGGGCGACGGCATGGTGGTCAACATTCATGTGCGTTTCCGATGAATGAGAGGAGGAGGGAGGAGGAGGAGGGAGCTGGGGAGAAGGAGAAACAGGGATGAACAAGAGCTGACTTGGAGATCGCTTGATCTCTTATAGGTCCGTGATGCCATCGGAAACGAATACGGTCGCGCAAAGGATGTTGCCGGCGAGTCGAGGATCGTCTTCACTTCGCATGCGGACGCTGCGTTTGACGTTTGCTTTGAGAACCTCATGGTCGGCCGTACGTCTAAAACCCCCCCTTTATCCATCCATTGCACTCTACCTTTGGTGCTTCGAAACATGACACAAAACTAACGCTTCATCCCTTCACATGCAGCCAACAAGCCCGCCATCAACCTCCGCACAGTCGAGCTCGACATCGACATTGGCGCCGACGCAAAGGACTGGTCCGCCATCCAGGCCACCGAGAAGCTCAAGCCCGTCGAGGCCGAGCTGCGCCGCATCGAGGAGCTCACCGCCGAGGTCGTCCACGAGATGGACTACCTGCGCCAGCGCGAGCAGCGGCTGCGCGACACCAACGAGAGCACCAACAACCGCGTCAAGTGGTTCGGCGTCGCCACCACTTGGCTGCTCGTCATTCTGTGGGCGTGGCAGATTATGTACCTCAGGGCGTACTTCAGGTCAAAGCACTTGATCTAATTAAGTAATTCGACAGGTTGGAACGGCAGGAAGGGGGGGGGGGGGATCTTGGGTTTGAGGGAGAAGCCACCTTTCTTTCTTTTCTTTCTTGCAATTGGGAGAAAAGGGGCAAGAAGACGAAGAGAGAGAGAAGACGAGCGTTTCTTAGTGGAAAAGCATTGGAGCGTTACCATTGCCATTTTGCGTAGGTTGGTATCCGGATAAAGGAGGCGGGGAGAGGCGGTCTCTGCCGGCTGTTTGTTATATCATGATGCATGATCCATTGGGATGAGGAGGATACACAAAAGAAAGTAAAACTGGGGGAGAAACCTTCTATACCTCAAAACAAGAAAATTCTTATACACTCAACATACAGCCTCGACAACATGATGCTGTGAACTCATGTCACCGGAACAGCGACTTTCCTGAACAGTCTGTCCCGGAGTAAGTCAATAACAAGACTCCAGATGCCCCAAGATGTCATTTCAAGGACGCTTCAGTAGCACAACCAAACCAAGAGGGACACAAAGATCAACTCGGGCTCACTACCATTTTCATTCCAACCGAAGAAGAAAGGGGTAGATACACATCAACGCTTCGACTATCCATCCTCAATTCTACCGCATCTCCCGACTTCTTCCTCACCATGCACTTTCTTCACTTCTCATCCATGCGTCAGATCTCACCCACCCCCCTCAATCTACCCCATGAGATGGGTATATAAAGTCCACCACACCCAAAAAGTCCTCCCACCAACCAGCCCGCCCAAAAACGACCCAAGTCTACAAAGCTCGAAAGAAAGATGGACCGAGAGAAAACAAACGCGGATTGAAGCAACCGAACCGCCAAAAGTCCCAAGCAGCCAAACCACCCGCCTACCCACGACGGCAATAAATGAAAGACAAAGAAGAAAAAGGGCTATAAGGGAAGGGCGGGAAATCCATCAAAATCAAACCGAGCGCCTTGCCGTCACGTCTCGTCGTCAGTATGTCTCATGAATTAACAAGAAAAGAGGAAGAAAAGATCAAAGCAGAGTCTGTGCAGGAACCGTGCCCACGCAAAGGAGGGAGAGATGAGCTGAGGGGCAAGGGTATCATGGAAGGAAGCAGGTATTGGAAAAAAGGCTCAATAGGATGGCTGTGATGCGAAAAACAGAGGAAGCGCCAGAAAAAGAGGTCTTTCTCTTCCCAGTCTTGTCTCATCATCCATCTTCCTCGGGCAGTATGCTGCTCAAGCTTCGCAGCACCAATACGATGGGCAGGTCCTTGGTTCCCGCCCTCTTCCTCTCCCTCTCTTCGCGCTCTTTCAACCTCACGGCGCTCAAGGCCAGTACTCGGTCTGCCTCCTTGCCCGCGACTTTGACCCGCTGCTCCAGCTTGTGGACATTGTCCGCTAATTGATCGACTTCGAATTCGAGAGAGGATTGAATCTGCCGTAACCGCGCTTGCGTCTGTGATCGTATGCTTGCGAAGCTGTTGGTCTCGTCGACAAGAAAGCCTCTGATTTTGCCTTCTTCTGGATCCAACAGATCGAAATCAGGGAGTGTGATCGTGTCTGCATTCTTCTCTTGTGGGGTGAAGAGAGGTGGTTGCTCCGGAGGTGGTTTTCGTATTGCCAGCCACGCCTTTTTCTCTTCTTGCAGTCTAGAACTGACTTAGCTTATATGTACCGGGATAAACGGACGAAATGAGACTGACCTCTTGATCCTTGCCTGCAGGGCCGCCATTTTCTCATCCAGCTCGGCATTCCGAGGATTCGGTTTCATGACAACAGGCGCTTTGGGCGCATGATCTTCTCTGTTAAACCAGTCCGAAAACTCTGATCTTGTCGCGAAATCTTTGAGTAATTGGTCTTGGATCGCGCGGGCTGGAATCAGAATGAAGTCAGCAAGCTGATCGCAGGTCAATCACATTACAAAAGCAAAAGCTCCCACCTCCAAGGATTGCGCCAGAGTTGGCAGTGCCGCGCGGCTTGGCCGACAGCGCTCGTTCACCGCACCATATCAACAGCTGCTTCATCCGCCGCGGCTCCAGCAAATCCGCTTCAATGTGCTTGTAAAACGCAGACGTGCTGACTTCGCGATGAGGAATAGCCGCCTGCCCGCTCTCAATCAGCGAGCTCGCCCTGCGTCCGCGAGACCCCAGACTGCTTCTTCGGCTCCCGTTGGCTCCCTTCTTTCGCATCTCCTTGTTCCGGTTAATGATGGGTGTGTCGCTCATTGGCAGCGCAATCTTGGTGGGCCCTGTAGTCGTCTCATGCACTGGCGATTCTGCCATTGACGCATTTCCCTCTTCTTCCTCCTCCGTCACCGGCCGTGGCGCCTTGGACTTTGCTGCCTTCTTGGTGCGGACCTGAGTGGTTGAGGAGCCATTGACCCGCGGCGGAGCCTGCTGCACCTCAAATGCAGCATCGTCGTTTGATAGCCGCGAGCTCTTTCTCGTGCCCTTCTTCGATGCCTTGGTGGGCGGCTCGTCCCGGGGCGCGTCATTTGCCGCTTTTCGTCGTGAGGAGGACTTTTTCGTTGTCGTCGTTGTCGTCGTCGTCGCCGAGATCAAGTCCACCTGCTCATCACTGCCAATCGATTCCCTCGCCGCCCGCTCCCTCGCCGCTACAGCCGCCGCAGAAGGCCTCCCTCTCGACGACTTCCTCACGGGGAGGGCAACCGGCTCCTCGGTTTTCGCCTTTTTCGATTTCCGCACAAACTGAAAATCGTCGTCCTGTTCGTAATCCGCGGCTAATTGTTCTCTCAGAGTCAGTACAATCTCGTCCTCTCCTTCAGATTGCCGTTGTATCCACATCCCCCCTCCTCTCCTCTCCGCTCCTTTCCTCCTCTTCCTCTTTCTTTCCTTTCCTTTCTCGAGCAGACATGGGGGGGTAAAAGGGCCAAAACGAACCCGGCTGGCGCTTTGATCTGCGCACTGGCTGGTCGCTCATGCTAAGAAGTTCCAGCGGCTGTCGAAGAGTTACGAGAGTCGTCATCGATGGCTTCTTCGGAAGCTCCCCTGAATAGATCGCATGAGATAATTTCCAGGAGGATGTCGGTTCTCCAGACGCGGGGCTCGTGCCTGTCGGGGGAGGGCAGATGGACGCGGAAAAGATAAGATGGTCGTCGTTTTGGGTTCCTTAAGAATGTCGCGTGCTCGCTTTTCGGGGTGGACGAGGTTGGAAGAGGGAAAGCAAGCTCCTCAGCCTTGTCGCGTCTCAAATGCCTGCGCGCGTTTCGCTCGCCCGGCGCATCAAGGTCGCGCAATCGCAGGGCGAGAGTGTCCGTCACGCGGTGCAAAAGCTGCGGGCATCCAGCCGTATCGATGATGCGCTTGCGCTGCTGCAAGTCGTGCCGGGCCGAGGGAGTCGGAGGGTTGATCGTCGAGAGACCGCCAAAGTGTTTCTTTCTCTCTTTGCCCAGCTGTGTTTACTTTTGGGGATCATGGGCGGAAAGAGGTATGGTTTTCCAAGACAATGCGCTAAGCCTGATGGGGACAGCACTACCCCACCCCCTCCGTCTCACTGACACGGCACCTGATTGGCTGGTGGAGCTTGTAAGAATGACCACCGACTTGCTTTACTAGCTGTCAATCTGAGCACTTCGATGCTCAACTCTCTCGACTACTGATACCTAAGTAGTACCTTACAGAAGGCGTATCAAAGGCGGAAAATGGGACTACCCAGTGACAAGACCCAAGATCAGTAACCCTGTTTATTAAGCGCAATACAGTCATCGATGCATTGACCCGGCTGCCAGGCCGTGTAGCTTCCGTTTCTCGCTAGCTACAGAGCATCTAACAAAGTGAAAAAAACCAAACCCGAAAAACACCAAGAGTACATCATCCCCCTTGACGGTACCGTAATCACCCAGAACGCCGTCAAACTCAACAAGGATCCGTCCTAGCCCAACACCTTTTCATGTGTGTATACCTTACCGTGCCTTGCCACTATTTACGTACATTGTAAAGGAATATCGGGGAAGAGAGAAGTGTGTGAAGTGAAGAGCCCGGGAGGAAGAGCCGGGTAATGGCCAAGGCACCGCTTACAACCACAAGTGGTGCGGGAAGGGCCGACAAAGGAAAAAGAAGGCATGAACAACATCCTCAGGATGCTGTCCAGCAACCCACCCCAAAACACACGCGTTACCTTCCGCCGTCTCTTTTGCCGTGAACCCCCTTTTTTAAAATTATACAAGGGAAATGTGTACCGGATGCATGTTTCTGCGCCGTAGACCGCGTATATGCTCAATCAGATCTCGTATCTGCCTCTCTCAGCCGAGTGGATTCTCTGCTAAGAGAAACGGCGGTTGACACCCTGGCCAGCCATGACACCCTGGGGGCCAGGCATCGGGGCAGCCATGCCATATGGGTTGATCTGAGGGTTGTAGGGCTCAACGACTTGAGACATGAAGGCTCCGTGAAGGCCTTGCTGCTGAGTGACGGGACAGTCTTTGTGGGCAAGCAGGAGAGTCTTGAGATTGACGACTTCCTCTCGCAGCTGCGTGATTTGCTGGGTCAAAGCTTCATTCTCACTGCTAAACACCTCCACCTTGGTCTGAAGGTTGGCGAGCCACTGCTTCTTGCGTTGCCGACATTTCAGAGCCGCCACACTACGGAGGAGTTAGCACGTTTCCTGCTGGATCGGGGCAAGGGTCACGCATGACGAAGAAGAAGTAAAAGACATACCGGTTACGTTCCAAGAAGTTCTTACGCTTCTCCTCGTCTGTCATCTTTGACTTTCCTGTTCCAGACTCGTCAAACTTGGAATCTGCATCGTCGTCGGAGTGATCCTCGTCATCGCCGTTGCTGCTAGCCGCGCCACTGTTGGCTTTTGTTCTCTTCGCGGGCGGTGCTTTGGCGGGCGCCTCGTCGGCTTTCCTCCTGCCATTGGTAGCCGGTGTGTTCTTCTTCCCCTTGGCTCGTGTCTGAGGCTTCTGGTCGCTTTCCTCGGACATGTTGCTGACCTCACTGACGCCTCGTCGCGGGTCTGCCTTGGCGGCCATGGGGGGCGACGTGTTCATGGTGGGCGGAACCACAGGGGCCGGTTGCGCGTGTGCCGCCGGTGCCGACGTGACTGTGAATTGGGGAGTGGGCTGGGTTCCGTTCCTCCCTTGGGCGAGCATGTAAAGGCCGTTGGCCGCGTCGTTGTCGTGAGGGTCAAAGGGACCGGATGCGGGCTTGGCTTCGACCTTGGGGATGACGGGGACCGAGGTCATGTCTTGAGGTTGAGACGTGACTGGCTGGGGCTGCGGTGCCGACGCTTGGGCTTGGGCTTGGGCTCGGGCGAGGCTGTTGGCCTGCTCCCGCTTGGCGGCAGCGCTCAAGGCCGTTCGGTGGAAGTCGATGGTGTTTGGAGTCGCGCCGCCGCTGGCCAGCTGCGCAAAGAGTGCAGAGTTGGGGCTCGGGGCCGGGAACATAGACCCGCTCCCACCCGGTGTCAGTCCGGTGCGCAGGGAGGACTCGTTGGGCGTAGGGAAGCCGCCGCGAAGGTGATGTGTGTCGCCGAAATAATCGGTAGGGCCAGACAGCATCGCTGGGCTAAGCGGGCCGGTCCGCAAGGAGCCTGGGCCCCAGTTGAAGGGAGTCGCGTTGCTACCGGGAAGCAGCGACGAGGGCGAGGTCAAGGCCGCGACGCTGGGCAGCTTGGTTCCTCCGGGCGTTTCTGGTCCACCACCCCCAAACGACTGCTCAAACGGGTTGGGCTCCAGGCTGAGGGAGCCTCCGGAAACCTGAGGCGCAAAGTATTCACCGGGAGTATTGGATCCGGGTTGGGATTGTCCTGGTCGAGGCGGCGGTGCAAGCGGCTTGGTCGCCGGAGCATTGGACACAGCGTCCGGCTTGGTAATTGAGTCGATCTTGGCGCTGGCGACGGAACCTGTTGAACCAGAGGGCTTTGTAAGTCGACGGTGACAACAGGCAGGAGTGGCGATGGCAGCGGCAGCGACAGGACAATGGGAGGGGATGATGGCAGGGGAATTAATGGTGACGTTGTTGCTGGTGCTTGACCGAGGCCGGGCAATTGAGTTCGGTGACGACCCCTCGGTCGTACTTGATCCGGGGGAGGTGACAGCGATGACGAAGGCGTAGGAGCAGCGAGGGCAATGGAGAGGTATGACGATGCAGGAACAGCCAAGGGGGGGGGAAGGTTGAAGAAAAATTAGGAACGAGGCTTACCTTGCCGGGTTGGGGATGCTTGCTTAGGGGACTTGGACTCGGTTATGTTGGTGACGGTCGTCCCCATGATGACGATGAATTATATCAATCAAGGAGACAGTGCAAAAGGAATGGAGGGCGAGAGAAGGACAACCACTTATGTGGGGGAAAACGCAGAGCAATTGCGAGAGACGTTGGGATTCCGGGTCGAGAGAGGTGAGAAAGACCAAATCTGGATGGATGAGGTCAGAGGCAGGCGTAGCGCGGAGGCAGAACTGAGGCGGTGGATAGCTGGGGCGCTTTTTGCTTTGGCCGGCGCGTTGCTGTCAATGCTTTTGCGTGTCCCTTTTTTCCTGCTCTTCTCTCACTTGCGTCAAACTCTCCAGCAGCCCAGCGCGGCAGTTTTGCGTTTTTGCTTCTGTCCTGGGAGGCAATTCTCCTCTCCTCGGGCCAGGCAGGAGTTGGGGAGCCGCAGTAGAACAGGCCGGGCTCGGGTAAGAAGAGACGAGAGAATAAGGGACAGAAAAAAAATAAAAATAAAAAAACAAGATAAAACAGAAAGGGACCAATTCGAGGCGGCCGCGAGGGCTCCCGGATGAACGCTGCAAATCACGAGAGATGGTAAAACTGATGCTGGACGAGCTTCGGGCGTGACTGTCGAGGCGCCTAGGCTGCACAAAGAGCTATTGCTGGCGGGGGGCGCGGAAGGCTGCGTTGCGAAGCTGTAACTGAGGAAGAGTGAAGAGTGCACGATGGAGGAAGAAAGACGTCAGAGATGACGTTGTGAAAGACGAAAGGCGCAGAAAAAAGAAGGCGGGCGGCGGCGGCTCTGACCCTTCTGGGGGGGGTCCTGCTGGCTGGGCTGCTTTGGGGCCCTTTTGGGCATTGTGAGTGGCCACCAGCGCTAACGGCCAGGGTGCGATGAAAACTGGAGCCTGCAGAGACTTTCCATGTTCGCTGACAAACCCTGGCCGGGGGCCGCACTGTGCGGGACGCAAGAGGGCATCTCGCGATTGGGGGGACGGGTGGTGTGAGCAGTGCGGATGTGGAAGCTGGCACGCACTGGGTACGTGCTCTGGACGGGCGGCGAGGTTTGGTCAAGTCGAGGCAGCTTGGATTGGATGAATGGATGGACAGGCGGGATGGTGATGGTGATGGGCTGCACTGCGCTGCACTCTCAGTGCTGTGTGCGCCGTAACTGCAGGACTTGTTCGTACTGTAGGTGCTGCAGATGCATGCCTGGCGAGGGAAGACGGAGGAGAGGCAGGAAAGGCGAGGTATGCACGTACATACTGTACTGCAGCAATTGCACCACCACCTTCAGAATGTCTCCATCCAGCGTCAAGGGGAGGGGACCAAAACTTAAGAGACAAAAAAAAAGGAAAAAAAAAAGAGGCCAGATGCAGCCAATCGAACCACGCAATCTGCTGTATCCGTGATACGGGCATCTGGGAGGTGGCAAGATTGAACGGAGCACCTTCGTATGTGCACTTGTACTGTATGCACAGTGTCAACTTGAGCGTGTCTGTTCATGTTCAGGGGTCGGGATGGGAAAACCAGGAGCAACAGCCGCGCGTTCGGACGTGCTGCGAAGACGAAACGGAGCATCATTGCTGCTAATATCGACAGTTTCCGGTGCAAGAACGAGTCAAGCGGCAACGGAAGCCATTCCCGCGTTGGGCTCATCGCGCCCTCACCGAATCAGTCTATTGCTGCACCGTCTTCAAGTTGTTCTCATCTCCGCGTGCCTAAGGTGTGTACAGTAGAGAGAGCTACTGCCGGCAGAGGCACGGAGGGCGAATGGACGGAGCATCTTTGCAGCAGATGGCAGGTGAGAAGAGATGAGTCCGCACTGTATGGGCTCCGAGGATGGATGCGCTGGGGGTCGCTCTAGCGTGCCACTGGCGAATGCGGTCTCAATCAGAGCACGGCTCGGAGGTGTGCTAGTAATGTGCAAGTTGAGTTGCTGCTGCGAGGGATGGCTACAGTACTATTGATGCAGTGGGAACAGCAGCAATGAGTTAAAGGGCTGTGGGGCGCTGCTGCATGGACACCCCCGAGCGAAACTCGTGTGTATTTCGGATGTACTTTTGATGCTGGTGGTGACGCCTGCCTTGCGCGGAGAACACTCCCGTATCACAGGTATCTGCTACACCTGCAAGTAAGGTACTCGTAAACGGTGGACGATTTGGGCTTCATGTCTGCAGCGGGGGAACGCCGCTTTCGTCCTGACGGATGCACTGATGCGAGGGTTCATTCGCTGCACGGGGGGCTTCGAGCAGGCCGTTCCTTGGTACAGCACAGGACTCGCTAATCGGCCGAGACGAGACGCGGATGGCCCAGCCATTTGATCGCTACTACCAATATCTGGCAAAAGCCCAAGGCGTCCACCCGCCCATCGTCTTGGTGTCTCAGTACTTCCCTTCCAGACACGACCACGGCACTTTTCCAAGTCTCTTCCAAACAACGTTTGGGCCCTATTGAGTTTCGCCTCACCGACTAGCAGCCGATGGATGAGATACCCATTCCCCCCCTGCCGGACTTTTACATAGTCCAGAGATGGGCGACGGAACTGCTCCCTCTGCCAGCCCGCGGCATGTGGCAATCTGGCCGCCTCCGTCTATGTATTACTGGTGCGCGACTCGAGTCGAGACACACACACACACACCAAGACAGGACCACCTCCAAGATTGCGGCAACCTCTCATGCATCCGCGCTGGCCTCTGCGCAAGAGCTAGCCAACCAGCCAGCAAAGGGGGTTGAGGACCAGTCTCCGTCTACTCATCTCCGTCGTCTCGGCCGTCCTCTTATCGTTTTGTTACATGGGAAAGGATGTGATGATACCTACCCATCGAATGGTAGGTTGCTACAGCATTTGGCAGCAGGTTATTCAGTCAACCTGTGATGGAACAACAGGCTGGGTGAGGTTGAAGCTTCATTACGTCACAATGTCTCTCGTGTCTCCCTCTCCTCTTTCTCAGAGACATTTCGTGCCTCTCCCAGGAAAAGCAGAGACACGCAGACGCTGCTTGCAATGGATGCGCGTCTTCCCACTTGCCCGATTGGGTCCGCAGCTGCAATTCCTCTCCATCCCAATGCCCAAGCAGACAAACACTGGGGAGAGAGAAGAAAAAAAGGAAAAGAGAAAAAGAAAAAAAAAAAAAAAAAAAAAAAAAAAAAGAGGCCCAGCAATCCTTCATCACACACGAACCCCGACACTGACACGGACCATCAATCAAGAACAAGCACCTCGACTTGATTCTGCCAGCGAACCAGAGCAGCCCGATGGCCACCGGCCCAAACTTCGCACACAGTGTAAGAGGCGACCCCCTGAAATCGTCCCGCTCGGCTCCACTTCGTGCCATCGTCCGTGACACTGTGCCGCGACTTTTGCGTTTTCTGGTCCGTCCAGCCGCTTTCCTGGCGATTAATTGGTGAGCGCCATATGATCGGCCGGTGACGTCAGCATTGGAAAATTGGGAAAACAAAATTATAAGGCAAAATTGCAGACTTGAACAAGGTCCCGGGCAAGGAAGGAAGGAATGGGCAAGAGACTGACCCCGGCTCGACTTGGAGGACTTGCCCGAGAGCGTTGCAGCGCGTTTGCGGCCAAGAAGAGCTGCACGCATTTCACTGAGGTGCTTGATGAACAGACCCGACGCTTTTGGATGCCACAGGCTGCTGATCTTCCTCCTCCGACTACTACTAACTAGACCCGGCCTTGCTTGGGCTGTTTCTAGGTCTTTTCCAGTCAACACACGCCCTGCCTTTTGTTTTGGTAGCCGTCAGGCCGTCTCGCGCATCGGCGCCACGGCTCCACCACGAGGCTCAGGACAAGGCCGGGCTATGACGCACTTTCGCCAAGCATCGTGAAACATGGGCCCGAGTATCAACATCCTGTGCGCGTTGCACCGAATTTGGGGGGCTCAACGACACGCGACAGCTGCTTCGCCCGTCACAGCATTCAGAGTCTGAGAGTCGACCTCGGATTGGCGTTGCGTGCGATGCTCTGTCACGAGGTGCGTCGAAGTGTGCAGAGAAGTGCGTTCATGACAACGGTGGAGACGTGTGATTGGGCCTTGCTTGCACGAAGCAACAGCAAAACACAGCTTAACAACTGAGGCTCCCAAAGAAAGATGCTCAGGCAAGCCCATACAGCAGATCACCGACCACTGTATTGCTTCAAACCACTGCAGCCCCTTTGTTCGGAAGGCTCACCATCTCCCCGACATCTTGTCCTCGGAAGAGTGAGAGGCCCAACCTTGGCGATCCCCTCCAGCCCTCCTCTCCAACGACAAAGGAACCCACAGCGCCTAATTCCGAGCATCAAGACGGATCGAGATCTTCCCCAAAGGCTTTGTTTTCCCTCTCCAGCCCTCTGGCTCTGCCATCTTGGCGGCCGTGCCTGGTGCTCATGATGACATGATGATTAATCCATCTCGTACCTTCGCCTCGCAGTTCTTGGGGCGGAATCACGAAAAAAACGATCTGCGTCTTGTGCTTACTATTCGAACCCAAGGCGGAGGGCTAACGTGCGGAGTGCGTGCATGCTGGCACTCCAGCCATGCAAGAGGACTCATTGCGATTTGTTGGCCCTGATACGATCCCTCTATCAACCAATATTGGAGAGGCTAACGAGTGAGACACAGATGCATCCTGATGCGGTGCTGGGGCCTCTCCCCAGCACCGGCAGGATGGGTGGTGTCCCATTCACCTGAAGCCCAGTCTCGGAACGGATAGGCTCTTTCAGGTGACAAGATCTGATAATCCGGTTTGAGAGGTGGGAAAACAACCGGATGATGCAATCTTGCCGTTATTGAATAGATTCATGGAAGGCCTTTGGGCTCGTGGCCCTGCCGGTCGTAGGCAGCCGTCAGACGCTCTTGCTACTTGGGGCATGAGTTGGGCATTTGTCGTGTTGTGTGGACGGGGCCGGACCTTGAAGGATTTGCAGTTGGGTGAAGAAGCTTATTCGAACGTTGTGACTGGTGATCATCGCTTGAAGTTGATGCTGGGTGCGAGGCTTGTGTTGGGTTGTACGGGCTTCAGTCTGCAAGTGTGGTTGTACCATGCGAGAGACCATGTCCAGAGATTGACCGATTGGTCCAGCAGCAGTATTCATTGCGCGGGAAGCGACACAGGAGTGGTGTTTGTCTTGACGGTGAAGTGGTCTTGTCTTGAAGACTGCAGCCCCTGAAAGCTGGATTTACTATAGGGTAGATGGCGATGCGGGATGCCTCGCTGAATCCCCGACTTCCCCTCGGTCTACAAGGACGTTCAAGCCGTACTCATGATACCATCGGATACTTTGAGGGCCAAGAAAGACCCGAACACAACCACTTTGGATATCCAATGTGGTGCTGGTGTAGCCTTATGTTGAAAGCATGCGAGATAGCTTCAACAATACCAAACACAACTCGCACATCTTCCAATTCACATATCCACCAAGTTCAAGAATCGTACGCTATGTACGACTACTATCATTGCTCAACATACATACATTCTGTCCTCCCTTGCAGACTAACAGAAGCGTATACTTGGTAGTAGCAACCATACTCTCTCTCGCCTTACAGCTTCGCACCGCCCTTGTCCCCATCATACCTCCTCACCTTATACCCATGCCTCGGCGCATGCACCCGCACAGTCTCCCCCTTTGCAGTCTTGACCTCAATGACAACCTCGTCCTTGTCCAAACGCACCAGCTTCCCCACATCCTTATGCGCCCTCCCCGTATCCGTCGGCGAAAGCGTAACCAAGCCGCCCTTTTCCAATCCCTCCGCAACAACCACCGGATCGTCCCCATCCACGCTCCCCGCGTCCTCTTCATTCCACGACGACCCCTCAATCACCCTCGCCGCCTCCTCGCCATTCAATGACCTGGGCTTCTCAAGACGCTTCTTTGCAAAAGTGACGGCCTCCTGGAAACGCTTGATCCAGGAATACACCCGAGGGAACTTTTCCGCCGAAAACATCTCCTTGGGCAGCGCCCCCGGAATGCCAGACAGCCAGTGAAACACCCAAACGGCCTCAATGTCCGCCAGCCCAGGCCTCTCCGTCTTGAGGATCCAGTCCCTCCCGTCCGCCAAAAAAGTCGTCTCCATGAGCTCAAACGCCGCCGCAGTCTCCCTCAGCGCTTCCGGCCGGGCCTTTTTCATCCCCTCCACGCTGAGCTCCGTGCCCATAAAGTCCCCCCTGTCCTTGAAGTACTTCGGGTCCTTGAGGAACGGCAAGTCAGTGGGCAGAAGCTTCACCCCGTTCTGGAAGATGCCGCTGTCAATGATAAAGGCCGAGAGGAGGCGCTCGATGCCCTTTTCTTCGGGCGTGCTTGATCCTAGACGAGGTAGCTCCGGATACATTGCCTCCAGCTTGGGGATCTGAAGGCGCGTGTCGAGGTATATGTCCCTGCCGATGGAAAGGATGGGAATGCGACGGTACGAGATGCCGAGACGGGCGACGTCAGGCCGCGGCAGCATGCCAGGCTGGAGCTACATTGTTCAGGTCTTTTAGCTGAAGTGCTCCTATGATGGATGAGGCATTCTTTCGCAACCATGGCGGCTTGATAATCACGTGCAACTTACACATTGGCTGTAGGGAATGCCTCGTAGAGCGAGGTACCACACGGTGCGTCTCGCAAAGGGCGATATCCCATAGTGATAGAGTACGATCTCGGGGGCTGCCATCTTCACGCGGCCAAAAGACCCAAAAGGCGATTGTTGTTGTGCAGGTGAAGACACTCGAGTGTGATAGCCACTCGTACCTTGGTTATTGGTCTTCCTTTGCAACTTGACGCTTGTGAACCGCTTATAGTCGCGCCGGCTCGGGACGTTCGCGTGGTTCCAGCCTCGGCTTGTCGGGGGTGGGGTAGACCGAAAGGGGTCTCGGTGACTTCTCTCACCGAACCACCACGACTTGGAAACTGTATCATCAGCGCTGTGCTTGATTCAGCTTTTATTTGAGGCGGCAAGATACATGTCTTCTAGCGCTCAGCTAGTAAGCTATCTGTTGCAGGTCCCCTTTTTACTATATGTCCCATTTGCCCGGGGCTATGCCACATCCTTCTGATCGCGCAGTAAATCCCCAGAAAAGGGGGCAACTAGAACTCAAAATACCGAGCATCGGTTCATGAACACACTCTCTTCATGATCATGCCTTGCGAATGAATCACCAATCTCCTCCGCCAGCGTCATCGCCATAGCTGTCCACGTTGCCGCTACCATAGCCGGCGTCAGGCTGCTGTGGCTGTTCGGCGGCGGAGCCATATGCCTGGCTTTCGTAGGCATCTGATTCCTTGGGAGGCAGCTTGCAGCGAACCTTGGTGTGTCCATACTCCTCGCAGTTGGAGCATTTGACTTTGGACCCTGCAGTGCAATCATTAGTCGAGTGCCATCTAGAATAGCAAGGCAGGCGGTGAAACACTCACAATCCGTCGGTTTGGGGCAGTCCCTGCTGAAATGGCCAGTCTCCTCGCAATTTCGGCAAGTAACATTGTCCATGTTCTTGGGTTGATCACAATCCTTTGAGATGTGACCTTCCTGACCACAGTTGCGACAGGCTCTGCTGCCTCCATCAGGGCAATCCTTGGCAAAGTGGCCGGCTAGAATACGCAGTCAGCTGTTGTTCATCGTAAGAAGAGATCAACGTACTCTTGTTGCACTTGCGGCACTCAACATTGTCCATGTTCGGAGGCTCTTCGCACTCTTGAGCGCGATGGCCTGACTTTCTGCTCGAAGTCAGCATCCAACCCGTGTTGGTGATGCTCGGTAATAGACACTCACCCGCAATTCTTGCAAGCAAACTTGTCCACACGCGGCTCAGGACCTGAGTAATTGTTAAGACAAGAACAAGACACAGACATGAACGACACTTCGGCTTACAGTCCCTCACACGATGGCCTTCGCCGCCGCAATTGTAGCACGAAATCTTGGGCTTTCCTGCCTCTCGCTCAACCCTTTCTTGGGTACAGGCCTTGGAAGTATGGCCGAGTTCGCCACAATTGTAGCATTTCGGAACACCTCTGTCGACGACCATACCGGCGTCGTCCAGGCGGGTCAAAATCTCTCCTTCGCCATTCGGCCAGGCGTCAACCTCGCGGGGTCGCTCTGGCTTGTCCGAGAACCTGACCGAGATGCTGTACTTTTTGTCAATCTTGCCTTGGAGATCCATGTTCGTGAAAGTATCAATGAGATCTCGCTCAGTGCAAATGAGCCAAATCTTGATGTTTTCTCCCATCAGACGCTCCTGAATTTGGCGGTAAGTGACCTCTCCTCCAAGAGCTTTGACGTACTCCTCAATGGCTTCCTTGGCATCGTCCACGTCCCGTTCACGAGCCGCCTGCTTGAGCTTGTCCCAGGCAGCATCAGGAGTGACATCGGCGACGTGGTCACGATTCACTTTGCGAGCATTCTCACAGTTGTTTCGGAAGTGGCCTGGTGTTGTTCGTCAGCTTGTACCATCTTCCATATCAATTCAATGACATACCTTCTTCGCCACAGTTGGAGCAGAGCATGGGAGGCGCCTCAGGGCAGTCCTTCCTCATATGGCCCTCCTTCTTGCAGTAACGGCAGGCCTGTTCTCCGCCCTTGGGGCAATCGGCTCGTCGGTGCCTGGGGGCCAATATATGAGCGACTTGCTTGGCGAGGACGTGACATCGGCTTACCCTTCTTCACCGCAACCGAAGCACTTGTCATTACTTGATGCTCCACCGTGGGGGCATTCGGCTCGTCTGTGGCTGTAAAGGTCTATGAGTACGTCGCCTCACGAGGTTTACAGGGTGAACTTACCCTTCTTCACCACAGCCAAAGCACTTATCGTTTCCGTATGCTCCGGCGTCGTTGGTACCACCGCCGTAGTTATTGTCGTAAGAGTCTCCGGCGCCGCCTCCAAAGTCATGCGAGCCCCAGGTATCAGCTCCAGCTGTATTATTCTTGAAGGAATGGTTGGTCGTCGCCCAGCCGCCATCGGCGACTCCTGTACCCCAGTCTCCCATGTTCAATTCGTGCGGAATAGGCTACGGTAAGGTGTTTGTGTGTCTCCCTTCACACTGTTAGAAACTTGATCAATGTAAGATGGAGACACTTCGGATGACAGGAGAGTGAGCGGGTTTCTTTGGGATGATACAGCATAAGGGAGAAGCGAAGAGGGACCGAAGGATGACGGGGTGTGAGGTAGGCTATTCGCCGTTCGCCAGTGGATTGCACCGAGGGGGGTTAATTGGGAAACAAAAGCTATCGAGAAGGAAGTTTGAAAGGTGCTTGGAAGAAGGAGGCAAAGAGAGAAGTAACAAAACGTGGGACACGATAGGAAATGAAGTCAGATATGATTACCTTCTTGGCTTTAGGAACGCGAGTTCAAAGTCGCGTCCAATCCGAGAAAGAGAGGTCCTACCCCAAGCTGCACTGCGGATGGGTTAGAGAATGTGCATCCGGAGGATGCGTCTAAGCCGAATGAATCGATATAGCACTCACAAGTTTGAGTTCGCTTCGATGCCTGGAAACTCACAGCGCACCCCAGAAGTTGGAGGTCTGCAAGAAGAAAAACAAGAGGCGAAGAGGAAGAGAGAAAGAGAAGGAAGAAGGTTTGGCAGGTGGCAGAACAGAAGGCCACGCACAGTCAAAGGCGGTGCACAGGGCGGCAGAATGGCAACAAGTTATTCCATCCCCTTCCAGCTGCCACGACTGACGTGCCCGTCCCCTGACGCAAGTGAATGCAGTGTTTTGCTCAGGTGAAGTATGACGGTGGCTTATGACAATGAAAGTGAGCCACTGCTTGGGTAAAAGGGATGTGAGATAACCTGGGGAACTTTGCAGTTGGACTTTCCCTCTCTCTGGTAGAAGCATTGCATGGTGACCATACCAGTGTGTGTTTCCATCCCTATGAATTCGCTTGGCCCTTCATCACCAGGCGAACTTGACATAACGTCCTGCCTGGAAGGTGAGCACATAGCACATCGCTCAGCTTGAACACCAGCCGCTGCTATTTCCCCTTTCTGCAATGTTATGCTCTAACGTGACACCTGCCAGAGTGTAGTCTTTCCAGAGGGCCTTCACGCATCTGCTGCCGCTGCCGCTGTGATGGTGGAATGTCTTTGTCTAGGCCATCTGTGAAACACTGGTTTGGAGTATCAAGTCACCAAACATTTCCTCTTTACTCCTGATAGTGCTACTGGGCACTTTGTGTTGTCTTTCGAACATATTGTTGAGTGTAGGCACCTAGTACCTATGTATGTATGCGAATTGAAGTGACCAACAAGGCCCTCTTGGCTTCTTAGTCCTCTTCTGGCCGTGGAAAGCATCAACTGCCCAACACCTGACGGGGCAGAATGGAGAACAAAGCGAAAGAACATCAGCGACATAAGATGATCTCTCAGGTTCGGCATCACCGTCATTGTTTGGTAAACATAACATTGTTGTTGCCTACGCACAAGCTTGGGGTAGGACAACTTGAAGTACCTACTCGGAACTGTTGATCGAATATTACATACACTTGGACGGCCATTGCAGCTGTTAGATAGAGAAGCTGATGCGAACATGCATTTCAGAAGCTAAGTGGTGACAGCAGGACCAGACCAGACTGGAGCAATCTGGAGTACGCTATGCGGAAAACCTCTCGACAAGCCGAGGAGGGTCGGATATAGAGAACCATGATTTGGAAGCACCATCATGCTAAGACACTATATACCTGACTCCATGTGACGGCATTCAAGCAAACGGTCGACGTTATGGAGCACTCATTCCATGCACCTTATATCGGCTCGGCTCGCAAATCATACGCAGCCGGTTCGGAGGGCCGATGGCCATGGGCTTATGCTTTCAACAAGGCTATGATACTTCCGCGGAGAAGTGAGGCCTTCCATCCCCCTTTGACCTCAAGCACTAAAAAGACTGAGCAACTTCGGAGATGCTAGTGAAGCGACTCTGTGTCAGGTCGTTGCTCTGTGATGATGCTTCGTAGAGTGTCAGTCTGCAACTCCACTGAACATCGGACGACAAAGCAAACGCATCCATCATTCTTTCGCTATGAGTAACAGCCATATCATACAGGTGGATACAAGCTCCAAGCACGATCTAGGACCTGTCAACCCACCCTGAGATGACCTTTGAGTTGGTAATCCGTTCGGCGACGCAGGGGCTGGAGGTGACCCTTGCCACTCGGCGTCCAATGAGAGACAAGCAATAGGCGTAAACCTGCATCTCCGCGTTCGGAGAAGTGGCATCGTTATCAATCACTATCAATCCGACCCCGCGTGCTTTTCCTAGCACTGTACCACCCGTGCTATTGTCAGACTCATCTTACAGTACCAATACACTCCAACCACGTACTGTCATCCAGTTTTTTTTTCTTTAAGCTTTTACTAAGCATCACTGGAAATATTACAACGTCCGACATAGATAGAGAGGGTCTTCGCCTCTTACAAACCCCAGGCCCTCAAACCACCTCCAACAACTTCTTCTCCTCGTCCCGGTTGAATCTCCCTCATCCCCTACACCACCATACCCTCGCAATGGCGCCCTCCGTCGTAACGATAGACACCTCAGACGACTTCTTCGCTGCCCCGGTGGCGACAGAGTCGAAGCGAACGCTCCTCCTCGCGCCGCCCTCCCTCGCCTCGCACCCCTCTGCGCTCACCAGCGTCGTTTCCCAGTATGACCGCTCCGTCACGGACCTCCAGATGATCGACAGGCTGTCAGCCGGCCTCGTCAAGCTGCCCTCTGCGACATACGACCTCGTTCTCGTCCTCGCCGATGCGTCGTCTTCGCTGAACGAGACCCTCTCGCTCTTGACCCGAAACATCCTCGGCCCCATCGCAGAGTCGCTCAAGCCCAAGGGCCGGCTGCAGTCGCATGACGGATCAGACCTGGCGCAGCATGCTGCGCTGGCAAAGGAAGCCGTCCTGGCGGGCTTGGTTGCGTCCAACGGCGGCTTCGACAAGCCGGACTACGGCGATGGCGAAGGCGTAGTCTCTCTGAAGCTGGGGATTAGGAAGAAGAAGACGGCCGAGGCGGCGCCTGCTGTTCAGAAGGTGGAAGAAGTCAAGCCTGTCGCCCCCGCTGGCGTCGGCTTCATCGACTTCTCCGACGATCTCGACGCCGATTACGATGATGACGAGCTCATCGACGAAGACACCCTCATGACAGAAGACGACCTCAAGCGACCCATCAACATCCGTACGTCCAGCCCCCCGCTTATCCCCCCTCTCACATAAATACGATTATCCAGGAAAGAAAAAAAAAAAGCTGACATATCTTGCGAACAACAGCACCCGAGTGTCAACCCAAGGCCGGCAAGCGCCGCCGCGCCTGCAAAGACTGCACCTGCGGCCTCGCAGAGCGCCTTGAGGCCGAAGACGCCGCCAAGCGCGCCGCCGCCGACAAGGCCCTGCAGAGCGTCAAGCTCGCCGCCGACGACCTGACCGAGGTCGACTTTACCGTCCAGGGCAAGGTGGGCTCGTGCGGCAACTGCGCGCTGGGCGACGCTTTTCGGTGCGATGGATGTCCGTACATTGGGCTCCCGCCGTTCAAGCCCGGCGAGGAGGTGCGGTTGCTGAACAATGAGATTCAGCTGTGATTGACACTTGGACTTGTGCATTGCGGTTTACTTTTGCTTGGCATGGGGGGTTTCTGGGATTTTTGGGATTCATGAGTATGGGTGGCGAATTGCTGTTTTTGTGTGGCTTGCTTGATGGAGTTTACGGATTGTTCAAGATGATGTTGATCAAGATTTGGTTGGATACGGGATAACGAAAATACCAGGGAGAACCAACGAAGGAAAGGGAAACGAAACGGCTAGAAGGCCCCTTTTCTCGACTCCTGAACGCTCATGGCGTCTCGGCTTGAAGTTTTACTTTGCATTTTTAACTTTAAGAGAATCTAAACGTCTTTTCTCATGCCGTAAATGTCCTTCGAAACGACTTGTGAATAACATTGTAACTTTGGATAGATGCCGCCCTTTGTATAGTGACACAGGCGCCCATAAGCAAATGTAGATACAATGATTTATGGCTATAGTATAAACGAATCAAGAGACCAACCACCCCCCATATGTCCAAGGAACGAATGCTGTTCTTCTTTTTACAATGAATCCCAAACAAATGCTGCCCATCTAACTCGACGCTTGCTGACTCTTCCTTCTCTTTTCCCGCTCCGCTTCTGACAACCCATCCTCGCTATCATCATCCTCTCCCACGGTGTACTTGCTCCCCGGAGTAGTAGGTGTTTCAACATGCAAGTCGTCCAGCGTTGTCTCGTCGAAATCAGCAGCCTCGACATCCGCGTGCCGTCTGCGGCCGCTAAAGTTGAGGCGAGAGCCGTTCCTGCTCGAGGGCTCGCTGCCGCTGAGCGCCCTGTAGGTGGCACGGGCTCTGCGCTGGCGCCAGATAAAGTAGCCCCAGGCCACGGCGGCGACGATGACAATGACGAGTACGATTTCGCCTGACCTTTGGTAGGCGGCCCATTTGGCGTCGTCAATCTTCTTGTGAGTCTCTTCCTCGTGAGCGTGGGTGTTGTTAGACGCTCCGCCAACCGTCGTCTCGACGCCCTTCTCACCGTCAATCCGGCTGTCGGTTGGCTCGCCGCCGATGCTGCTAATGTCCACTCCCATGAATCGATCAAGCATGTCGCGTGTGCGCCGAGGGTAGTCGAAGGGAACCATGTGGGATGAGTTGTAGAACAAGACGTAAGTGAGGTTGCGAGCTTCCTGCCAGAAACCAGCAACTTCGCCCTCAAATGTCCACTGCCGACGGGGCGCCCAGTTGCCAGGAGCAATCTCGAAGCCCTTGCCTCCATTCCATTCCAAGTTGTTGATCATGTTCTCCGTGCCAATGTGGTTGCAAATGAGATCCTCTGCTCCCGAGAACAGCAGCACGGGAACCTCCTTCAGGAGATCGGGCAGCAGCTCGACAGAAGGCGCCGAGGTCTTCGCCTGGAACGAAGAACCAACCGCTCCACTGCACTCTTGCCAGCCGGTAGCACGAGCGCTATTGATGTGAAGCGCCTCTACAACATCCTTCCTCCTCAGATAGGGGGTGACAGCGGCCAAGTCCGGCGGCCAGTTCATTCCGCAGCTGGGGTACTCGTCTCGGAGGCGCACATCGTACATGTTCCAGCAGGCGTCTTTTCCATTGCCGTTTTTGGTCATTTGGAGAATCGAGCTGAGGATCCCTTCGCACTCGCTGTAGTCCACATGTCCGGGATCAGAGCCCTGTTTGTTTTGGCATATCCTGACGCTGGACTGCAACTTCTTGGCGACATCCGAGTCCTTGGTGAGAAGGCCCTTTTCGTACGTGAAGGGGAGGTAGCTGTCGTACTGTTCCCTCGGGGACATCCAGCCATTTCCAATTAGCAGCCCCTTCAGGCTCCAGGCGTCCTTGTCCTTCTTCTGCTCGGCCTTCTTCTTGTTGCGATCCACGATAGCCTTGGCAATGTAGGGAATATACTGTCCGGCGTATGACTCTCCTGCAAGGTACAGCTGGCACCTTCATGTTAGAAGCCATCTCATGCCCGCCAAAGGGAGGAGAGTACTCACGTCGTCATGCTCATACTCGGGGAACAGGGCAAAGAACTTTTCCAGGAAGATGACAAACTGATCGGCCATCTCATTCAACTCTTTCAGGTAACTGTCGGTATCGACGTAGCTAAAGCCGACGCCAACCGGGTTGTCGACGAAGAGCAGATTGGCAAACTCGTGCCATGAGCCGTTGTTGGAGACCAGGGTGTTCTCGTCCTTGACTCTGTACGGCCCAATCTCCATCAACGCGCCGTCCTCGGAGCTGCATCCAGGCCCGCCGTTGAGCCATACTACGGTTCGCTGGCGGTTCGCAATGTGCTGGTTCTGAAAGTGCCAGAAGAAGAGGTTTCCGTTGTGCTCGGGGGTGATTTCGATGTGACTGAATGGCCGAGGCGCAAGGCGTCAGCTTACATTCCAACCCCAGACCCAGGGCAATCTCAAGTCAACGTAAAGAAAGGCTTACCCAGCGTGCATCTTCACGGCCAGCGAATCCTGCGCCAGGCCCGGAAGGTCGCGGACATAGTAGTCTGCCGTGGTCTTCTCAGCATGGGCGGCGGCAGGCCAGAGACTCGCCAAGGTCAGGGCGAGCCATGGCCATGACGCTGGCCGCGTGGACAGCCGTACCATGGCGAGCAGCGGCAGAACGAAGCAACGGGATGTCGGGAGAGAGAGCTCAGCTGCCTCAGTCGCGGATGTGGTCGATGTCGAGATTCATTGACAGAGGGACGGTGATGGTGACAGACAGAACGACAGACAGACAGACGGCAACCGGCGTCGAATGTCCGATTGTCGAGGGTGAAGCGTGAAACCGGAAAGACGGCGATGGAGGCGCAAGGTGGCAGAATGCAGAATATGGATTATGTTGCTTCAACCCCCTGGGGGAGTGTCAGCCTGCAGAAACCAGCACAGGCATCGGTCCCCTAAAACATGCGCTACAGGGGGCCGCTGTAACTGCAAGCGATATAGCGCTGCGGCCCCACAGCGGCAAAGCTGGAGGCGTTTATTGTCGTGGGCGCTTTTGGGGGCTGATGGATCAAGATCAATAAGAATCAAAGCTCTTGTGCACCGGTTTCTTTCGGGTTAGAGACGCCTCGGGTTGGGACAAGTGTCCGCTTGAGAAGCATGTGAGAATTACCTGTGAAGATGACTTGAGGTTTCGAATTCCATTTGTTGATTCGATAACCCAATATCAGAGTTACTTGGGCACTGAGATATTGATGCGATGCCCGTCCTAATGTCCCGCTTGGTGAAATTCCAGAAGCCGTCAAACTGGATCTGTAGTGCCGTATTAGCGCATTTCCGACTGCCTCAGATGAGACGGTACATGCTACTGCGTGGCTCTCTCCACCAAATCAGAAGTACCCCTCACTGCTGCTCCGATCTTCCAGGTTAAAGCAGGAGGGGCAGCAGTGTGAACGGCCTCAATTTTCGCCTCGAATTTTTTCCACATGCCAGCGCTCACATATCAGATTGGATCACCACTTCCCATACAGCCACTCTGCTTTTGAGGAGCCTCTTATTGAACCCAAAGCTGCTAGTCTGATATCAAAGACTTATCATCAGCCGAAGAGGGTGACCCCCCCCAGCACACGATGGCTTCCACAGGCAAAACCTTCATCGTCGAGCATCTCGACCCAGAGCTTGGCCCCTGGTCAGAGCTCGAGTATCTCGCCATTGCAGCCGAGAGCGAGGAAACCAACGCCAAGTTTATTCTCTCCTGCCTGCCCCCGAACTTCAAAGTGCCGCCTGCGCTGTCCGCCAGCAAGGCCTTCACGGCCGAGCACCGGGGCGTGGAGGAGCTCTATGCCGGCCAGAAATCCCGGGTCTGCCTTTTGGATCCAGCCGCGGCCAAGGACCTGGCGCCGGAGGACGGCGAGACATTCGATGCCTTTCTCTTTGGGGGCATCTTGGGTGAGTTGGACAGCGTCATGTGCGCCGGAGTGTAAGAGACGAAATTTGAGCTAATCGGTCTATTTTTTAGGTGATGATCCTCCACGAGGTGAGTCTTGATGACCTCTTACTGTGAAGTGCATGTCTGACAGACTCTAGATCGAACTTCTGAACTCAGGAAGAAGGGATTTGAAGGCAGGCGGCTGGGTCCCGTGCAGATGACCACAGACACAGCGGTGCGAGTAACCCGGATGGTTGTACAAGATAAGAGTAAGTAACCAGCAACTCCATGAATGACACGATATATGGCATGATTCTAACCATTACCAGTCCCTTTGGAGGAAGTGCCGTATCTGGACTTCCCAGAGCTTCAGTTCAACGAGCACGAAAGCACCCAGATGCCGTTCCGTTATGTCAAGGGTGCTGATGGAAAGCCCATCATGCCCAAGGTAAGATTGCTGTGATGGAAGACATATCAGATTCAGCATGGCTTACCAAATTTCGCAGGGAATGGTTGAGTTGATACAGAAAGACGCTGACAAGTCACTCGATGACCTGTTGTAATGAGATTGCCATCTTTCTTCCTGGTATCAGACCTGATCGTCAAGCGACACTTGGTTCAGTGTAACGCCTCCATGGATGAGAGCTACTAACTGGGTAGCCATCCAGTGGATAATCTAATCTCAAGGGGTGAATATGGTATGAAATTAGCAAGATCTTAGGGTATATCGCGCAAGACTGCTTGCTTGACAATACTCATCTCCTATTAGTAGGACGTCAATTCGCCAACAATGGAGACAGGCCCAAGACAGAGTAATGCTTCGCATTTCCCTGAGTGCTCGCACCTCTTTGGTACTCGCAGAAGACAGAATGCCACGACAAGTATCCTTGTGACCTTGAAGGAAAGTTCATGTCTCGCAGATGCATATACCACATGTACCCAACAGCCTCGCCGGCAACTAATGAACCTGATGGAAAAGTTTGCCTCAGCGACGGTTATGCAGGGACTCTGAGAGTGGAAGCACAGCACAGCGCGAGCTCCATCACCTCGGCAGTCCTAGCATGGGGGCCATACCTCATATCGGAGTACGAGGATTTGTAGCCGTTGGTGTCAACGAGGCTGCCAATAGGGGAACAAGTTACATCCATCTGACCTGAAGTTGATATCAGACGCTCACTGTGCGTTACACATCTCGGACTATGTGATGCCGTCTGCCGCAGGCTTTGTGCTGCTCTCTGTGGGTATCCGAAGACGAAGTAATTCTCCGGACGCGTGTTTGCTTCTCTACCCAGCACACCGGATGAGAGAGTCCGAAGATGTTGCCTGTCATCCCTAGGACAGCTTTCCCCTTCCCTTCATCCTCTTGAAGATGCCGAGGCTCAAGCCAGGGCCGCAGTCGATGAATCACGACCAGGTAGGATGGGATAGACTGAAGTTTGCGCTCTGTGGGGATGACTGCAGGAAGCTGCCGTTCAAAGGTTGCAGAGGAGTTGTCGCCGCCACGGCTCTCATATTGATTGCCACATGGGCCATTGCAACCCTAAAGCATGCCGAGGGATGCACAGGGATTGTTGTTAGCTGCTGCAAGAAAAAGAAAGCCAATCGCCAGAGTCTCATACGGCTCTCTTGACACCTTGTGAAGTGGTATTGGATACTCCCCGATAACACAAGGCCTCCAATGAACTCGTCGATAAGAGGTCTCGGCTGATGACATTTATAGCTGCCAGTTACCTGCAAACTTTTACATGTCCCTCAAACTTCTTATGAACATTTTCGGGCTGAAATGCATGTCCAATCTATACAAAGTCGCATCGGGATGATGTTCAGGTTCACCTTGCCCTTCTTTGATCTCAACCCACAACGGACAGTCTGCGAGGACGTGCCACACGTGCCATTAGGCTATTTGGCTCTTCGTTTAGTAGAATATGGCGCCTTGGCTCTCTGGGTACGTCAGATTCTGAAGCTCGCCCACTCATCCTCCAAGACGTTGCATGTGGCCTCTTTCTGGAAGGAAAGTATTCTTTCTGGTAGCCTGAAGACCAAAGCACGACAAGACTATCAGAGTAAGGCAACTTTTAGTTGTAAATAAATAGAAAGTTAATCAAAATCACTAAGGGAATTTGCTGGATTGGCCGACAAACTCTTGGTACATGATTATGGAAGCATTCAGGGTCGGAAACCAAAGGCATCATCGCAATGAGCCGAGGAACATGGCCGCTGCGGCCGCGGCTGTGGCTGAAAGGGGCCCGAACGCCGTTCTAGCGTTGTCAAAGGAAGCGTAATGCGGGCTGGTGAACTTGATGGGCACAAACTCTTGGCTCGGGCAGTCGGTCGATCGATGTGGCATGGCGGACTGAGCAGCATACCAAGTACAATACGGCCCTGAGCCGTCAAAAGCATCTCGACTCTTGACCAACGCATTGCGTGAGTAAAATAGTTTACATCGCATTCTTATCTTATATCGGAAGGAACCCTCCGGGGGCATATCGCCACTCCTGGGCGAGGCTGTTGAGAACCTGGCCATCCAGTGAAATGTTCGACGGCGTGGAGTCAAGACTGCCCAGCCGACTGTAAGTCTGATTCCCCAGAGAGTCAGCCAGGGAATAGGATGTGTCCTAAAGCCGTCGTCCGCAAGTACTAGTCTCTCATGTCAGGAAAACGTGGCCGCAAGGAATGGCTTTGAAGGGGTCGCATCCGAGCTGGCCATTGGGGCCTTTTGGGGATTCAGGATACGAACCACTCACGCGCGGCGGCTGGAGATGCAGGCCAGGATTAGGGGGTTCCTAGCTAGCGTGGGGTCGGTCGAGCTTCCAGAGAAGATCGATATCCCTTGGAATCTCGTGTGGAATGTGCGGCGAAGGCGAGAGTGTTGGGCAACTTCCGGCGTTGGCTCTGCCAGTGCCGGCTGCATTCGTAGCGTTCAACTGAACGAGGAGACCACACCAACTCGCACGCTTGGGCCGCTGTTTGGGATGTTGTGCGCGCTGATTCGATGAATCGCTCTCTCTTGAGATGCTAGCCGTCTGGGCATGTCTTGATAGGTAGGTGACAGCCAGGAGCTGGCATGACAGCATCCGGAAGCCCACAGAAGGATCGCCACGAGACGTCTGCTTACTCGTGCGTGCACCGCCATCTGCTTGTCCCACGCAGCGAGTCGTGACCGGACGAGAGAAGCAGGAACAAGAACCTTGTCCGACGAGGCCGGGTGAAGGTGAAGGTGGTTGACGGAACTCATCATTCGTTATGCCATCGGAACTTGGAAGTCTCCCACATACCGTTGCAGCTGCATGGCGCGTGCAGCATCAGGCTTGCTGGCGGCGGCGTCGACTGTGCCCTGCAGCATGCATCGTCGGCAGCCAGTGATGTGGTATCTGGTTCGAAGTCGTCTCGTGCCTGAGGCGAGCCGTCGATGACCGCGGCCGTGGCCTTCTCACATATACCTACATGCAGTGCTTGTCCAAGCATGCACGTCTCAGCCTGGTCGACTTGATATCCCTGGAGGTTTGCAAGATGTACAAGTAAGCGAGCTGGATGGCACCTTAAGGTAGGTAGGTACCTACCTAGGTAGGTGCAGACAGAGCTGGAGCTTGGGGCGCGTGCTCTGAGCAGGAACCGAGCCCTAGCCCCCAGGATGGGTAATGCAGTCGTACCTGGTGGTATCTGATCGTGTCTGGCTGTGAAGGAAGCCGTGGCGATACTCTGAGCTACTCTCAGCACTGACCCTCAAGCACCGCTCGTAGGGGGGCCGCTGTTGGCTCTGGAGTTGCGTCTGGGTACCAGTACCTAAGCCTTTTTGGCAAGAAATGGCAGGTACTCATGGACACAAACACACACATACACACGCACACACAGATCGCGAAGCAATCGTGCGCTCACTAAGCCGAACATCAGCTGGGACAAGGTCAGCACGTCTCGCACGCTGTCTCATGCTCCTGGCGTCTGCACCGCGCACTCCATGATATCGCATCCTACCGATCGATCACGAGCGCTGCTTTACCCACGAATCTCGTCCATGCGGCCAGAACTACCCGATGGCATTGACGCTTTGTTGACTATCATCTGGCTGTTCTGGCTGGACCTGTCGTCACCGCCTCGCCTCTTCCTCACCGGTGTCTGTGCGAGCTCTTCATCGCAGGAACAAAGAAAGACGTACTGGCACGTCGTGCAGCGTATCTGCAATGTCCACGCACGGCTGAAACATGCGGCTGCACCCCGGCTCTAGTCGATGCGACGCTGTTTGTCTCCCCAGCTATGATTCGCAGCTGTACGAAGAACGGAGCACTCACACGCCTCACAGGTTCTGCCCGGAGACTGGACGACCCCGCCGAAGCCTGGTCCCGTCGAAAAATACGATACTACGTCCATGGAACATGGAGACGCATGTCAGAGCCCGATCGCTGAGCGCCGTTGTGGCTTTATTTTCTCCGGAGGGTAGCGACATGGCGTGAAGGATTCAGTACCACCTCGTCTCACTGACTCCGTATAATGCTACCTACCTTACTTACCTCGTGTACTCACATGTACAAGCATAACGGTAGTCGGCTTGCGTCGTATGCGTGCTATTCCCTGTCCTTACGTGTTATCTTAGGAGACAAGGTATGGTGCCGGATCTCTGGGGCCCAACGCAGCAGCACTGGCTATTCAAGCCCTTGAGGTATGTCATGATTCGCATGGATAGCCGGGCGCTTGGCCTTGACGGGAGTTGCTGGCCACCAGCCAGGAGTTGTCAAGCTTGCGAACAGGACTGACATTCCTCTCGCTGGCGCCTCACTACCCCTACGAGGAGAAGCACTGCACTGCGCAGGAAATGGCCCGCAGCCAGCCAGCGTCGGGGTGGTTAGTTTACTGCCAGGTTCCTCCCGCAAGGACTTCCCCTTCTTGGTTTAAGGCAACGTCTGTCAGACACAACCCTCTTGCCTCACTGGCACTCGACCACATGGCATTCAACATGTGTTGTACCACACTTGGGTGGAGATCCCCTGCCGCCATGACATGTCGCTTTGGCCTGCCACACCCGCCTTGCCGCCTCTCAGCGCCTGTCTGTCTGCTTCCATGGCTCCAAATCGAGGGCTCATTCAGACCGAGCGTCTAGTCAAGAAGCATGGTCGAGGCTAGAATGTTCATCGTCTCACTAGGACAGGCTGGGTTAAAGGCTACGGCATCTCCCCAAGCCTGCCTTTGGATTCCATCATTGGCCGCTTTGACTCCGTTGAGTGCTTTGGATCCTTTGGCATCTTTGGCTTGCGCTCCGTCTATCATGGCAAACTGTGATGTAAATCATTCTGTCACTTTTCGACGATCGACGGCCCCAATCCCATGAGCAGCAACGCATTGAATAGAATGGGCAATTTTGGCCTCATCCTTCCTTCATCAGCCTCTGGCTCGCATGGGGTTGATTTAGATGCGTCAACTCGATATCTGACGACCCAAGACGAGCACGGTTTCATGTCGTGGCTTGATATAACAGCCCCCTGGGTCATGCTACTCATGAGTCTAGGGCCCCAGACAAAGGAAAGAAGAGGAAAGAAGGCTAGCTGGTATCGAGCTCTCGCGCCTTGTTGGAAGGCCAACCCAACACGACCCACGGATTGCTGCACCTTGGATACTGTTTGGGCCCGACATCTGCAAGTAACCAAGTCATCCAAGCAACTAACCATTCCATCATCTCGCCCCCGCTCCAGCGGTAACTAGGCTAGACAAGGGGTCTGGACTCTGGAGTCACTTCCTTGGTCTACGATTCGACTGCAGGAATGAGGTGGCTCAGCGTAACTCTATGTTCATTTCCGATGGACCAGGAAATCTCTCTGCTTGCTTGTCGCATCACTCAGACATTATTGCCAACTTCGAAGAGAAATATACAAGGGCAAAGACCAGGTTGAACACGCAAATGGAGATCTGGGCAATCAACTGCTACCTCGTCGAGACAGCCGGGTGAAGCAAGCCTCCCATCCTAGCTGGTCAACTTTACAATTCGGTTCTGCCCCGGTGCTTCGTATATCTCCGAGTTTATACGATATAATATGCCATTCCATCTTTCTCAAAACGTCAGGCTGGTATTTTTGGTGCGCCACATGGATATACTATGTAGCCTCGACTCTCTCCGTTGATGCTGTCGATGTCGCTCTCGGCCAAACGCCGTCGATATAAGCGGAACCGACTGCTGTACAGTGACAGTGCGACTCTAGCATGCTCAACGCCTGCACAGTCTCTCAGAGAGTGCCATATGTACGTGCAGCGTTGGACAATCCAATGCTGAAGGTCGTGGGTGTCGGCCCACACTCCTGCTGCCGGCTTGGGCGATGCGCTGGCCTCTTGTCTAACCCATCTCTCCTTTAAGGCATCGTCAGTGTTGGCAAACAACCCGGTTCCCCGGTCTGGGCACATCAGTCGACTCCCATCTTCCGGGTCTTCTCATTTGGCGTTGATATACTCAGCCTTACCTGCCCACCTTAGCAGATCAACAACGTGCCCGCTTGGCTAGCATCTTGTTGCATATTGCGTCTCATCATCTGCCAAAAAGCCCCACGCCTCGACATCGTTTGGACTATTACTCGCTGTCCGTGAAAATAGAACCGATTCCTAATTTCGCCCGCTGCCCTCCCTTTCGAAAAGGGGAGAAGTTTCATCAGATAAAGACCAGCTCTACGCCCACTCCACGCTTCTGGTTTCAGCAAACTTTGCTAACCTTGGCTGGAAACCGGCACGGCACAAGTTTGCAGAATCTCCAGAGACCCTAGCACTCTCTTGCTGTACAAGGTGCTGTCTTTCTGCGGCTTCTAGCCTTGACAGGTGGGAAGGTTTCCATCATCCCCTCCGTTCCGGTGGCTTCCTCTTGATGCCCTTCTGATAGACACCAAAGACGAAAACCATTCATCATCAGCCGCCACGCACTCGAACATCCACAGTATCTCGGTGTCAACCTCCTCATTCTCTGTATCTACTATCCTGCTACGAAGACTGCTGTCTGGACACATAGATACGCACCTTGGGGGCCAAATGTGGCTTTGAAAGGCACTTATTGCAACGTCCCCACCACTTCCATTCACCGGAAACGCATAGGTCATCAGAGATATCTCGTGGCTATTAGTCTCCAGGCAGACCGCCTTCTGTCCGTACGGCTTGATCGCGTCCAACAGAATACACTGGAACGAAATTTCCACGAAGATTCGATTCGCCGACGCCCTACTCCATCACGAGTCGTCGTCGTCAAATCCTACGTGAAAGCTCGTGTCGAGCAGCCTGGCTTCTCTCACGACGTACTTTCCGTCTACAATTGTATTGCAATCGCACGTCACTCAACCTTTGTGTTCGAGTCGCGGGAGAATGGATGTCACATTGCTTCTCAACTCTGTTCGGCCGCCCAGCTCTTCTGGAGGACGCAATGAGAGATCACCGGGACAACCTACCAACCACGAGACACTCTCCCCTCCGAAAACTTTGCCACTACCTTGGGTCGCAGACGCGAATCGGGGCTCATATAGATACAACGGGCAGAATGCCAGGTTATGGGATGTTGTCAGCTTTACGGGGACTCGGATCGATGACACGGACTCTCGGACGACTGCAAGCCTTCCAGTTTCGCCAAAGGAGATCGAAAGAGCAGGTTTCGAAAGGAACATTCAAATAAATCAGCCGCCCGCGCGTCTCGTGCTTGGTACTACATCTCAGATACCGATACACTTGGCAAAGCATACCATCTCTAGGTGAGTAGGCTCGAATCTCCGACACCCTTACTACCAAAGTGAGCATCTAAGCAAGACGTCTACCCCTCTATGTATAGTCTAAGCCTCACCTCATGTACTGGAGTTTCATCAAGACGCCATTAATTTTCGAAGCTTATATAAACTTGGTCTTCTTCCTCGTTGGCTCACACTTGTGGTTTAGTGACGATAACCGGACTGGCGCGACTCGGTGAGCCAACACTATCCTCTCAAGAGAAACATAATTCCGGCCCCGCGACGAGCTTGGCTTCACATAGGGGTTGCTCTATGGCCGAACGCTGACGTGGATCATAGGACGACGTTCCAAGAGCGGCACGGCAACTATGTGGGAGAGACATCAACGACTTCGAGACACAAGTTATCATTCAGTAACAGCAGTTTCGTGTCATCAGACTTGCCACTGTCCGAATGCCACTCAAGGCTATCATCTGTGGCATCAGTCAGCGGTGTTTCGTTCTCGAGCATATCCGTTCCAGAAATGCCACTCATCTATGCCAAGCAATCGAAACTCCAAAGCCCACAAGTTGATATCGATACCACAGAAGAACCTCCATCTCCACTGCTTGCCGAACCGAGTTCAGTAGCAAAACAAGACCGAGCAAGTCTGGCAGAGTACGCTCGACGCAATCCTGCAGATGCATTGCTCGGCCTGCAAAGTCCGGAGCAGCATGTGCTTTACTGGAGAGGCTTGAGGTACGTCCGTTTTCTTTGCCCTGATCTAACAGCCCTGTGCGAGGCTGCTTTGTCCAAGCGTTCCAAACAAACAACCCAAAGCAGTGCACAACAGTCTGGACCATTCTTTTCGTCTGGACTTGAGTGTGCCTGACACAACCTCCTTCCTGAAAATCTTGCCCCCCTGCTGTAAACTGGCATTGTCATTCAGAGCTGGCTTTTGCCGTGAAGACTCTCTGGTCGGTGCCGGAGCATAATAGCGGACTTCACCACTATTGAGGTGGCTCATGCGCCCATTGTCAGTGAATCACCGATGGCAGCCTCAGCCAGCTGGCACCTGGAGGAAACCTCCGACAGATGAAGAACGCGGTGAGGACTCGCCTCGGTGGCTCGCGTGACTAATGGACAGCTGGTGCTGCATCACTGCAGGTTTTCCTTCTACCGGTTACCCAAATCTTCTACTTAAGATTCCCCTTGATCCCAAAAGTTCAGGCTCTCTGTTCCCGCAGCATCCACTCTTCAAACATTCCCTCGTCTGCACATACCTAGTAGCTCTTTGATATCCCCATGTATTGACAGCAAGACTGATCACCGTCTCGAACCCCATCTTTGTTTGTTTCTTTCTTGATCAAGGCTTTCTCAAGAGACTTGGAGCTGACAGATATTGAAGAGGTAGTTCTGAATTGGCAACCGGATACAACAACCACAGAAGAGCTGCATCCGTTCCCGTACTTGCTTCCCACATGAAGATGCCAACATCGAACAGTTTGAACGATCGCTATCCTGTTCTGGGAATTACCGAGTCTGCTATGGACCAACATATAGCTCAAGGCTTGCCGACCAGAGTAGAAGAACCCCGGCCAGCCACAGCTCCTGACCACCCGGACGTGAATCCAGAGCACCGGGCTTTCAGACACCACGCACACATGAACGGGCGAGCAAACACAGTTTCGGATCGGGCGTCCAGAGGCGAAGCTGTCATACTGTCTCGGGACCATGTTCACGATCAGATCACCAGCATCACTCCTCTGGCACAGCTGGCTAGCGACATGGTTGGAGAGGCATCCCTGTACCCGTCGATGGCTTCTCTCGACGGCGAACCTCGATGTATGTTTGTGGACAACTGCCAGACTGGCTCGCAACTACGCAAAGCCATCTCGCATCTATTCGGACGCAACAAGGCCTGCACCTTACGTATTCCTAAGCAAGTCTGGGTGTATTACTGCCGCAAACATTATCAGCGGATTCGATATCGCAACGCCAAGACGTACCCGCTCAACCAGATGTACCTCGTGAAGATGCAGATCAATCGACTCCAGAGATGGAGCGACGAGAATCAACGCCGTGGGGTCGGACCATATATCAAGATGTGGACGTTGGCGTTGCGCAAGAGGGAACAAAATCGTCTTGACAAAGAGACAGGTGCTTCAAACGAAGGCGGTGACGACAACGCTCCGGAGACAACAACGGGCTCGGCCGCCCCTGACTGGATCATTGAGCGCCTGGGAAGTGAATACACAACCAAGGACATGCTCGCGGTCGCCGATCAGCTGTACGCCGAGATTGAAAACGGCCTTCTCGGTCAGGTCCCTGAAGTCGAGTTTCTCCCAGACATTACCGAGTCAGAGGTTGGAATCACCGCAAAGTTGGTCAAGAGCCGCAAACAAGGCCGCATGATTGCCATTCCAGTTGAGGCCAAGGCCCACAAGCGCCGGCTCTCTGATACTGGAGATGCCATCGACCAAAGAGGCTCCTTGTTTCCTAGCCAGTACGATGGAGTTGAATCCGCAACTCCTTCGAGGAAGCGATTTTGCGGCAGCTCCCTTGAAGCCGATCGCTACCGACCTCCGCTTCAAATGCACATTCCGTCCATCGCCGACTACGCCAACAACCGCGTGTCTCTGCCCGCGATTGACCAGCAGTCGATCATGCCGCGTGTCTTGCCTGCGGTACCCAGGATGCAGATACCTTCCCCTGGCCGCTCTCAGGGACCAGTTGCACACATGTACGGAGCCTCTCCCAGCGAGTTCCGGCGCCCATATGCTCTTCCTGGCCTCTACAGCCACGACCACCAGCAGCACTCTGTCCAGTACCGCATGGCAGCCGAGTCACCTCTCCAGAGAAACAAAGATGCCCACAACCAGCAGAGGCTGCCGTCCATCAGCGCTCATCTGGCGGGAACCAGCAACATGCAAGACTCAAACTTGGCCATCCCTTGGGCCTTGATCAGTGACGGCACAAACGTCCCACGACCTCCTCGCTTGCGGTCATACAGCGACAATGTGCCTACAAGCCAGTCTGCCCTGGACTATTCTCGGCCCATCAGCTCGAGCGGCGCTCCTCAGTCAGGCTTGACCTGCTTCGACAACAGAATTGCAATCCCTCCCACCAACGCGCCGGAGTACCGCGACCATTCTCAGGGACGCTGGACCGAATCCACCTATGCTTCAGGATGGTTCCAAAGACCGGGCGCTCGACAACAGAATCACTATGATGATCAAGTGACTCGCCCTCGACTGGATAGCTTACGAGCGGCCAACAATTTTGGTCCAGCTAAGCTACGCACCGCAGCTGAGGGAGACAGGGTTGAGGCTCATCGTTACGGAGACATATGGGTTCCTGCCGAGCAGTTGGCTTTGAAGACGGCTGGAGAAGGACGTGAGGACTAGTCGTCGAAACTTCTACCCCTGGCACCATACCAAAACATTCCAAGAGCAAGCGAAAAGCCGACTCACCTCGGCCTCCCACCACTGCGGTATGCTTTCGTCCAAAGGCCGTGAAGCGACATACCCTTGTTTTGTTTCGTCAGTACGCCGCAGCACTTTGCCTTTAACTTTCGCCTTTTGCTGTTCATCCCTTCCCCGAAGATGACACTCTGAGCCTTTACATAGTGGGGAGGGGAGGCACATCTGACGATCCCGTTAGACGAGCGAGGAGTCTTCGCAGCATCTGTTTCGCTTTTTCCTTTCTGAATCACTTTTTTCTTTCTCATTTTTCATTCTCTTTTCCTTTTCTTTTCTTTCTTTCTTTCTTTCTTTCTTTTTTTTTTTTTTTGTTGTGTTGTGTTTCTCACACATAGAATCGACTCAAAACGGATGTTCATGATGGATCAACATGAGAGGATGAATTGCCTTGACGAGGAACGGCCGCTGAATGAGACTTGCGTTTGAGCTTTGCCAGGAAATGTCTGATGGCAGTCATGGCTTCTGGGCAAAAGGGAAACCGGGATATGATGACTTTGCTATGGAAGGATAGATATGGGCGTATACGGATCTTGTGCTGGAAGGGAGGAAGTGGATGGATAGGGAGGCTGGGTATGGGCATTGATGGAACTTGACTGGTATGAATGAGTTATAGAAGAACAAGCACGCACAAAAGTACGACAACAGGGCAAGATTTTTCCCCCTTCTTTTTGACTTCTTCACGACCCAGCATGCGTCTCTCTACTTTGACCCTTCTCTCTATGTGTCTGTGTTGCCCGCGTCTTTCCCTTTCCATCACTCTCGGAACATGACGATGCCGCCATCCCACTCGCTCAAGTCTCCCACATTCGCCCTCCCCACCTCAACAAAGCCAAATCTCGAGTAAAACGCATCCGTGCCCCTGAGCCCGATGAGCCAGACCTTTCCCCTCACCTTGGTCTCTCCGCCCTCCATCCTGTGCTGCTGCTGCTGCCCATCATCATCATCTTCTTCTTCTTCTCCTTCCTGCGACGGCTTCTCCTGCAGCTGCAAGAGCCTCTGCCGCTGCCACTCGTCCGCCCTGGTGAGCCCCTCGGCCATGAGCAGAGCGCCGAGCCCGATGCCCTGGACAGAAGGGTGCACGGCGAGTGTGCTGAGGTACCACCACTCGGCGCGGTTCTTGTCCGCGAAGAGCGTCTTTTCGATGGGTGGGAAGACGCGATCGAAGGCGTGGGCGGCGTGGGAGTCGATGTTTAATGGGGAGAGGGTGTCTTGGAGGGATATGAATGTGCGAACGAGGGGAGCTATCCAGGAGACTGCGGGCGATGACATGTAAGGTTCAGGATCCGAAAGATGTTTATTGTTGTTGTGGTGGTTGTTGTTATGAGGAGTGGGATGAAGAAAGAATAAAGATTACAAAGGGAGGGAAGACGAGAGAATGAGGGCTGTGGGAAGATGAGGACTTACAGAGAGTAAACCATCGTTCTCGGAAACTGACGTCCGCGCTGGGCCTCTTCCAGCACGAAAACCCGACAATGGCATCTTCTTCCTTCTCGCCGTCATCTTCACCTTGCCCTGCCTCTTCCTTGACGACAAAGGTAAACGTCCATTCGACGGACCAGTACCGCTTCGCGTACAGTCGATAGAGGTACTTTTTGTAAGACTCCGGATCCTCCTCCTTGCGGGGAAATAGCAGCGCGACTAGCTTGTCTGATCCGAGACAGGCGTCGTATAGACGCACCGCGTGGGGGAGATCCGAGGCGGTTCCTGGACGGAGGCGGAATGTTGGAGGCATTTGTGAGTTTTTTTTTTCCCCTTCGGCTATGTATATTGACGGAGTTGTTATAAATGTCGTTTGACGAATTCAATGCGTTGAGACAGGCGATTTAGTAAGGATAGGCGTATATAAGGCGTTTACAAGTGAGTCAGTCTAAGACCGGCAGTTATATATATAGTATACACACGTACCTAGATGGCTTCAATTGTGTGATCAGGGTCTCTTCCCCCCTCTCTGCTGACCCAGTTGCCGAATGAGTCAAAGTCGGCGGCTGTGAGTGGCTGGATAAACTCCCGTCTGATGGGGGTCGAGGAGGATAAGGAGAAAAAAAAAAATATCGTGCCAATCTCCACTTTGGCTGGATCGGGCAACAGGGGCCGTTTATGCATGAGAGATGGAGATGACAGGGCGGAGAATACAAATGAAACAACGTTGTTGTACTAGATTTGAAGAGGGGAGTTGATGGTCATACTACTACTAGCTTGAAGTTTGTGTGGAGAGAAGTTTGAGTTCTCAGGGAGTTGGTGATGGCTTCATGTTGGAGGTTGGCGAGATGGAGCGTCTGAGGGCTTCAAGCCATTGTACCTTGGCGAGTTGTTACATGTATTTACCTGGTTGTGGCATCTACCTATCCTTGAAGTGCTTTCCTTGCTCAAAAGACATGCACAGCAGTTCAGTGAATATACCACTCAGAATGCTGATGGTAGTCTATAAAGAGAAGCAACTATACCTTTTGAGAGCTCGACGGTAACGACATGGCATGAAGAGTTGCAGTGTCTCAATTTCCCATAATGTTGGGCATTGAGCTGTGTGCACTTATCAGATAGATCTGTGTAGAACCACACAAGGCAGAAGCAGATGTCCAAGTTCAAAGCTCCAAGTCTGCACACCGCCCGAAATGCCTCACACACTTTGGATGCCCAAGGCACACCAACTCGGCAGAAAAAGACACAAGAATATAAATTCTCTTCTCTCTTACATCCATAGTCCTTCCTCCAATCTTCCTCCTCTCTATACAATCTTCTCTTCTCCATTCATCTTTGCTCTATACCCATGACGCTTCTTTATGTGATATACTCACCCTCCCATTATCTTTCTTCAACCTTCTCCCCTTTGCCAATTCGCCGTCAACTCCCACAATGGCTCCTCCCAAGAACCCACGCAAGCCTCAAAGGGGAAAAGAAGACAATGACACATCACGCAAAGGCAGGGAGAAGAAGGAGCAGCAGCCCAAGAGTCATAAGTCCATCAAGAAGAGTAAAGGCGAACGACAACGCGAGCGAGAATTGGAGCGAGAAGTCGCCCAGAAGCAGAGAGAAGAGCGAATCATCCTCGAACGTGCTCGCTTACACAACGGCCTCGAGCTTGAGCTCCCAGAAGAACAAGACTTTGCGCACTACTCTGCAGTTCCACAGAGAAGTTACTATCTGAAGATCCGACAACTTCGACAAGAACTCAACAACAAGAATGATGATCCGCCGCAGCCTCAATCACATATGGCTCCTGCCCCTTGGGTCCCAAGCCCTTACGACGATATATCCCCAAGAAGGCCATACTCTGCTGGAGATGACTATGAGCAGGAGGATGAACAAGTAGAGAGCCAAGGCAGGCCTAGGAAGCGGGCCTGCGCCAGATCAAAGGTGCCCGCCAAGAGGCAGCGGTGCAACAAAAAGGCCGCTCCTCTGTCACAGGAGTTTATTCTCACTGAAGATAAAGAATCCGACGAGGAAGAAGTCCACATTCCCGAGCACATAATCAGGAAGACGCCTCCCACCTTCATGGGTATCCCCAGAGAGATCAGAATGCAGATATACCGCAGCCTCCTTACTGCTGCGGAGCCTATCCAAGTGTTTGGGGGATGGAAACAATTATACTGGAAGGAGGACTTGCGATTGTCGACTGGGATCCTTAGAGTCTGCAAGTCTGTGTACGAGGAGGCGTGCACCGTTCTCTACGGAGCAAACACCTTCCTGTACCTCCTCCGAGATCCATCATCCGAGACAGATGACATTGACGATCTAGCCACGGACGACTCGCCACAAGCTGAAGAAGAAGACCTCAACGACGACGACGGCGGCGACCTAGACTACGAAGAAGATGGCATCTCAAAGCGCCCTGCCCGCCCCGCGAAAGAGCGCACCATCAACATCGCCAAATATGCGCACCTGTTCCGCAAGATCAACATCAAAGCCGAGGCAAACAGATACTCGGGCGTCACCCTAGAAGGCATGGCTGCGGCAATCAACGTCTTTGCCAGAAAGGCTGCCCAGGACGGCACGGGATGGGATACGCAGTCGCGCCTCTTCATCCACACATTGACCGTCAGCGTCTCGCCCACCTCGAACCAGCGGGGCAAGAAGAGCCAAGAAGCAGCAGCAGCAGACTTCACCTTTGTCAACTTCTTCGTCCCGGGAAGCCCTGTGCTGTCCGCCATCAAGGCGGTCGACTGTCAGCTGCTCAGGATCGACATCCTCACCAGCGAGACCAGGAGGGGCAAGACGTGCTCCATGAGCGGCAGCCGCTCGTGCCGTCTCGAGTTCAACAGGACCTACGAGCGCATCTGCGCCGCCGACGACCGCAAGCAGATGGTGGTGGACTCGGGCCACGACGACGACGGGGTGAACAACAAGAGGTTGTTCGCGCGCGGGAGAGTCATGAAGCTGGCGAGGCTGAGCGAGAAGAGGATTGATGAGCTGGCAAAGCACGTTGCCTTGTTTTGCGAGCAGAGGGGCTTTGGGCAGCGGACGACGGAGGACATGGATGTCGACTCGCCGTATTGGAACGATTCTGAGGATGATTATGAGGAGGAGGAGGATGAGTTTTGAGAAAGCGATGCGACAGGGACAGGTTTGAAGGGACGGTTTGCTGTTGGTCTTATTAAAATCCACCTTTTATCGCGGGTCTTTTGCTTTTTCGCTGGTTTTCTGCGGGTTCTGAACGCGACTCCAAGAGCAGTCCTTTAATCTCTTAATTGCAATAATCTCTCTCATCTGCTTTTCATTCCATTCATAACCCTCTCTCTCTCATCTTACCCAAACAACTGACTCCGTATACGATACTACTCACAGCCCGTACTTGAATCACCACCTCCAACCGCCCTCCAACCAGCGACACCCAACACCCACCTCCCATCCAGTTTGACTTCCCAAACAGTCAAATCCGTGCCTCCTCACTGGCTGGCTTGCGGGGGGCCAAGACTCAAACAGGGAGGACACAAAAACACACACACACACACACACGCACGAGCGGAGATCTCCATCTACATTCTCCACTCAGGCTTGCGGGCCCCTGACGCAATTGACGATGGGTTATTTCCCCATTTTGAAAAAGGAGGGACCTGAGAGGGCGTCATGATCTTCGTTTGGAGGCTTGATATTGATGATTGGACCGCTTGTCTTGATTTCCATTGTTTATTTACTACTTTCATACTCTTTGACGCTTTTCCAGGGCTCGTACATGTACAGAATACAAAACATTCCAGGTTGGTCATATGCTCACGCCCACACTATTGCCTTATCCTCCGCAGTTTCCCACCATCATTAGTACTCACATGCCTCACATACATGTACAATATGCCTGACCAAAGCGCCGCCATGATTGTAACTCGTTTCAATGCCCGCTCATCGTGACACTTTCCAGTCCTCAGGCTACAAGACAATGTACACAAAAAAAAAACAAAGACAACAAGAACCTCCAGTCGCTATAACAAAGACATCCGTGGGGAATCAAGATTACAAGATCAAATGCTCCAACTCCGTAGACTCCGAATCTGATGCATCATGCACGCACATGAGAGCAAAAATGACTTAAAGACAAGGGGAAAGAAAAACCAACAATCGCTAGAAATGACACAGCTTAAGGACTTCACGGCGCATTGCCCAGGATGAGGATGAGTAGCATGCCGTTGAGGAGACAGGTGCCGATGAAAGCACACCAGACAATCAGGCGGTAAGCCAGAGAGAGCCGGTCTTCTCGGTACAGCGTCATGCCGAGGCCCGAGCAGGCGCAAAACAGACTCACCATGGCTCCAACAGTGGCTCCGGCATCGACTTCGACCCGCAGCTTGTGCCGGCCCGTCGAGATGAGAATGCCGGCAATGCCGAAGAAGACAAACGCGGCGCCGAAGCAGCCGATTGTGCCCCAGAACAGCACTCGCTCCCGGTAGCGATGCAGACGCTGGTTGTGGACGCTGGGCAGCGCATAGTGCGCGGCGTAGCCTTGTGTGGGGAAGTTGTCGGAGCTGGCGTAGGCCTCCTCGTCCTCGTCCGAGTCGGTGTGCACAGCCGTCGTGGAGCCGTAACCCTGGTTGAACGGGCCACCAGACGAAAGAGACGACGTCAGGGGCTGCCGCTCTGATGACCGCGGCTTCCCGAGCCATTCCTTGGCCTTTTCCAAGGGAAAGGAAACAATGGCCTGCGCGTACTTTAAGCCGGGGAAACTCGAGCCCTGGTCGGGGTCGATGTAAATTGCGTAATCGTCTTCTGGATTGCCCGCCTCGCTGCCGTCATCGTACTCGTTCCAATACTTGGTCTGCGGATCGAGATAGGATGGTGGGAGAGGGTCGAAAGTGACGCGCGGTGAGCTCGAGTCGCGTCTCGTCGAAGGGGCCACGGGCGTATCGACCGACGAGGGAGAGCTCGGTTCACTAAGAGCCGGGGTGGCATTGCGAAGCACCTCGGCGACTTGGTCGTGTCGTCGTTGTAAGTCGGAGAAGTCGCGGCGGGTGAAGCTTTTGGGGTTGCTCAGCACCTCGTCATTGAACCTGGTGCTTAATGAGGTTGAGCCAGTCCACTTCTGTCAGGGAGGTTAGACAAGGTAATCCAATCATGACCGGCATCGCGTGTATTAGTGCAAGGGCGGAACAGAAGCCAAGAGGCCTCCGGCATGACATACTCTGTATTTCTTGAGAATCTTGCGAAACGCAGTCACCTGAGCATTGACAAAGCGAATCAAGGCCTGCGTATCTTCCCTGCACCGTAGCAATTCGCGCTCGTACTTGAGGAATTTGCGCTGATTTCTTAGCGATACACTCGGCAGGTCGGACTGATGTTGGCTCTTGGCGGAAACCCGCTTGATGCTGGCGTCGATGTGATCTAGGCCGTGTTAGCCATTGGAGCTTAGCGGACCGGGGGAATAACAGCGGAGGCATACCCAGTCGTCTAGATACCTCGTCCGCCTTGCTGGTGACAAAGAGGTCGAGTCGGTCGTGCTGGCGGCAGAGCTCGTTGTACAAGGCGTCTTCGAATCGGCGTAGGGAGGTGTCTTGGTGGCCTGGGATGGTGCGAGCTGTGGCCTGGTCGCGGGTTGTGTGGGCTTTGATCTCGTGCTTCAGGGAGTTGTAATCGACATTGTCTATGATGGAGATGTCAGCCAGTCTGTATACAAATGGCAACAAGGAGGCTGGGAGGCGCCGAGTCGGACTCTAGGCGACGAGGGCGAGAGCTAGGGGACATACGTAAGCTCCACTCAGGAACGGACTCCCGCTCCAGCTGCTCGCCGTATTTCATGATTCGCAGGAGCTGCTACTGGCGATGATGCTTTCTCGAGGTCAATTGGGTGGCTGCTGGCGATATATGGTCGCATGCGTCGGTGGCACCGTCGGAGGAGCAGAGGCGATGTTTTTGGAGCAATTGGGCTTCTCGAAAGACAACCGCGGCGGTGGGAGCTGATACAGGTAAGACGAGGAGCGGGCGACGACAATGAGGCAGAGAGGTCTCCGGATCGTCTGGTCCGGTCTCCAGGCACGGCTACGATAGAGTTGCAACGAGTGGGAGAGACGGCGCGCAGCTTAGTTGTATGTCAAGGCGCAATTGTCTACCCCAGACTACTTCGGACTGTGGGAGGAAACAAGGCGAATGTAAATTGGTCGAAGCTCGTGGAACAGCCGGATGGCGGTCGTGGCGGTCGCGGAAGGGGGGAGAAGGGAAAGCACAAGAGAAGTCGATTGGGTTGGAGCCGGAATTGACTGTAGCAGAGGCAGAGGCAGATGTTAGACGAATGTAGGGGAGCGATACCGGTCGGAGGAGATAGGAACGAGACTGGCGGCAGGGAAGCCCGGGGATGACCTGGACGGCAGAATTGGGATGAGCCAGAGATAAGGTGCCGTCACAGGATCAACAGCCGAATGTTGTTCGTCTGGGTACTTGCGCTAAAAGCAAGACAGAGCGAACTGATCCGGAGCCGGAGTCGCGGATGATGTAGACGAGGTTGGGGCGATGCCTGAGGTGAGATGTGAGAAGTGTGCAGAGAAGAGACGAGAAGCGTTGCGTAGGTATAGTAAAGAGATAGGTACTGAAGTAGTAGATAGCGAGGATGATGGTGGAACGATTGAGAAGGGAAGTGTACTTCGTAATGCACTTGTAATGGTCTCGAGTACGCTGCACGTGCGGCAAGATTGTCGTACTAGGCAAGTCCTCCGTACAGGCACAGGGACGAATGGAAGTACCCACGATGACGCACAGGAGGCCGCGCCGCGCTGGAAAGGACAAGAAGCAGCAGCAGCAGCAGCAGCTCAGGAACCGTCAATGCCGAGCAGCTCAGAGCAAAAGAAAACAAGGCGGTCGAGAGCAGAGGCAGACGAGGTTTGATCGGCATCCGGAGCAGCCAACGAGCACAGCAGGATCGCGCACGGGGCTCGTGGTATTATATCATCGACGAGGGCGCAGCCTTGGACAGCAACCTGAAAGAATAAGTTGGAACGAAAAGATGGAGAGCCCAGCAGCTGGACCAACAAGGAGGCGAACCGGCCCCGAGCCAAATTGCACGGATAAAATTGAAGATAAGGTGCCCACTATCCACCACAGTGCCTACCTTAGCGCTTGCAGGGTGGCAGCCCGGTGGGTTTCCAGGCGGTGCTAGCAGGTGCCATGGCATTGGCTGGGGGGGGGGGCGTTTGGTGCACTGCATGCTGTGGGGGGGGAGAAGACCGCTATGGGGGGGCCACGAGCTACGGGGCAGCCACGGGCTTCAGTATGGGGGCTTACAGAACGACTACTACAGACGACTACTACTACTATCGGCATTGATCCATTTTGATGGCATGTGCACGTGCAAGCGGCGGTTGGACGGTATGGACGTGAGTAGGTATGATGGCCGAACTCTGATGACATTGAAGCAAGCCAGTCGTGTGGCTGACGATGTCGCTTTGGCTTGAAACCCTAAGGTAAGGTAAGGTATGACTTGAGCTGCTGATGGGTCAAGATGGTTGAAAGACAAATTTACATGTGCCCGGGGCAACGTCATCACGGTGAATACGGCAGTGGAAATATTATTACTACATGGAGCAGCCACAAACAGACAGAATCGCCTCGCGCGGTGAGACAAGCACGACAAAAGACCGTCTCAGCTTACCTACATTGCAATGGCTTTGCGCTCTTGTGCTTCAACGAGGGCCAACATCATTGGATGCCAGTCAACAGCCAGTGCAGAATCGACACGCACGCACAGCTACTACCTACCTACTTACCTATCATCAAACCCGAGCAAACGCCGTCCTTTGGTCCCTCCTCCTATCCTCCCCTCTCTCTGTCCGACGAGCACCGTCATGAAGATGCAGTCCGAAATCTCATCACACCAATCACCACGTCATGACACATACAGATTTAACAAGAAATGCTGCCACGGCAAACAGGGATGTCTAACGACACAGGGAAGACATCATCAACAATTGGCATGGAGCGTCAATAAGGAATAATGACATGTGCTTCTCGCTTGCAGTCGCTCTCGCATTGCCGTCCAGAGCCATCCATCGTATTCTTTCGCGATGATAGTCGTGAACTCATACTCGACCCTTGCCGCATTAGCACGACCCAATCAACAACCCAGTCACAAACGTTTACCCGTCGTAACTATCGATGTCGGAGACGGTTACGTTCCTGTCGGCTCCTAGACAAATAACCCGACCGCGGAAGCCAAAGGAAATCTCACAGCCTCCCAATCAGAACGCAGAAACTGCAGCATCGTGCTTGTGCCTCGTAAAGAAGCCCTCTCTGTATCGAATGTGGTTTGGGGCCAGCTTGTGTAGGAGCTGCTGTCATTGGCCGAGGCCGTTCAAGCTTGTGCTTTGGCGGCCGCTGCCCTACGATACGGAGTTCGGCTAAAGGCGCGAGAGCTTGTCAAGGGGGGTGGACTCGAGACTTGCAGGGGAGTGACATGGTCCCGATTGATGGAGCTAATGAAAGCCCTATACATGTACATACTACAGTACTACGGAGTATTGAGTTGCTGAAGAGATTTCACTGCATAAAGCTCGTGGTGACTACACCTTGTACGAGGAAGAGGGAGCATATGCCGTTGTACCAGAGAATATGCTCTAGATTGCTTCAGATATAGCACCTTTGTACGATGCTCTCCGCTGCTTCCAATGCCCTGTAGCCGAGCGTACCGACACACTAGATAGCTTCCATATGACCGTTGGCTTGATCGAATCTGCCCAGAGGTCAAGACATTTGCTACAAGTATTATTGTATTTTTCCTCAAGAACCCCCAGTGAGGTTGAATTCAGCTCCATTCTGATTGGATATGTGTACATACTAAGGTACCTATCCAAAGTCAAGAGACGCTGCAAGTGCCGGATTTGGCACTAAAGCTGCAAATCTCAAAATTCTTGCCTAATTTGCAAGTTCTAGACTTTCAGTCTCTTGATTTTTCACACGATACCATCACATGTCGCTGACTCGACATTCTCACAAAGAGAGCGAGGAGACCGTTGTTGCTGTCTTCTTTCCAACGCCCAAACCCTGGCACTCAAGGAACAAGAACATAGTAATACCTACTGTAATACCTACTGTAATACTGACAAGCATCAACAGAAACCAAACGAAAGCGAGCAAGAACCAGGATCAGGATCCACAATCTGCAGCTCTTCTCAACCCGTTCACCGAGACGGACCAACTCCAACGAACCAACGCCCTCTCCTCGTCAATAATTCTCCGCCTGAACCCTTTTTTTTTTTTTTTTTTTTTGCTTCCAACTTCAGTTCGTTTCTGCTCTACCTGCTAGGTCTTTCTCCTGTAACAAGGTAGAACCCGATCGGCCCGTTCTTGTGGACTTTTGCGCTCTTTGCCACTGATGTCGCGTGAGACTTTGCCCAAACTGGAGATGTTTTCCCAGCAAGTTTGTGTGTTGTTGGATCTTTGGATTACTATTGTTTCTTTTGCGAGCTGAAGCTGGGTGGGAAGCATGAATCCGGGTAAATTCGAGCCGTTGTATTCTCAGATGCTTCATGTTCCATTACTGCTGCTCGTGTTGTGCACGTACATGATGCCCTCGTCGTTTGGTGTTGGTTGATTCCGCTCAGACTCAAATGTGATGAGATCCTCCATTGCAAGCTGCCCTTGCTTTCCATGACCTTTCATCCTACTTTTATCCTTGATACGTATCACGACAGTGTTGAATTGACACAGAAAAAATCCCCAAGCTGAGCAGCAAGAGATCAAGCAAGACCGAACAAGGCTCAACTCATGAAGAGCCCAAACGAAGCACCAGGGCCTGTGCAAACCCGGTCCCCCGATCCACCCAGCGGTAAATCTAGATTGCAAAGGCCCGCCGCCTCTCCATCCCGAAGCCCGCGCTGCTCCATTTTACAAGGGTTCTTTTTTTCTCTCCTCTCCTCTTCGTGTTGGACTGGGTTACTACCAATACATGTGCAAGGCTGCTATGTACTGTACCTACCTAGTATTCAGCCGGAGCCAGCCGCCGCAGTGGGTTTCGTTATTATATGGTGGGTTTCTTGCGTACGTACAGTACCTACTCGTACGAGCTGGATAGTACTACCTTTTGCCGCCTTCCGAAGGGAAAGAAGGGGACGGCGTCTTGGCGAGAGGGCCTATATCCGAGGTGTGTCTATAATCCCTTTGACTTGTCTAATGTCTGTCTTTGTAGGTAGTAGTCCATATCCTCATGTAACAGAATATCGCCGCTCTTCCTTATAAAGAGCACCACCACCTTTGATAAGACGACACGATCCCTCATCCAATGATGTTCCATATGTCCACGAGATGGCCACTCCCATCACCTCCAATCCATCACTTCTCCTCCTCTCCAACATCTCAGCTCCCACGCAGAAGCAGAATACCATCCACAAGTTATCAGGGTAGTATTACCGCTATCAAAGCAACACCCCATGTCCGCAGCCTCTACCTCCCTCCTTCCGCATCTCACAAAACCTGCAGAATCTCTTGTAAAATACCTGTATGTATGCATGCATGTAGGGTACCCGACGATAAGAAGTATGTAAACAACCCCCCCTTTTCTCGCCTTGCATGCATAGAGTACTACTACTAGGATATCGCCATCACGCAAAAAGCCATCAAACGTCCGGTTTCAGGGCGTTGGAGTGGGGGGTCGCACCACGGACAACACATCCATATCTAGGTACACACCTTTGCATGCATATAGCCACACAGAAGGACCTGGAGTGCCATTTCACTGCATGTCCTCACAGGATTGGCCACGCGAACAAACCAGCTTGCGGCTGAGCCTTTCAGCTCTAAGGCAAAGAATGCAACACCATGACCAGCAGTACCAGGGCCTGCTTCTTGCTGTCTGTGTGGTCGTTTAGGCGATGGGAACCCTCCACAACTACGAGTTATGTTTGCTATGATAGCCGTGGAGCGTCCATCCCTCCATCGGCAGCACACCAGCCCGATGCCCAAAGTACATGTTGAAGGACATTCCTCACACGAGAGAACCTACTTAAGCAGGTGGACAGGCATTGTATATTCCACACAGTCAGCCGTCGCCCTTTCACCAGGTCGACCCGATCAACTGTGCAACTTCGTTTCCCTCCGCATGCAAAAGGTCCTGGGATGAACGTCTGTGATCAAATTGCGAACAGCCTGCGCGCATCGAGCTAGTATCAGTTCCAAGTCAAGCAACTACGGAACAGTTCGACTTAGGTAGTGGTCACGCGACACTTTTGACCTTCCTCCGCAGGAACAGGTCTCAGACAGACGGCGAGAAGAGATCATTGGATATGGAATCATTGGTAGAAGATACCTAGGTACAGTAGGTGGACACGCATGTAGCAGCCTCGTAAGTCTGGGCTTTCCACCCTGCCGCCGATAATGGAGCCAGAAGTAGATTGCGAAGAGAGTCGGGTGGACAAGACAATACCTATGCAGAAACATGCAGTGATATATGTACGCATTAATTCGTTCTAGTAGGCCCGTTGAAGATGAACAAGGGTTCAATACAGCCGTGTTCATTCTACCCTTGCATTGTTGCAGCAGTCATGTTATCAATATTAACTGCATGAGGCCGCATCGGGTAAAATTCAACAACGACACCGACTTTTGCGGGAAGCCTGAATATAACTCGCCTCGCTCTCCCTGGGGCTGAATGCCAAGATTTACAAGAGGTATGTATGGACAGCCTTTCTTCGGGTTCGCTGTTGAGTTAGAGTTGAGACATCTCGGATAAGATTCCATGTTACTGTAGCCAAGAGGCCTGGGCTTGCTGTCTCTTTGTGTTGCCAGCAATGCCTTCATGTTGATACCTACGTGAACTTGCGACACACCAACGTTTCCGCCTTAACATAATACGAGCTAGGTATCAAAGAGTCTGGGCGAGCTGCCTCATTGCAATATTTTACATGCATGCTAAATTCGATAATGTGTGCAGTTTCAAGATGTATCATAGCAATTTGCCTGGTATCTTTCGCAAAACAATGCCCATACAAAGGTTCTCTTCTAAGATGTATGCCGCTATGGCACTTGATCACCAACACTGTGGCACAATGAGATTCGGCCATTCATGTCTCCTGTCACTTCGTTTTCTCGTCCCATGCTCAAATTCAAATGCTTCAAGCCTCCTGGTGTTCAAGGACTCGCTCAGTCTCCAAAACGCCAATGATGCTCCCATTGTTGGTGATGGCAATGACGGACGCTCCGCCCATTGCCTGGTCCTGTTGGTCAACCTGCGATTGCATGTCCTGCAAGATCTGCCGCGCCTGGCGGACCGTCGTCTCGGACGACATGGCCAGCATCTGGTGACGAGACACCGTGAGGCCCGTGACGTCCTTGATTGGTCTCACCATGTCTGCGTCACTCAACGCCCGCATCCTGCTTGGGACGGCAACCTGATCGCCGACTCTGACCCAGCCCGTCTTGGACTTGTACGCTGTCCGAAGCAAACTCAGCGCGAGATCGTCACTGCTCAGGCCACTCGTAACGTCAACGTCGTCCCATGGAACGAGGATGTGACCCAGCGTCTTGGGACCTCGGGCGGCCAGTGCCACCGCAGCACCAATGGCGCCGCCAGGATGGTTTTTGGCAAACATTGTCGAGACACAAGCATGAAGCTCATGAGCGGCCGTCAGTGCCAGCGCATCCCCCAAGGCCAGGGCAACAGTGGTTGATGCGGAGGGAGCCGAGACGCCAAAGGATACCTTTTCAGGCTCGATGATGGGCGCTGGCAGCAGTATCGTGCTGGGTCGGTGCTTGACAAACTCGCATGTTTCGTGTCTCATGTGCGAAGTCAGAAGTATTGTCGGGAGCCTCTCGTCTAGGTGAGGTAATGTGAGGAGAAGCTCCTGAGTCTTTCCGGAGTAAGTGATGAACAAGAGCGTATCTTCCGGGCCCACGATGCCTAGGTCTCCGTGTAGAGCTTCGGTCGGATGAAGAAAGACGGAGCGTATCGCCAGACTTTGAAACGTAGCGACAAGCTTCTTTCCTATGTGGCCGGATTTGCCCACTCCCATAATGACTAGCTTGCCCTTGGTCTTGGCCAGCCGGGTAATGGCTTTGATGGAGGCATTGAAGCCGTTGCGGGCAACCGCGTCAACCTCGTACAGCTTCGTGAGGTTTGCCAGTGCCGCGGCCTCGACATTGAGCACGTGAATGCCACTGTGAAGTCTCCTATCCATCATGGCTTGCTCTCGCAGAGAGTCTCTGTCGAGACTAAAGCCATCCGCAGGGTCTGCAATCTCATTGGCTGACGGCGAGGCCGATGGAGTTGGCGGAGAGGGAGGAGGAATTGACGAGCATTTTGATGCGCTCAGCACAATCACAGCGCTCGTCTGGATCGGCCTGTGATCGCCGTGTCGTAGATCAATCATTGTGTTCGTCGATGAGGTGAGTTGAGAAGAATTGAGTCGATGAGTAGCCAACAAGGCAGAATCAGCAGATGGCTTTTATGCCTCTGCTTCACCTTTGCAACTTCAATCTGCTGACACTGAGAAACCTCAAGGGCCAGGTGGCAATGGCTGAAAGGCCAATGCGATGGAACCTGAGAACCAGCGCACGAACCTGTCCCGAAAACCAGGTGACTGGCAACGGCCCAATGGCACAACGGACACGTCAAATGCGAGGCAGCTCTGGATGCGCACAAAGTCCCGGTTCCCCAAACACGAATGACGCCTCCCCCGGATTTTCAAAGGACTAGCTCTTCCGTCGACGTGTCGCCGTGTCACTTGTCGAGTCCTTGGAGGTTGGACCCTGAGCCCATTTCCGAAGTGGTACCAGGAATGAATTGAAAAATTTGATGGAGAGAGGCGGATTGCGAGCTTTTCAAGACATGGCCATGACGGCAATCGAGAAACCCCCAGGAAATGAGGATCGGGAAAGGCTTATGGAATCAGGGTCTGATCGCCGTAGATAAGGGACCTTTAAGGGATCGAGCAGAGTTGCACAGAGGTCGAAAAAGTCGCAGAGTCATCGATCCGTGTGAGTGGACGGCGCGGCGATTGGTGGAGGCGGGCGATTGTGTGCTTGAGATCCTCGACGCCAATTGGGCGACGGCTCGGGCTGGAGTGCGGAAGGGCGATGCGATTTCTAATGGCGAGAGCCCACTCGGGCTGGGCTGAACAAGGCATAACAGTTGGACCGACGCAGCGACCAGTTGGACCGCTGTAGAACGTCCAGTGGCTTTTTGCTGTTGTTGCTTGGCATGATGGCTTGTGCGAGGTTCGTGTCGAGCGGTCATTGACACGTTTGACTCGATGGTGAGGAAGCAAAACAGGAGGGAATACCTGCGGGGTCAGGATTGTGTCTGTCCCTCTCTGAAGGTACCCGCGTCCAGCATCATCGCAGATATGCAGCCCAGCTCGTATCTCCGCCATATGCAGCTGTGCTCTGCCTTGAACCGAGAGCCCGGCGTCTCCAGAAGCGCGCAAGTCGTTCCGCGGGAGTGCTTTGATTGCTTGCATTTGATGTGTGCAGCCCCCGCATCGTCACGCCATCAGCAGTGCAAATGAGTGCTGCTGCCGGTGCGAGGGTCAATAAATTTCCGAGGCTATCCGAGAGGTTGCATTTCGAGGAGATGCCAAGGAAAGAACGAGTCGTGAACTACCTACTTATTAAACAAGCAACAAAGGACAAGAAAGAAGGAGCAGCCTGCCCTCACGAGCCAGATATAGACCCTACCCTACCTTACCGGGGGATAGTGCGAGGCTGCCACTCTAGTAGCTATGCTACTATTGCTCCCATAATATTATTTTTACTTCCACTATGCTTGCAGCCAGCACTAAACTTGCAGACTCGCTTAGGACAAATGCAGCTCTCTGATTGGCTGGTTTAGAGAGAGAAGAGGTACCTGATAACACTAGTAAAAAGCTATTGCATTACTTGTATTGACTCTACCTGGCTACTGTATGCCACCTTTCCACCTTAGCCAATCCAGCAGCCAATCCAGCAGCCAATCCAGCAGCCAATCCAGCAGCCAATCCAGCAGCCAATCCAGCAGCCAATCCAACCAGCAGCCAATCTGACCAACGGCGGCGGCGCCAATAGCGGGTGTGTGTGCGTGCGTGTGTGTTAGTAGTGGGACCTGTAAAGCGGCGCGAATGTTAGTACCTGGTATTGCAGAGTGGCTGGATGTGAGGCATCGACTGACCTTGTGCTGTGTGCAAGTGATGATGATGATGAGGAAGAGGAAGAGGAAGAAAAAAAAAAAAAAGAGGAAGAGGGAGATAAAGAGAAAAAGTGTAAAGGTAAGGCCTGCTGGTGCCTGAGGCTCTGAGAGGATGTGAGCAGAAAGTGAGAGAGAGGGCAAGAGCAACACAGGCCTGGTAAAGGGCATGTATTTTACTATACATTTTACTAAGGAAGCTACATTAGTCCTACAAGCTTTGCAACCTCTGCAAGTTTAGTGAGTTCTGCAAACTTAGGGGCCATTTGCAAGCCTTGCAGCCTTATAGGTTTTCCCAGTAAGGTACCTTACCTTACCTTACCTTAGGTACCTTACCTGATAGCTTAGCACCAATACCTACCACTGTAACCTATCATGACCTCTCTTCATCATCTCCCTCAAAGATACCTCATCTCCGATTGACAGCTTTCCAAGTTGCCTTTGCCCAGTTCCAACATGGTTCATGTTCCAAACCCGCCGAAAACGTGTGAGCCGCCTCTTTGTCTCTCCCCGTGGACCGGGTCCAGCCGTCAATCATTGGCTCGCCCCCGTTCAGCCCTCCCGCCTTTGTCTTTGTCTCAGGCTAGCGGCCGCTTCAGGGAATTAATTATGCAAGATGCAATCTGCCATCACCTCCGACTTCTGTCCGCATGCGATTTTGCATTCAGTGCCACTATCTCCAGGGCTTCAGGTCGACAAGACGGCCACGATGGCGATGCTCTGCCAGCAGCGATAAGACCAATTGGCCGCCATAAAGCCACTCAATTCCCTCAGGCTTCCCTTCATACCAAATGTTGCCTTAGGGGAAAACTAAAAACAAGAAACGTCGTCCACTCGCAGAACCCGCTCGGTGGCTTTTGGTCTGGTTTCTCCACGATACCCCCAACGCTGATTCACCGTGTCGACAGCGAAACGAGCAACAAACCCCCCTCCCCAGAAAAAAAAAGCACAGGCTCACTCACCCACGTCAAGAAGAAACACCACGTTCTGCCAGTTGGCCCCGGCTTCTCCGGTCCACCCGCCAACCCGCATCTCCGGAGAGCCAGGAACAAACGAAAGGGGCCGCAGCTATTGAGTTAATTCAACACAATAGAAATGAAAGAGCAGCAGTAGTTCACCGGCAATTGTTCATGCTCCTTTCACTGTTTTCCTTGTTCCTTACGTAAGGAGGGAGAAGGCGTGTTATAAATCTCGTTTGCTTTCTTTTGCCCCCCTGGGGCTTGCTTGTTGGCCTTGTGCTACTATCTTCATCAACATTGACTATTTTCGATAAGAAAGAATATTCGTATCGTGGACTTTTAAAACGATATAACGGCAACTCGGAGAATAGCATCCATTTTTAGCCGTCCCGGAGCCCGCGATGGCCTCACGGCAGGCTGCAGAAAAGGGGTTGCCCCTGGAACTGGAATCGGAACCCTTTCTAGTGCGGGACCAGGCACGCGGCTCCCGCATGCGAGACAGACCACGCCGAGGTTTGTGGCACTACTTCAAGTGGCTCTTAGCCATTGTCGTGTTGTTGTTTGCCTGCCGCAGTGCTGTCGTTCGTACCTTCAGATGGGCTACGGTGTCTGGTGAGATCTACAGCAGCGAAGTCCAGCAGGAGATTCAGGAGGAGCTCGCAGGCCGGAGATTGGCTGCTCTACTACGACAGCAGTCACACGAGGAGCGCCATCAAGAACAGAACCATTCGAGACCAGGAAGCGGCGGCAAGGCGCAGGCTCATGGCACGGCTGGCGGCGCTGGAGATGACCACTATCTCATCGGAGTGGGCAAGGCCGACATCACGGGGCCCGTGGTCGAGATCAACATGATGGGCTATGCAAACACTGACCAGGTCGGCAGCGGCGTGCGTCAGCGTCTCTACTCACGCGCCTTCATCGTGGGTGACCTTGACCACCCAGAGGACAGGTTCATCTACCTCGTCTTGGACACGCAGGCCGGAGACACCGCTGTGCGATACGGCATTCTCAGGGGCCTTGCGGAACTCGGACCAGAATATGCCATGTATGGGCACGACAACCTGGCCGTCACGGCAACTCACTCTCACTCCGGACCTGGCGCCTGGCTCAACTATCTACTGCCTCAAATTACCAGCAAGGGCTTTGACAAGCAGAGCTACCAGGCCATCGTCGACGGCTGCCTCCTGTCTATCCGTCGCGCGCATGAGAGCCTGGAGCCCGGCTCACTAACCGCCGGCAACACCAAAGTCTATGGTGCCAACATCAACCGGAGTCTCTATGCATACCTCGCTAACCCGGCGGAGGAGAGGGCCAAGTACAACATCAGCGCGGAAGACGACGGCTCGGTGGAGAAGGACTTGAGTCTGCTTAAGTTCACGAGAGCGTCCGACGGCAAGAACATTGGCGTGCTCACATGGTTCCCTACTCACGGCACGTCCATGCTGGCCAACAACACCCTCATCACGGGAGACAACAAGGGCGTGGCCGCCGACCTATTCGAGAAGACAGTCCGCGGAAGGGATGGGGAGACGGACGATTTCGTTGCCGGCTTTTCTCAGGCCAGCATGGGCGACGCGAGCCCGAACACGCTTGGCGGCTGGTGCGACGATGGCTCGGGCGAAAGATGCGACCTGAAGACGAGCTCCTGCAGCAGCAGCGGCATGACAAAGTACTGCCACGCAAGAGGGCCCTTTTTCAGGGAACAGGATTCAGGGGCCTCGTCGTGTTATGAGATTGGCAAGCGGCAGTACGAGGCGGCCATTGCCTTGTACGCCTCGATGGAGCAGCAGCCGCCCAACATAAAGGGGTCGGGTGTCAAGGCATTCCACCGCTTCCACGACATGTCTGATTTTCAGTTCCAGCTGCCCAACGGCTCAGCCGTACGTACGTGCTCAGCGGCACTGGGCTATTCTTTCGCTGCCGGGACCTGGGACGAGCCAGGTCACTTTGATATCACGCAGTGGGGATCCGACGAGTCCAACTCGTCGCCGGCTTGGAAGGCTTTGCGATGGCTTGTCGGAGCTCCCAGCAAGGAGCAGATACAGTGTCAGGCTCCGAAGCCTATTCTTCTCAACGTGGGAAAGACGCACAAGCCCTACCACTGGACGCCAGATATTGTGGACATACAAACGTTCAGAGTCGGCCAATTCATCATCATTGTCAGTCCCGGAGAGGCGACGACGATGGCTGGCCGGCGCTGGAAGGATGCTGTTGTAGAGGGCAGTAGGACTCAGTTGGCCGAGGAACTAGACGGAAGGGAGCCGATTGTGGTTCTTGGAGGGCCAAGCAACACTTATACCCATTACATCACGACGGAGGAGGAGTATGGGTAAGTTCTACTTTCACAAGGTACATCATTGGGCAGCACTAACATGCGGAATCTACAGCATCCAGCGATATGAGGGAGCTTCGACTCTGTATGGTCCGCATACCCTTGCGGCTTACATAGATCGGACCAACGCGCTGCTTCATCTTCTTAAGGACGATGCTCCTCGCAGCGAGCCTGGCTCCCGTGAAAGCGGCCCCTTGCCGCCCGACAACAGTGACCGATCGTTTGGCTTCAACACGGGCGTCTTGTTCGACAGTCCATCACACTCTCACCAGTTTGGCGACGTGATTGCGGACATTCCCAAAAGCCGATTCTCCCCCGGCGAACGGGTGACTGCAACTTTTGTCGGAGCCAATCCACGAAACAACCTACGACTGGAGCAGACGTATGCCGCCGTCGAACACCGCCGTCCCGGCGAGACGGAGTGGATAGTCGCGCGCGACGACTCGGACTGGGGCCTCATTTACTCGTGGAAGCGAAGCAGCCTCCTCATGGGCACCAGCTCGGCGAGCGTCATATGGGAGATTGAGCCGTGGACGGAGCCGGGCGAGTACAGGCTTTGTTATTTCGGCGATGCAAAGTCGATTGACGGCGCGATTACGGCGTTTGAGGGTAGAAGCGCGGCGTTTATGGTCGTTTGATGGCCTTTTGTTTTCGTTTGGTCGGCCCTGAGAGGGTCGTTGTTTCTTGTACTTTTATGGGATTTTCTAGACAGTGCAGACTGGGATAGACTGGCTGGCTTGGTTTTTTTCCTTCTATTTGCTATACTAATAGGTAGCTGCCGAATTTAGACGGACGGGTTACGTGGATGGCGTTCAAGATATAGGCTGGAGGTCTGGTTTCTTTTTTTTTCTATATAGACCTGGACAGGCTAGGTTCAGCTAAACCGACTCGCAATTGAAGGATGCGATATTAAAGACTCAAGAGCGTGCTGTACTGTAAGGTAGTTGCATGTAATATCACTCGTAAGCACTGTTTGTGGCATGGCATGCATCATGTCAAAGAAGCTTCAAGCTTGTGACTTTACCGTCTTACGCAGCACTGCATCCATGCACACATTCCCATCAGACCCCCCTGACCAATTGTCGCTCCATCCCTGTCGATCGGTGTTGCACGAGTAAGCAGCCAACCTTGCGAGTCTGAACACGAGGCAGCCAAGCAGATGGCGCCATTGTCCAACGTGGCTCCCGAGTAAACTAATCAGAATGGGCAACGGCAGAAAAGTGCCTACTAGTAATGAAGAAGAAGAAGAAGAAGAAGAAAAAAAAAGAGACATGTGCTTTTTGCCGTATGCAAGGAGTTGTTGCCCTATCAGAAGAACTGACGGGATACTAGCAATACGAATTCTAGACTTTTGATTTTCTGTTCTATTTTTTCTCTGCTAGTGCTGGAATGGGAAAGGGGGGGAACGATATGGGCAGGGCAGCAGCTGAATGGCTGTTACTATTCTGACGTACCTACCTAGGTAGGTAGCTACAGGCAGACTATTGATTCGACGATGAAGAGGCTTTGTATGAGTACATCCAGCCTGTGAGAATGAGAGGAGTGGACTGTTTACTAACTCTGGGGGAAAGGATTGGGTTTGGGAACAGAAATGCACAGACTCTTCCTGACGAATGCTTGGCAGCGACGACCATGACGCGAAATAAGCATTTTGTGCGTCGTTCAGGCACGATTTCCCGTATTGAAGCGTTCGTTGCAATGGAATGCGGATGTAGTTGTCTAACGAACAGGTGGCCGTGGAAAAGGGCAGCAGCAGCAGCAGCAGCACATGCAAATGGACCGACACTGCCACCCCCTTTGTCGTGTTCAGCCGCGCTCGTTGACATGGACATTGAACAGGGACAGCTTCGTTCCTTTTGAGTAGGTAGGAACTAAGGTACCTACCTACCTAGTAATCGTCGACTGTTAGTACTTGATGTATGTATGTAGTGGCAGTTGGACAATGCCTGTATCTCTCTCATTCCCTTTGCCAACGAGCAAAGGGAAAGTTCTAAACTTCTTCTAGCAACACCAAGGGCATTAGTATCTCATGCCATGCCCCAACCACACAAACCTCTCCTGCGTTCATCCCGAGTCCCCGGTTGCGGCAGCGCTACCGCAAGCATGAGCCACCTACCTAGTAACAGCCACCTACCTAGTCTACCAGGTAGGTACCTACATATCGCAAGGCACATACGAACGGGTATTTTAGTGCCCCATAATCGAATTGCCTTTACCATCCAAACGAAACAAGGAAAAAAAAAAGTCTCTCCAGCAGCCAAGGCAAGGCAAGCGAGCAAGCGAGGCAACAAGATGCGACATGCATGTACCTGCCGAAGCAAGGCTCGTAAAATGTGGATGCCGCAGCTCCATGTGGTGGGGGCTGCATGTTTCTGCTCTCCCCTTTGGCCTCCCTCTATTGGACGCCCGAGAAGTTCTGGCATGTTTCAAAACACACACGGCAGGAAAGAATCAAGCATCAGATCCGTTGTTGCTTGTCCTCGTTTTCTTTCAGCCTCCCGAAGAGGCCGAGTGTGGTGTGCAGGTACTGCTACTTGTGATAGTGACACTTCAAATGTCGGCACCTGTTCGTTCACATCAACGCTGATGCCGCCTTGAATCCATCCATCAATCAATCGTAGTAGGGCATCACACGAGGACGAGCAGCAGAGTGACACTGATGCCGCATGCACAGATTTGGCCTGCGCAAACGCCGTCGCACAGCATCAGGCCCATGTCTGTCTGGTCTCCCCTCCGTCTGCAGCTCCATGGCCGTCTTCAGCTGCGGCTCGACCCTCGCTTGTGCCATCCATCTCCTGTCTCTCTCTCTCTCGGCCGCTTCCCAACTCGTACAACCTCCCTCTCCTGTTGGTACCTCACTTGGTAATCCAGTACAACAACTCCGTTCCTACCTACCTACATGTAGCCAACTTCACATTCTCAACCTCTACAGCACTGTAGAAACTCTGGCCTTGTTCCCTTTATAATGGCAGATCAGATCCGAGCTCTCTTGATAGTAGTCTATACTCTAGGAAGATGATCAACACATAGGCACGTCGTGCTTGTACAATCACCTCATCAATCTCCTTCCGTCGTCTGTCGTCATTGCCTGCGCAACTGCCTACTACAGTCTGTAACCCCCCCTGCAGCTCATCCCAAGTACCCGTACTTACACGCACCGTCAATGGATCCCTCCCCCTCCAGACGTGCATCATCCAATGCGCTGCCCGGGATCCCGCCGCCTGCTAGCCAGCCAGGTTAGTGGTGCTAGCGCCAGCGTCCGCAGCGCCTGTGCCCCTCTATATCTCGTACCTATACCTGCCCGTACATACCTTGCCCGGGCTGCCTGGTACCTTAGCAGCCCAGTGCCTGGAGCCCGCTTGGAGCAGGAAACTGGACTATACGAGTGACTAGGTAGTAGGTAGGTGGACTGATAGCTGATCTCTCCAGGCTTTGCCTCTCGCCGTTTTCCATCCAGGTCCATCCGGCTTTTCCCTCGGTCCAGCATTCTGCTTGCTCTGGTTTTCTTTTTTTTTTCTCTTTTTTTTTTTTCTTCTTTCTTCTTGTTTCTCTCTCTCTCTGGTCCATCATTCACCTCGACCGTCGATCCCATTTTCATGTCTCGAAGCAGCCTCGTCCCATAATTGGCTGCCGCCGGCATCCCTGATCGATAAGCCACAGACGCGAGCCCCGAAGGTGGAGATAGCCTCTAATACCGGCCCTGTCCAGTCCTGCCCTGTGCTGTATACATACTGTACTGTACGAATTACTCGTCTGGCTGCTGCAGCTGGTTGTCTCCCGCCCTGGCCTGGCCCTCTCAAGCGTCAAATTCCAATCGCCAGTCCAGAATCTGACAATCTCACACATCCCGCCGTTGTGTGTGTGCTTTGCGTTACGCAATACGAGATAGCGAATCTTGCCTTCTCTTCCTTGTCCTCCCCTCCTCCTCGCTTCCCCGAGCTCTGCTGGACGACGACTCTCGGCTCGGCTCTTGTTCTCTTCTCTCTCTTTCTCCTCTTCTTATACTACCTCCTCAAGCTCAATCATACATACACCTCTGGCCCAAGCTCAGCCGCCCACCCCTGGCCGAGGTGACGTCTTTCCCACGCCTTGTTTAATCTAATTTCCTTTCCCTATCGAGTCGCCCGGCTCTTCCAGCTCTCAAACCTCGACTCGACCTTTCGATACGGCAACCGTCCTCTTTTACCACTTGCTTCCTCTCCGCCACATTCTCCTCCCGCCCGTCTGCCAATCGTCCCGTCCTTCCCGCCAAGCATGGGAGCGGACCGGAGCTGGTCCTCGTCTTGGCGAAGCTTCCTCAAGATGCCGTCCCGCAACTGGCGAGCCGCCCTCATCGTCGGCTGCACGCTGCTGCTGACGCTGCCCCTCTACCAGCTGCGCGACCACCAGGCCGCCGGCTACTACAAGCAGTACATCTACGACCACCTGTCGCCCTACCTGCAGGGCCAGGGCGTCTACAACAATACCCTGTATCGCGAGGGCACCGAGGCCGCCGTCCACTCGCGCTGGAACTTCAGCTCGCCATGCGATGGCTTCCCCAATATGGACGGCATCATGCTCGTCATGAAGACGGGCGCCACCGAGGCCTTTGACAAGCTGCCCACGCAGTTGCTCACCGGCCTGCAGTGCATTGACGACTTTCTTATCTTTTCAGACCTGGTATGTTCCCTTTTCTCCATACAAGCATGTCCCTCTGTCACATGCCTTTGACGACTCGTTTCGCAAGCCGCCTTGGCAGCGGCATTGATTTGTCAAGGTCCAACAGCGACAAAGAACTGCGATCAAGGGCTTCTTCTTTCTTCATCCAATCCAACGATACACACACTCAAATCACCCTCGCCGACGAGCAACGCAGGCTAACACCCACCCAAGGAGCAGCAGATTGGCAAGTACCACATCTACGATTCCCTCGACCGCGTCGACGACAAGATCAAGGAAAAGTACAAGGAGTTCCAGCTCTACCAGGCGCAGCAGGAATGCCCCGTCTCGCAAAAGGACTGCACCACCGGCATGGACGGCGGCTGGGAGCTGGATAAGTTCAAGTTCGTCAACATGGTGGTCCGCGCCTGGGAACTGCGCCCCGACCAGGACTGGTACGTCTTCGCCGAGGCCGACACCTACGTCGTCTGGCCCACGCTGGTGCACTGGCTGCGCAACAAGGTCAACCCGCGCGACAACGTCTACGTCGGCAGCGTGGCCATGATCGCCGGCTTCCCCTTTGCCCACGGCGGCAGCGGCTACGTCGTGTCCGGCGCCCTCATGCGCAAGATGGCCCAGATCCCCGACATTACAAAGTACGACGAGAAGGCGGGAGAGGAGTGCTGCGGCGACGTCGTCTTCGCCAGGGTCGCCAAGGAGGTGGGAACCAAGGTCATGAACGCACACCCAATGTTCAACGGCGAGAAGCCCAACACGCTGCCCTATGGCCCAGGCCACTGGTGTGAGCCTCTCCTTACCATGCACCACATGAACTCGGAGGAAATCAGCGCCGTGTGGCAGTATCAGCAGACACGCACCAAGAAGGTTGGTGGTCTCTTCGCGCCTACAATATCCGCCAGATTTACGCTAACCCGTGTGTGTGTGCCAGGACTTTATGCAAATTCGAGAAATGTACTACGCTTTCTTCGCTCCCAAAATGGTCGCCTACCGAAAGGACTGGGACAACCTGTCAGACGACACTTGCTACATTGCTCCGGATGAAGAGAGTCAGAAAAAGGCCACTGGTCAACAGAGAGACCGGCAGGTCAAGGAGGCGGACAAGAACGTGGTCCAAAAGTATGCGCACAACTCGCCAGCCGCCTGCGCCAAGGTCTGCGAGGCCGAGGGACTCGACATCCCCGCCGACGAGTACGAGAAGCTGGAGACGGAGACGGATCGCGGCAAGCTGATCCGGGCCAAGTACGACGAGATCGCCAGCGGAAACTTTGCGACCAAGAAGGACCGCAAATGCTTCCAGTGGCGGTACCAGAAGAACGTGTGCTGCACGAGCAGGAGCTTCAAGCTCGGCAAGCCCAAGAGGGAGAAGAATGACGCAGACAAGTGGACGAGCGGGTGGTTCGTCCGGGGCATCAACGACTGGATCGAGGCAAGGGGCGAGTGTCCCGTTGAATGGAAGAACCCTCACTAATGGCTGGAGTTTTGATACGACACCCGACGGCGACGACCGACGACGTAATGAGTGGTTACGTCTTGACGGCGACGAGAAGTGCGCATCAGTGTGACCCTGAACAATCTTTCCTTTGCTCTTTACATCTCTATTGCGGGCACCTAAATAACCGGCGGTATTGTGGACGCGAGCATCTTTTCTTCCAATGTCTTGTTTTCTGCCTCTTATTGTTGGTTTTCTGTTGGCATAGACTGGACGGGTGACGAGACACCCACGGCGTTTTTTTTTTTTTTTCTTTCCACAGGGGGGCATGAGATACAAGGAAGGGGGGGAGAAAACATGGGAAGTTGGGAGGAAAACCCCCCCTACTTTTTGCCTTGTTGATCTTACTTGTCTTTTTCTCTCTCATCTTACATCATCTGTGTGCCCCCTTTTTCTTTTTCTCCATTCAATCATTCAGCATGAGGTTGGGATCGGCAGTTGGGAGAGTAAGCCGGAGGGGCTTTTTCTCTTTTTTTTCTCTCTCCTTGTCACAGATCATCTGGTTAGGCTGGGTTGGGTTGGACATGGGGCATGGCCATTGTTTGTTTGGATTGAAACGGAGAGGACCGCATTGGAAGGCGGCATATACATACATGAACATTTTATTTTTTACATAGTACATGGCTATTTGGAAGGCATTTTACATAGACCTTTATCAGTTACGGGCATATTTGGTCTCCCAAGATGGGAGTAGGATGCTTGAAAAGTAAGACGGTATGGGGAAAAAAGAAGACGAATCTTGAGATATATTCGCCTGTTGATCTTGGTCTTACCATGAAGTGATGTGATGGAATGACGAGCCCAAACACTCAGCAGTCACACATTAAACAGCAATGGATAGTTGGTATGTATGAGGAAATACTGGAATCTCCCCTCCTGCATTGTATATTATATAAGTTGCGTGTATTCTCTAGACTTGTATCGTTAAAGAAAAGTCTCGCTTGGTGTATATCGGTCTTTGCGTTCATTGTATCCAACACCATTCCCAAGCAAAATATGTCTGTGTACCCAAGTTTCCCCTAAACGTCTGACCAGGCAATAAGGGTAAAAAGTAAAGAAAAAAAATTCAAGTCCATCGCTACCGTTGAAACCCCCCGTCTTCCGTCCAAAAGCGCCTGTAATTCGAAATCATTCAGCAACAAAGTTTCCCTTGCTGGTCATCATGCTGCTGCTGTAGCAGTCAGCTTCTTGGGCCCATGGCGTCCGCATCCGTGAGGATTCTTGGGCGACTTCATGAAGCAGTATCCCCTGGCGTTGGGTCCGGCAGGTGGGCCGTACATTTCCTTGATCTCGCAGTATTCGTAGTCCTTGCCGAACCAGTCCTTCAGGTGCCTGTGCAGTTCGCAGCGCGAGATGCCGCACTTGCGGCAGTACACCTGGCCCTTGACGCGCAGCCGCTCCAGCTCACTCTCGCTTGCCGAGGACTTGGAGGGAGGGTGCACAAGAGGCCCAGCGCCTCGCCATGCCCACTCGATGTCGTTGGGGCCTGAGTATCGGCTGGACAGCGGGACCAGCCCGTTCTTGCGCCGGTGGATGTCGTACAGCTTGGAGTGCGCCAGTCCAAAGCATGCGCCATCAATGGGGTCGAGGAAGTCGAAAATGGCATAATGCAGCTCCGAGGGGAGATCCAGCAGGGTAAGGCGGGAGGATGGTCGTGGCTGGTTGGCCGGCTCCGGCTCCTTGTCCGTCACAGAGTGCGAGCGGCGAGGCGGAGGCAGCTTGGGCCGCTGCGGGAGCGGCAGGTGCTTGGAGACAGGCGTCGAGGGCACAACCGCGTGCTCCGGGATGCGGCCAACAGTCCCAGCCACCGCAGCATGGAAGTAGTGCGGCCCGTCGTTCTGGCCTTGGTAGTCGGTCAAGGAAAACCCCCGTCTGGGCGTCCTCATCATGCCCCTCTTGACGAGCAGCTCTCGTGCTCTCTGGGCGTGTTCCTCCCTCGACAAGACCGTATTTTCAGATCTGTCGTTACCCGTCTCAAGCATGGCATTGCCACCCTGGGGCAGAGACGGGGCCGCAAGCAGTTGAACCATTGTTACAGAGTTCGAACAGGTGTCTAGAAGACAATTCTTTACTAAATCGTAATTCGGAATCGATCGTATCGGCGGAGTAGTGCTCTTGTTGGCGAGCGAAGGAATGAGGCGCGATTCGGTGGTTGGAATAGTATTGATAAACCACCCACGGTCGGTAAGTGTGGAAAGGTACAGAGTAATCGACTCTTGTTCGTTATCGCGGGTGGGTGAAGCGGCACAATGTTTTGGTCTGAGGCTGCAGGCTCCTCACTAGCGACTTCATGAGCAGGAACCAAGGCGGCTGCGAAGCTGTGCTGTGTGCGAGTTGGTCACTCTTTATCCCCTCTCGAATCCGGGGCAACGGCAGGTTGTCTTTATATGCGCAAGACCGGACCGAGGCCTGGAACCGCCGGGCAGAAGCGACTTCGGGGGTGTGCGTGTGTGCGTGTGGGTGAATGAATACGTGGATGTGTGTGTGGTGTGACGGAAGAGACTTTGAGCGCAGCACACCTTTGGCGGGATCAAGCTCCGGCCGTGGACCCTTGCCCCTTCCAGCAGAGTTTTTCTTTCCCCTGGGAGGCGAAATGCTACCATTAGCAGCGCGGATGACCATGTGCCACAGCGTCGCCGTTGAGCCAGACACAAAGCCAGGAGCCGGCCTAGCGCGAGGTACGGGCAGCCAGCCAGACGCCATTTGGTTCCACTGGGTGCCAGGCCGTGGCCCGACGCTCGCGCTTTTTGGGGAAACCCGGCTGGCCTGACGTACGACGGCTGCGTATCAGAGCAACATCATGTGGTCGCCGCGGATTCCCTGCGCATCGTCGTCGCTTGCGGGATGTCGAGCGCCAGGCGCAAAGGCGGGGGAAAAATCGCGGGCATGGCCTGACTACCCCAGCACATCTCGCGGTGGCGAGACAAAGGGCAGGCAAGCAAGGCAGAGGCCCGCATGGAGAAGTCCGTCCAGGCCGATCCATCCAACACGATCGTCCATGGGGCCATCCACACTTGATCAACAGCGAGGCGGAGGCCGGGAGGGTATCGCCAGGCAGCTGCATGCGGATTGGATGCTGCAGTTCCCATCGACGTGCTCGATCGAGGCCCATGCGGAAGAGCCTGCAATGGGGTTCCCTCCATCAGATCAAATGGGGAAAAAGAGGCCAATTGATTCGGGTGTGGATGGGTGCTTCCTCCCTCACTGGTGTCGCAGACTTGTCTCGAACAGCTGATCGATCTGTTCCCAGCCTCACGCCGTCTGGCCGCAAACGCCGAGAATGGGATCCCGATTGCCAACCTGGCTCTTTTTCCTTTTTCCCCAAATCTCTCCAGCACTGCCCCCTCTCCAAAGAAGCTGAGCTGCTCAGCAATGGTAGAACCTACTGCCAGGCTCGCAGTAGAAAATCCATTCGGGACTCGACGCCCGACGAGCATGTCGCCTCCCGTCCTCGGGCAACCCGCGCTGCCTGTTCCCGCACCATCGCCTGATCCGTGAAAAAAGACCCTTTGCAGACGGTGCCGATCCCTTCTCGGTAGAGACGACTTCTTGTCGCTCTTTGTCGTCCGCATCCCCTTCACTCGGCGACTCCTGCAAAAGCTGAATCTGGAGGAGCTTCTGCCGCAGCAGCGAGGCGTCGACCGGGGACGAGCACTGTTCCGCAGCGGTCGGCGACATGAAGTCGTATGCGCCGGCCGGGATCGGGCACTCGACGAGCCCCTGAGGCCGTCTCTTGAGGGGGTTGAAGGACCGGAGCTTGTCCTTCAGCCGGGGAAGCGCAGCCTTTAAGGAAAAGGAACGAGAGCGCAAATGGGTATCGCTCTCGAGTTCCTTTTCGTCCGGGCGGTGTGTCCGGCAGGTCAGGTGCGGCTCGCTGCGCGCCGGTCCATTCCTGCCGATTTCTCTCCCTGCTTTGGCCGAGAGGGGAAGTGACGGAGGAGGAGTCATGGTAAGAGCCGTGGTTACCTATCGTGAAAGGGCTAAACGCGGTAAGGCGTCAAATGGTGTGGTGTTTGCCCTTGAGCACGGCTGTACGGCTCGAGATGAAAATCGAAATGGATTGGACAGGAAGCGATATCCTTGGGGAGGAAGAGAGGATTTATATATGTCTGGCTCTTGGACATACTTTGCACTACGTCTTTATACTTCTTGGGGATGCCGTTGCGCCTTGTTGGGGCCAGAAGACGACGAACTCAATTGTCGAGGTCTAACTTGTTCCACCCCAGGGTCGACGACGGTATACTATCTGCATTGGCTTGCTGTGGCTGAAACAAAACTCGACGATGGGCTCAATTGTCGAACTCCAACTTAGGATAAGCTTAGTTCACCTGAAAGGAGACACAATTTCTCCGGGATGGCTTGTTATGGTTTGGGAACAACTCGACGATGAACTTCATCGCCAGGACTTGACCCGTGTCGTGGTAAAGACGCCTACAATCTTCGTGGTTTTGGCTCCTCGTAGCTTATTCCAGCCCTACGACAGGTGCTTTCGTCTTGATCTAAGCTCGATCTAAGCTCGATCTGAGGGCTGGTCGATGGCTTCTCTCAATCTTGGCTCCCCTGGGCTTAAAACAATTTGAACTCAATTGCCAGGATTAGCCTCAAACCTACATCAAAGATGCCGACAATCTCCAACGATTGGCTCAAGCAAATGCATCTGGCCGGAGTCTCAAGGTGAGTTTGCTGCCAACCGAAAATGCTCAAAGGTTCCGTTAAAGGCCAGATGTGAGCGTCGTTGATGTTACCTGCTGTGTAAGGCTATCCCGACACAGTATAGACTTGGATAGAGAGCATCAGATAATGCAGTAGAGCAGGTTCAGATCAAAATGTATTATGTAGCACTCAAATAACAGTCGACTCCGTTGATATCCCAAGCTTCCATGATATGCCTTGGTCACCCACCGTTCGTTGCCGCAGTCTATCGCTCAATATGCAAGTATTCCGCCGGCGATGCGGAACATGGGCGGGCCATGGCAACAGAATGGCCTCCCCGAGCCGCCGCAGTCCACAGAGGAGCAGACAGCCCAGACCTAGCCCATGATGTACGCAACGACCAAGCCACGGTTTATCTTGTCTTCTTCCTTTGGGACGCAGGTTCGGGCATGGCCTCCCACCTTTCCCCCCTTCCAGCCCCTTTTCTCAACTTTTCCCTCTCTCTCTCTCTCTCTCAAACGGCGATCCAGATCAGCATGATGACCACGTCCATGCCCTTGCCCTCACCGCCGTCGTACTTGAAGGTCCACATGCCGTCCTTCTTCTCGTCCCAGTACGCACCCGTTGCGCTGTGCATTCCTCGTCGGCCGACATGCGGCTTGCCGTCCGTCGCCGTAGCGTCCGTGCTCGTCGACACGTGAGGCTCCTCCGTCTTGGTGTCGGTGCCGCCGCGGGACTTGTTCAGCGCCGACGTCGGGACCAGGTGCTGGACAATGGTGCTGTTGCAGGCAAACTTGTATGAAGGAGCGGTGGCGCCCTGAGGAGTCGACTCAGAGATGAGCGCCTTCAGCATGGAGTTCTGTCGCATGTGTTAGTTCGGTATCGGTTGGTGGAGCTCGGTGTCGTTGCGCTGGGGAGGGAAGTTCTGGCGTACAATAATGGTCGAGTTCCATTGCTCCGTCTTCGCGTGGTCGTAGAATTCCGCACTGCCGATGGCGCTGTTGCAGACCTTGAGTGATCATAATACGTTAGCCCCCTGAGCTCCTGGCGATAGCTCCAGCGGTCCCCTAATAACCCGCCAAGGGGAAATGGAGAGAGATAAGAAGGAGAGGAAGCGGCAAACGTACATCTGTGGCAATCTGCTTCAGGCGGTTGAAGGGCACGGGCTACTCTCCATCAGCATGTCTCACAGCCCCTCTGGGCGCCTCTGGGCTTGCGTACCGGGGTCGACATGTTGACGGCGGCTGGATGGTGATGGTCCGGCTGAGCGTTTAGGGGCGAGCGACGATTGCGACGGGGGGGAAAAGCGAGCTGCTTGGTGCGTAGAAGCTGTCAACAAACCGGATCCTGCCTGTGATCCCGACGCAGCCCTGGGCCAGCCGACGACTGCGCCGATTGCCGCATCCGCAGCAGACGAGCTCACCTGTGACACACGATCCTGCGATCAGTTGCTTTGGCACTTAGAGTCTTGTGCTTGTGCCTCCGAGCTTCGAGCCGCGACAAGTTGCTTCTCGCCCTGCATGCTTTTCCCCTTTTGGCACCGCAGCACCAGCAGCAGCGCGGCGCCGTCCGTGCGGGGCGCTGCACGTGACCTCCAGCCAACGACGCAGCCCACGTGCCCGCCCAATCCGGCCTGCAGAAGCAGCCAAGTGGGGCGGGCAATCGAGCAGCTTTGCGCCTGCAGGCACTTGCCGCAAACCTCCACTGGTCGCATCTCTCTGCTTTTCTTTCTCTCTCGATTGTGCATCTATCCATCACCTTCTGTCGCCTTAATATTATCTCATCTGTGGGAAGCTGCAGGAGCTCTAACAGCGCTTTTTACGTGCAATTACGTCGCCACGAAATCCAATCTCTACCGGTCATCCAAGCGCACCACCAGCAACTTGAGCTCACCGCTCAAAGACGTCATCCTTTTGCTCAAACCAAGAGTAGCGGTACATAGCTCCAGCAGCTCCAGCAGCTTCAGCAGCTTCAGCAACAGGCTTTTTGCCGCCTTCGACTTTCGTTATCTCGAACATCGTCATCATGTCTTCTCAGCCGCTCCTTCAGACCGCTCCTGGTAAGTCGCCGCGCTGTACCTGTCACGGCCGTGCCAATTGCTCACCAATTCCCAGGCAAGCGCATCGCCCTCCCTACCCGCGTCGAGCCCAAGGTCTTCTTCGCCAACGAGCGTACGTTCCTGTCATGGCTCAACTTCACCGTCATCCTTGGCGCCCTGGCCATTGGCATGCTCAACTTTGGCGACCGAGTGTCCTTCATCTCCGCCTTTCTCTTCACCGGCGTGGCCATGCTGACCATGATCTACGCCCTGGTCACATACCACTGGAGAGCCAAGTCTATACGAATGAGGGGGCAGGCCGGATTTGACGACCGATTCGGTCCAACTTTCCTGGCCATTATCCTCCTGTTGGCCGTCATTGTCAACTTTGTCCTGAGGATTATGGATCAGTCCAAGAAGCAGAAGGGCCACCCCGCCTACTAATTACACCGATGTTTCTCGAGGAACAAAGAAGGCCTGGTCTGGATCGCATCGATATTCATGGTTGAGGACACAAGAAAATTGACGAGACTGTCTTTGTTGGAATAGAGAGTTTGCCAAGCCTGTTCGTACAGGCGTCCGAGGAAGGAGAGTACACAGGGAGTAGCATTGTGCACCGGAATTAAGCGTTGTTTGGAATTCGTGTATTATATGTTTTGGGTATCGAACTGGCGATAGTAATAATTGATTAGAAAATTTTGTTCAAAGCTAGGGTATCATTTGCTGCAATATGATTCAGAGCATCCCGTTTCCAGATCAAGGGAAGTGAAATCGCCCATTGTCCGCCCATCGCCACAATCTTCGTATCATGACGTGTCTTCGCTCGTTTGTATCGTTACGTTTTCTCTCGAATTGAGTTCCGAGATCGCCTGATTTGAAAGGAATATCCTCAAAGACTTGTACGTTCGAACTCGTGGCGGCGGCAAGACGGCTTTTTCAAATCGGCTTTCCATGGCCTCAAAGGCACCCTCATCGCTGTCGGGATCCTCTTCAACTTCCTCTTCCGCTTCCACCTTGTCCGACGCGGCCTTCTTCTTCTTCCTCTTCACGCTCTCTGGAGGCAAGTCGAACAGCTCGTTGTACTGGTACCACGCCTGGCCTTGTTCCCCAAGCACTCTCTTGCACTGCTCCGCCACAGTAATCATCTTGCAGACATCTGCTGGCCGCGCATGAAGCAGGACTATCCGTGAGGCCGAGGCCTTCTGGAGGAGATGCGAAGTCGCGCTCGTTACTCGCTTGCGGATCTGCGTGGACGAGAGGACAGAGAGGGCGAGGACGTTGTGCGCGGGCGCGAGTTGCTTGAGGGTGGCTTCGTGAGGGCCTATTAGGGAGTTGGGGGGTTCTTGGGTGCGCGGCTTCTTTGATGAGGCTGGCGCTGGAGATGGTTGCTTGCGCTTCTGGGGCGCATCAGTCGCTGACATTGTAAAAGCGGTCGAGTAGTTGGAATCGATGTTGCTGCGTTTCGTTGTAGGAATGAGACGCAACTTTTTGATGCGAAATGTGGGTTTGGTGCTAGGGAAGCTGCAATGGCACTACGATAAGGTAAGGCATCAGCTAGACTAGCTGCTTATCGGACTCATCCTTTCGTTCTGATTCAGAGCCAGGGCTGTGCCACTGCTGCCAATACAAGACCTTAGTACCTAATCAAAGTTCTATCCATAAGTTTGGGATTGCGAGGGAGCAATTGCATTCACTGAAGATCCAGATACTGCGCACAAAGACCCGAAATTCAATGATAAGGTAAGGTATGGTATGATAGATGACTGCTCCATGAATCGAGGGTCCGGTATAACGTAGATCCGATGCCACCTAATCTTGCCAGGGTCGAGCTTCAATGACTTCCGAAGGTCAGCCGAACCGCGGCCCAACGGTCCTAACAAACCTTGTTCTTAAATCGGCAGATGGTGTGGCCCGCTCCGGGCAGTCAAACAGGCTGCTGGCAATGGCAGAGCAACGGTCTCCAAATAGAAGTCGCCGGAGAGGAGTGTGCATGGAGCCCTTGCGGTAACATCTCTGGTCATAGTCTCCCGGAGAAGAGGGCAGGATATAATTAGAATCAAGACACAAATGCGGATGCATCCTGTTCGTATCTGCACTCTCCATTGGAAGACTCGACATCGAGACTCCGTAGTCGCTCGTACGAGTACGAAACCGGTTGCAAGAAGCACCGACGGTGATGACGAGGTGCCAGCAGTTGGGGTGGAGACCAAGTACAGGTACTGTACGACGTCCTGACTGTCTGATGGTCTGCAAAAGTGGGCATGCTGTCGCCGAGGCGCTACTTGTTGCTTGTTCTTTGTATGTACAAACACACCACCAGCGTTGATCGGCCCACCAGCCCGTCAAGATTTCGGCGCATATCGTATTGGATGTCTGCAGCTGGGAACATGTACTCGTACGCACGTTGAACACAAGCTACAAAGGTAGTACAAGGAATGACAAATGGGTTCTGTACTGAAGCATGGATTGGGAAGACACACACATCGTTGGAACATACGAGCCTGTTTTCAACGTTCACTGTTCAGCACAGTACAGTAGTAGTAAGAGCAAATTGTCTGAGAAGCTGGGGGATCTCGATAGATGTCTATCGATCTCGAATTCCGAAATCGAAGCCCTTTAATGCCGTCGATTGGTCCATCGATTGGGCTGCATTGGGGCCATGCACCAACGACATTAGCTCGACCCATCGATAGACCAGACCACCAGACGTGCGAGCCCCTCGATTTCCACACATAAAAAGTTCATTTCCACACATAACTAAACCATATTAGGCAAGGCTTATCTCCCCATAGTACATCAGTGTCAGAAACACATACTGTCATCTTTCAATCTGAAAGCTCAAGCAACTTTGCATTATAAGTAGTAGCATCACCACAGGTAGCAGCATTACAGGTCGCAGCATCACAGGTAGCAGCATCACAGGTAGCAGCATCACAGGTAGCAGCATCACAGGTCGCAGCATTACAGGTCGCAGCATTACAGGTAGCAGGCTTAGTAGTAAATTACAGTAGCAGCACTATAAGTAGCAGCACTATAAGTAGCAGCACTACAGGTGGCAGCATTATAAGTGGCAGTACTGTATTACAGGTCTACAGGTGTCAGTTATTACTTCTACTAGTAGGCAGCTGTGTTACCAGCACCTTAATAGAAGTGACAGTATGTATGTTAGGCAAGAAGACACTGGGTGGCCTGATGTGGTTTAGTTATGTGTGGAAATGAACTTTTTATGTGTGGAAATCGAGGGGCTCCAGACGTGCCGTCAAGACGATGCTACTCGCACATTACTCGTTACAAATGTACTTTACGAGACGCACTCAAGACACTGTAAGCACTGACAGGCGCTGGGGAAGGCAGCGATGGCGTTGGGCTACAAGCCGCAGGTTGATAGGCACCCGTGCAGGAAACCCGCCTCAAATGGCAGTAGGACTGATGGAGTAATAGAATGCACCCTTCTTCAAGTCCTAGACTACGACTTATCTGGAGATGCAGGTAAAGATCATACCGAATGCTCAAAGCTATGTGAAGTACACAAGCCTGCGACTATACTCGTACATACTTCTTCCCTCGGTGCTAATCTCGGATAACGGAGGATGCAGACAGACACACAAAGCCGCACATCACACCAACCGCCTGGAGTTGGTGGCGGCATAATTACTGCTGTATCACAACGGTCTCCTGCAACTACAAAGTTAGGGCGGGCGGCTGCCTTGTCCATGTAGAACAACGTAAAGGAACAGGATGGAAACATGATGAGCGCAACAAGCCGTCAATGACAGACAACCCGCCGGCCGCCCAAAGTCCCGTCCCCTCTCCCTTGTCCCACTGGGCAAACAAGCGCTGGTTGGTGCTCTGTGCGGTAGCGTGGCAGCGTGGCTTACGGCCCCCCTCCTCCGGGACACTCCCCGATAGCCCTCTCGTCGTCGAAGCTCCAATCCTGGTCGCTGAGTGCTCCGTCAAAAGTGTGCCCCGTTCTTAGCTTGGAAGTAGTATGTACTTGGACTTCGGCTCTACCTTGTGTGAGAATTCCAAAACCTGGAGCTTTACGCCCGCTTCTCATAAGGGAGGGGGATTTGGGTGGCTGCAGGCGGCGAGCAAGACAGATGCTCGCCGTTGTCTGCTAGCGTCAGGCAGAGCCAAGTCGGAGCATCAGGAGACGGCAGAGACGGACGGTGCAGCGCAGGCAGAAGCAGGATGCCTGGGGAATGAAGGCAGAGGATGGTCCAGACCCCCCGCGCCCCAAAAGGATTCCGAGGCAACAACAAGACGATGGGATGCTTCTCCAGGCCTACGGTAGCCATACATAGGTACTCGTACTCGTTCGGCATCGTGGAAGCCTTATCGGACAGCGGAAGCATCAGTCGATGTTCTTCTGTCCGGAGCATTGGATGTAATAGATCAAGACACCATCACCCAGACAAAACAGGTGAGGCGATAAGAACTTGGAGAGACTGAGGGCGGCGCTAGCAGGCCAGCAGGTGCGCTGGCTGTCCTGCAACAATGGAAAGCAAGGACGGCAGCCGTGCCGAAGTACCTGTACCCCATGATTGCCCTTGATCGGCCCTCAGCGCTCCCGTCTGGTCTTTCTCTGCGTGGGCTGTCGTCGTCAACCGTGCGGAGGTAGCACAGGGCCGCGTACCGGTACTTGCGCAAGCAGGCGGCCAAAGCTCCCCACCCGCGGGCCCACTCCCAGACACGCACCCCCCTGGCCCGGAACCCAGAGCGAACACTCCAGCGCTAGCGGCTCTGCCTCTCAGGTTGAGTGCACATGTGCAGGGCAGGCCTCTGTCGCTCGCTGCCCGCCAGCGCCCAGCCAGTCCACTAACAAGCCAGCACTGATGAGCGTCCAAGGGCGTCGCACTCGCGCCTCCAGCGGCCCCCCCCTCCCCCAGCCCCTACTGCGCTGCACTGTACCGGTACGCTTAGTGCTGGCCCAGCCCAGCCCAGCGCCAGCACCCGGCCCACTCCCACTAATCGCCCGCCACTGAACGAGTCACAGGCCCTCGCCCTTCCAATCGCCTTGGGCACTCGCCTCCGCCTGTGCCCCTGCTGCCTCCCTCCCTCGCAAAGAGCCGGGCAGGTCCAGGCGTCAGCCAGCCAGAAACTCGGCCTCTTTGACGCAGCGAGTCGCCTCCCCCCCCCCTTTGCCTCTGCTCTTCCCACTTGTCACCTTCCCGCCGCCTTCTGCAACTTCTCATTCTCCCCCTTTCACATCTCATACAATCGACTCTCTCACTCTATCCCCCCCAACCCTAATCTTTTTTTCCTTCTTTCTTCCTCTGTCGCTCTCTCGACCAGAGGCATCACTTCGAGGCTTTCGCTAGCACTCGATCTCCCCGTCTCCTCCCCCTTTATTTTGCCAGGCTCGCGCACCGGCCGTCGTCCACCACCCCTTGTCCATCTCTTTTCTGCGCGCTGCCTTCACTGCAGGTCAGGTCAGGTTCAGCGTCTCCCGACCTCTCCGTCGGCCGCAAGAAGCCACTGAATACGAGCCGCAATTCACAAGCCTCCCTCGCCCAGCGCCACCTCGCAACGGCCCCGGGCAGATTACGTCAGCACGCGCATTCCAGCGCCCCACCCAACGCTTCCCTCGCTCCAATCCAGTGCCTTGACCTTGTTTGTGCCGTCGCTATCGCTGCGAGGCGCATTACCTCATCGCCAAACCTCCGTCTTCGCTGCTCACAGGCGCATCTCATCGTGCGCTCTTTCGCGTCGCATCCTGTCGCGTCGCATCGCTGGCTTTGGCGCAGTCGCACCGCAGCAGCCGCGGGCATGTCCATGTTTCGGTTCTGGAGTTCCGATTCACGGGGAAGCGACAAGACCATCCATGGGTCGCCAGCTCGCGCCTTTGGTTCGCCCAGCAGCAAGTCGTCAGTCGCATGCGATCCGGCGTCGCAGGCAGTGCCTATGGACGACTGCCCTCGCAAACGGCTGCATCGTGACGTCGAGACCGACGACGACGACGACGATGTCGACGACGCCATGAGCTATGCTGCATCGGCAAAGCGCCGCAGGACCGGCTCCGAGGCGTTGGCCACGGAGCCATCCTCCACCAGTTCACAAAGTCCTTCCTGTTCGACGGCGGCCGATCCCAGTGCCGCCGAGAGAGCCAGAGACCTGATCCAAGCCGAATTCTGCCAGGAGATCCTGCTCAAGCACCAGGAGCTAAGACTAATCAACCAAGAGCTAGCCAAGTGTCAGATTGCGCTTGAGCAACTGCGACGATGCCATCTCATCCCGTATCCTGTGAACTGTCCCACTCCTCAACAAATGCTAGACGTTAGCGACGGAAAGGGCCCTGCAGTAGTGGCCAAGGCGGGCGATGTTGTTCCTCGCTGGGCGCCTCCTTTTGGCGTCGTCGACGGACCTTACTCTCGGCACTATGCCAAGTGGCTCATACCCGATCCAGCCTTTGACGGCATCCAGCCAGAGTTGCCGCCAGTCACTGCACGTGGTTCCATCTCAGAGGGAAGGACGACCAGGAATAGTAATGGTGAGGTTGGAGTTGGCATGCTCAAGGGCCGGCGAGGCAACGGCAGCCAGAAGTTTGAGTCTCTGTCCAGCGGCTACCCCCCTCCCAAAGACAAGGCAGGCCCGTGTGTGCTGACCCGGGCGGACGGCCAAACGGTCAAGCTGGTCTGCCTGGACTGCCATCGAGACAACTTCTCGAGCACCCAGGGCTTCATCAACCATTGCCGCATAGCACACAAGCGTGACTTCAAGAGCCATGAGGAGGCCGCCGTTCACTGTGGCCAGCCTTACGAGGCTCCCGAGGGGGGTAACATCCCCAAGGACAACAACAAGGCTACGGCCCCCGCCGCATCTTCGGTTTCGACTACCGCAACCACCGCGTCGCCCTTCGTGCATGCCTTTGCGCGTCCCGACATGACGGAGCAAGAAGTCTTCAAGTCGCTTCGGATGAGAATTTCCGACTCGCTGAAGCTATACAACCAGGGCAAGCTGTCGGTTGTCAAGTTCCCCAGCAACATTAACGCTGTCGCGTATCCCGGCAAGGCATCGGCTTCGGCTTCGGCACGAGCATCAGCACCGGACTGTGGCCCGTCAGCCGATGCGCCGCATTTGGCGCGTCTCTTGAAGGCTCGCAACTTCCGGGGCAACTTCCAGGATGTCGTTGCCGACGCAAAGGCAAAGATCTCAATCGAAGATGTTGCCGGAGACGAGTCAGAAGTCGATGGCTCAGTATCCCCCACGCAGGACGCACCGCCGGCCCGGGCGTCGGTTGTTATGCGCATGCCCGCCAGAACCGCAAAGACTCCTGTTTCCACTGGCTCCTCTGCCCGGCCGACGAGCAGCAAGGGCCGTGCCGCTCACATGGTCTTGGCTTCGCCATCGGATTCTGACATGGCCACAATGGCCAACAGGCACCGGTCTGACGCGGCCCTATCGGACGAGGACGTGGACATGGAGGATGCGGAAATGAGCCCCAACACGCTCGTCAGCAATAATGCGCCTTCGCTTGTTAGTGACGACGGAGAGTATGACGACTCCGACGAAGGCTCTTCTGTTTCCGGGGCAAGTGACCAGCTGGAGGCGGAATCCGTCTCGGATGTTGCCGAAATCACCCTGGATTATGAGACAGACCCGCGAACACTTCGCCGAGAATCGACGGGCATGACAGGACCCGTGCGGCTGCGCAAAGAGGCGGCCAAGCAGGTCACCTTTATTGGCCCCGTCAAAAGCAGTGCCCAAGAGAGACGGCACCGGAAGGCCTAAACACTCGACTTGTCAATGTAACGGCCACATCAATCTATCTACACCACACAACTCAGACTCTATTCAACCGTGGACCCCGTGGCAACCCGATAGACCTCCCCTGTTTGGATTCTTACTTTATCTCTTCTCATTGTTTTCCCTGCGCCTTTTACTTAAGAACTATAACTCCGCTATTGGTGCCTAACGACTTTTTTTGATGTTTTATTCTTTTTTTCTTACTCTTGACATTACCGTGTGGATTGGTTCGGTTTGCTCTTATCAGGAAAGTGTGAACACTTGTCTTTTATTCTTTACTTTTGTTTCGGCGCTACCAGGTCACCGAGGGCTTATTGCGGAACGAATTGCTCTGTTTTTCTTGTTATTCTCTTGTTCTTTTTGTATTAGAGAATCGGCTTGCTTTTGTCTTTTTTTGTTTTCTAAGAAAGGGGGGTGCTGGCGCAAAAGGAATTCAGTTTTTACAGGAGGTCGCTTGAGGATTGCTCGGCCACACAGAAACAAAGGGGGCCCTCGGAAGCATAAAGCGCTGGCTCATCAGGGCGGCGGCCATGAAAGATTTGTTTCTTGTCTTTTTTCCCTTCCTGTCCGTGGCCTTTTTTGTATGATACATTAATGCCCGCGAGGATGGTTTGCCTTGATGGAAATAAGAATGATGGAAGGCTTTCAAGGTCTTCAATTGCACTACCTTGGCCTCTCAATATTCGCACGCTGTGCTGTGGTTCCTTGTAGATGTTGTTGATCCATGTTTGTTGGCGGGCATCAGGTTCCATCCTTGTCATCTACGACTGAGACGCAAAAGAGGTCAAAGATACCAGTGCTTCAGCATGTCAACAACATGACGCAGTGGCAGACATGTTATGGCGCGGATCCCGACGTGATATTAAAAGAGGTAAAACTAGAATTACATGGACAAAATGCGCCGAAACAGTACCCATTCATACGATGCGCCTTCGCCCAGTCCAACATCCATCCCATTCATTCAGTCTTTTCGCATGCATTACTTTGGCATCAATTGCTCTTCCCCCCTCCATTACACCATGGCAGCAGCAGCACCGGCAACAGCCATGACGATGCCGGCAACGCTTCCCATCATGGTAGCGGCGGCGTTGGTGCTCGAGCTGGCAGTAGCAGCAGTGGTAGCGCTGGTGCGAGAGCCAGACGTCTGCGAGGGGCCGGCATCAGTGGCAGAGGCCTCGTCGTTGTTGCTGGGGCTGGAGGCGGACGTCTCCTCGGAGCCGGAAGACTCCTGGGACTGGGACGGCTTGGCCTTGGTGGCCGTGGTCTTGGGGTTGAGGAGGGTGGCGGTGCGGCAGTACGAGTCGACCTGCTGCTGGACCGAGGGGGCGCGGATGTCGTTGGGGCAGTTGTTGTAGCAGCTGGTGGTGATGATGAGTGAGTAAATCTGTCGTGCCCGTGATACGAGAGGAGGTGAGAACATGTGAATGACTTACGTCAAGACGGCCTGGTAGGCGGCGCAGAGGCACTCGTAGTCGGTGGGTTTGCACGAGTTCGCCTAGGGTAATGAGTCAGTCAAGCTGCGCTCTCGCGTATTGGAGCTTCAGAGAATTTGCTCTTCACGTACAGTCTTGGTTGTTGAGCTGAGGCAGTCCTCGAGGATGTAGTCGGCCAGACAGGTGGAACCTGGGGTGGCTGGGGCAGTAGCAGAGCCAGCGGCAGAGACGCCAGCGGCAGCAAAGAGCAGAGTCGCGAAGAACTTCATCTTGTCTGATGTGTGGTTATGGAAAGATGTGTGATCTGGGGGGATAAGATGAGATCTGTTGAGCTGTTTGATAAAGAGAACAGAGTCCAAAGAGACCAAAATGCTGCTGTAATGCGATGCGTGGAAGACGGAATGGTTTATTATTACAAGTCACGAAGAGCAGAGAAGAAGAAGAAGAGAAGAGAAAAAGAGGGAGAGGGAAGACGAGGCCCGGAAGGAGGAAGGGAGAATCCTAAATAAGTCGGTGCTTGGTTGCTAGGGGGAGAAGGTACTTTGCGGGTGAGGTTCTCATTTGGAAGCGACGAGCCAGGGGGGGGGCGTGATGATAGTAAGTGGCATGTTGGGGTTTCTCCTCTCAGGCTTCAGGCTCAGGCTCAGGCTCAGGCTCAAGGGACCCCCGGATTTCCATCGTGAGGTTGCACGGGGCGACGGCCGAGGAAGAAGGCAGGGAATGACAGGTGAGTAGTCAATTGACGGGATGGGGCGGGATTGTGTTGTGGGCGTGGCTGCGTTTGTGTTTATTAGGTGTCTTACACGGTAGAGAGATAGAGAGAGAGAGAGAGCATTGAAGGGAGGGATATCATCTCATGCCGCCTCCCTTGAGTAGGACGACGGTGGTGGGAGACGGCATCGCCAGGCCTCATGGACTGGGGCACACAGACGATGCTACGGAGCACGGTCATCCGGAGCAATACCCGCCAGAAGTGACGATACCTACCTATCTACCACCTCAATTTTCATGCTACTTCTGCAGCGTGGCGTGCCGTTAACAGAGTTTGCGCCGGCGGCTCAAAGACGAGAGATGCTAGTAGTATGTACTTGTATCGTATCGACTCTCTGTGATACTCCGTGCGACTGGCGGTGATACCCAGATGAAGAATTCCCACACAAGTCAATGGGCACTCGATGCAAGAAACAAGAGGCCAGAAAAGATGGGAACCTCGTATTTGCCGGGCATTGTTGCAGCTCAAACTCGAGAATACCCGCCAGCCGTCTTATCGCCAATGTGATGTGTTACAAGCATTCATGTCATTGATCTTTCTCTGCTGGTGAGAGAGACTTGGATCAATGAAAAGGGATGGAGCAAAAAGTCAGGGAGTCGCATTGGAATCCATATCCGATGCCGCTGGCCAATGGCAGCCGCAGGTCGAGGACGGCGAGAAATGGGAAGTGCGGCTGTCTGTGGAGCCGCGGCCGCTGGTGGACTAACGTGAAAACGGAAGATGCAAAAGACGAAGATGAAGCTCCCCTTGTTCGGACGGAATTCATCGTGGTGCTGAATGAGGGCAGCAAAGGTACGTGGCAGGGCTGCGATGGTGGGTGTGGGCAGAGGTTGCGGTGTTGGTTAATATTGACCATCATAGTAGCGGACTCACTACTAGTACTAAGCACCTATAATGGATCAATCATCTGGGTCAATTGGCTATCCGGATTGGCCAGGCGAGCAGGGGATAGAGTTCAATAGCTGCGAATGCCCCTGGATGGCGCTCAACCCAGGGCAAAACTCTCTTTTCTGGACCTCCTCTTGTTGATAATACTCGACAGAACTCCCTTTGCCTCGCCCCATGATGATTGACAATGCGGTCTCTGTTCCCTTCAATCGTTATGGCGATCCCCCAGATGATACTACTACTAGCGAGCACAAGAACTTCTCCTCCAGACCAGGGATACAGAATACTACCTCCCATGGGAGGAGCCTGGTCCAACGCTCGGGAGCCCGAGCTCTTCGCTTCCTTATGGGGAGGGTCCGTCCAGACAAGAATCGGTGTAGAGAATCTTGCTGGGGTTGAGGCGGTCCGGGCGTTTTTTCTGACCGGAGAGTCTTTTCCTGTCGCTTCTCTTTGTTGGCGAGGCTTTCCATGAACAAGCTTCCCGTTTCTTCTCGATTCTGGTCTTGATGGAGACGCAGCAGCCAGAGGTGGGAAATTGGGCATCTTGATGGCGCCGTGTTAGTGTGTGTGTGTGTGTGTGTGTTTACCCCTGTGCGGGAGGCGCAACGCCACGGCCTCTGGTTTCTGTCTAGAGCAGCGGCGTTCGAGCTTGCGGCTGAATGCTCGACGGAAATGAGAGTGAGATGGTGTCTCGGCTCTGCCAACAAGGGGGGGTTCCACCATGTCGTGGACGAGGTTGCGCTTGAGATGGAGCGAGGTGAGTGCTGGCAATGGAGCCTGTTGCAGTCCCAGAGGTGCTTGTGTGCTTGCTTACCTGCCTTTTGGGGGCAGCTGCAGCTGCAAATGTTCCGATGTGCAGAAGCCGAGGATTGCCATTGATGGGATGACTTGGTGCTTTTCAATGCACGAGTATAAGGGTCTTGATGTTGGTTGCCTTATACTCTACTGCTCCAGCTGACATTATTCCGCTGAGGATGACATTCTTTTTGGGTCTCTGTGTGTGTGACGTATTGCTATGTATCTGATTCGCTGGCACGCTGATACAGCTCGATAACGGGACGTGATGCCATCTGATGTGGGCATCGAGCAAAGGGTTTGCTGCCTTGTCGGAGAGGCGTCACAGTATACTCGGCATCACCAACACATCAAAGGCGTCAATAATCACTTCAAGCAAACACTTGGTTCACAACCGACTAATCACTGCCATATCGTGAATTGTTGATGCCTGATGCTACACATAAGGTAGCTGTCATACCCAGACTCTGCTAGCAACTGCTCGCTGACGACGCAGCCAGGCAGACAAATAGAGCAGCACCAAACAAGAATGCTGTAGCCTACCAGGCTCTAGTCTAAGCAGAGTTTTCTAGAGCATCTATAAATTTGATTCAAAAACATAGATTACATCTGATGAACATTCAGCAGATTCGAACATCACCCAAAGCGCACATGTTCTGCTCCCATATAGGTTACATCCTACGAGTACCTCCATCTCCTACAGCACTAACTGATAAGGTAGTGACGCTTAGCTTGGGCCAACCTCTCCCCAGTGCCCCACCATCCACTTACACCTGTTCGTTTCAACCCCTCCTGGATAACGAAGCTCTCTGGCAGCTCGACCCCCAAATCATTCAGCAAACAGAGCCAATTCCGATTCTCCAGCGTCCTTACCGGTCTTCAGACACCATCATGGCTTCCATCGTCAACGAACGCATCCTGGCGGCTGCCCCCGTCACAAACCGAGGCCAGGGAACCCAGCTGTCGGCAGACTCCAAGGGCAAGAGGATCGCGTACGCCGTGAGTTGCCCCGTCACTGACCGCATCGAACACGAGCCGAGACCTACTACCATACAAAGGCCAGCTGCTGACTTGGCTTTGATGTGATATAGTCTGGCAAGTCCATCTTCGTCCGGTCCATCGACGACCCCTCAGACTGCAAGGAATACACCGGCCACACCCACCCCACCACCATCGCCCGCTTTGCGCCCAGCGGCTTCAAGATTGCCAGCGGCGACTCTGCCGGCATCCTGAGGATATGGGAGCCCGAGTCCATCGAAACCACCCGAGGCGAGTACCCCATAATCTCCGGTCCGCTACTTGACATTGCCTGGGACGGCGACTCCCAGCGCATCATCGCCGTGGGCAATGGCCGGCAGAAGTTTGGCAAGGCCATCATGGCCGACAGCGGCAACTCGGTGGGCGAGATCATCGGCCACACCAAGTCCATCAACGCCGTGAGCATCACGCCCAAGCGCCCTCTGCGCGCCGTCACCGTCGGCGATGACCGCAACGTCAACTTCTACCACGGAGTCCCCTTTGAGTTCAAAAACGCCACGACGCTGCACAACGGCTTCGTCCTCAGCGCCGTCTACTCGCCCGACGGCTCTACCTTTGTCACGGTCGGACAGGATAAGCGGATACAGCTGTACGATGGCGTCACGGGCGAGCCGCTCCGACAGATTGGCGAAGGCGAGCACACCGGCAGCATCTTTGGTGTTTCGTGGACCCAAGACGGCAAGAAGTTTGCGACTGCCAGTGCAGATCAGACAATCAAGCTGTGGGATGTCGAGTCGGGCAGCGTGATCCAGACGTGGAAGTTTGGCGACGGAGTGAGCGTGCGCGACCACCAGGTCGGCGTTGTTATCCCCCACGGCCGAACAGACGGCCTCATCATCAGCATCAACCTGGCGGGTGAGCTGACGTACCTGCAAGAGGGCAAGGATGAGCCCGTCAGGGTGATTCAGGGCCACGACAAGGGAATCACGGCTCTGACTGGAGGCTCGGACGGCAGCGGAACTACCGTTGTGACGGGCAGCTTCGATGGCCGTGTCTGCTCATGGGACCTGGAGAGTGGTGCGGCCACCGTCCTGGACGGCCAGTCTCATACGAACCAGATCCCCCAGTTTGCCACCAGCTCTGGCAAGATATACAGTGTAGGATGGGACGATACCATCAGGACGATTGACGACTCTGCCAAGACCTTTGTCGGCGAGTCAACAAAGCTTCCCAGCCAGCCCAAGGGAGCGGCATCAGCCGGTGACATTGTCTACGTGGCCGGCGTGAGTAGTGTGGCCGCTTACTCAAACGGCAAGCTGCTCAAGGAGACGCCTCTTGACTTTACGCCAGATGCCATTGCCGCCCACGGGTCCTATGTGGCCATCGGAGGCCAGGGCAACACTGCAAGAATCTACACCGGCGACTCCAACGGCAACCTGGAATACAAGGAGTCTGTGTCCAGCCCTCTCGGCACCGTCACTTCTCTGGCCTTCTCCAAAGACGGGAGCCACCTGGCGGTGGGAACAAGTGTCGGAAAGATCCTGGTCTTCAAGGTCGGAACCTGGGAGCTTGTCACGGACCGCTGGTCGGCACACACCGCACGAGTCACTTGCATCTCCTGGGAGGAGACGGGCGCCTACGCCGCCAGTGGAAGCTTGGATTCTCACATCTTCGTCTGGTGCCTGGAGAAGAGGCTGCAAGGCCAGCGCATCAAGGCGCCCAACGCCCATCTGGACGGCGTGACGGGCGTCACTTGGATTCGAGGTGGCCGACTGGCGAGCTCTGGAAAGGATGCGACGGTCAAGATCTGGGAAGTCAACAATCTTCCTTGATTAACTGTATATAGAAGCATGCCTTTTTTTCCAGTTGCTCTTTTTCTTCCATTGCGAAGCCTCTGCAACATGATTCCCAGTCATTATAGCCCCCCATGTAGAATAGGCATGCTCGCGTCTGACGAGCCCCATCCTAAACGCCGTGCCTGAAATTACAAAGATAAAAGATTTGACATGATGCTGCTTTGATTTCTTTTGTAGCAGGGACCGATGATCCATCTCAACCAGTCCATAGGGCCAGACGACCACAGAAGCCAAACGCCTAGTCGTTGATCATCTGAGCATCCTCCTCCTTCTCCACCTCTTGCGGATGCATCTCCCACAGGCGAAGGGCGCCAGGGGCCTTTTGCGGCTTGACTGTGTGAGGGGGCCAGCGGGACTTGTTGTCTTGCCAAAGGAGATCTGCCTTATGGATTGCTCCTTGAAGGTCTAGGTAGCTGTGGAGAGGGGGGTACGAAGTCAGATCATGAAGTTATGACGACGAGAACCAAGGTGAAAGGAAGGATGAAGGGTGGGTAAGTGATGGTCAAGTGAGTGATATTACCTTGCTGTGCTTGTGATGGCGTAGCCCTCCTTTGCGAGGTGCTTGGCCATTTCGGCTTGGTGGTTGTCCAGCAGCGTCTCGTTCGGGACGACGATGACTGGAAGGCCAACTTTCCAAGCATCGAGAATCGTCCCAGTTCCTAGACTCATCGCCCATCAGTCCATGCCATATGATCCACCAAGATCCTGCCATATAGCGAGCACCAAACTCACCCGCATGAGATACGACCACCCCCATGCGGCGCAGCCCGCTACACGCCTTGCACAGCATCATCTCATCCATCATGAGATTCGGGGTCGTCTCAAAAACATGAACCTCCAGCCCCTCCGGCACGCGATCCCGCAGAGAATCCAGGCGGGCGCTTGCCCAGCTAATGTCGGGTCCGCATTGGATGCGAAGTGACGTGAAGCCCTCGGCGCTGAGAAACTCCCAGAACTCGGGCTGCAGCACTTGTTCCGTCAGCTGCTTGAAGCCGACGGTGGCGCCTACTGTTACTAGGCAGTGCCGCTGGAGTTGTGCCATTTGGAAGATGAAGCGGCAAAAGCCATAGAGGGGATAAAACGGAAAGTGGTTAGAATGACGGAGACTCGTATGGCTTGAGCTCACCCAAGGTGTAAGTCGGTACCGGGATACATGTCACTTGTGCTTGAGGCGGGCGCTTTCCAAGGTGATGGTTCAATTCGCCGAGAAACACCCACGGTGAGCCGCCAATGGTGAACCCAGCCCGGAAGAATGTCGGCAGCTCGCGAGTTGTCATCCCACCAAAAAATTGAGAGGTGCATCTCATCGCCTGTCCCGCATCCCGCGCAAAGGAAATCCCCTGGGTGCGGCCGCCAAAAACTCGAATTTCCACCTCATTCGGCATGGCTTCAGCATCGAGCGCCGGAAGGCTGTGCATGCTGGCCTGCCGGCGGGCACTTCGCGTGCCGCGGATGCCTCGAACACAGCCAATTGCCTGGCACGCGCCCGCGACAACGACGATGGGCCGGGCATTCGCTACTTCATCGCGGCGGCTAGCGGACGAAAAGGCCGGGCAGGACGAGGAAGGCGATGGCGAGGCGTACAAGACGCTGGACTTGAAGCTGTTGAACAAAGCTTTCCTGGACGGCGTTACGCCGGAGAGTTTGAGGCAGCTGGATGAGCTTGCGAAGAACAACGGATACACGACGGTGGAGGAGTATATCGAGGCGACGATGCGGGAAACGCCCGGGTGGGCGTCGGAAGACAGGGCGCTGGAGGAGGATCTCTACAAAGACGACGTTGGCGAGAAGCCGAATAAGTCGTCGTTCTGGTTCGACGAAGACGACCCAGAGACGAATACGGAGGAGCACGATGAGTTTGACGAGGACGACATCACCTCCATGGCGCACGGCAAGCTGGACGAGATCCGAGACATGAGGCACTATGATCGGTTGGCGGTCTGGGAGATGCCTCTCCTTGCCAGTGGGTGCCCCTCCTGAGCCAATGCACGATTTTGAATTGCCTTTAGAGCTGACCATTGACAAAAACAAACGCAGAATTCGCCAAGCCATTCGTCCCCCCTACAGAGAAGCAGGTGTTGAGGTGGAGGTACACGACATACATGGGCGAGTCGCACCCCGCCGAGAAGAAGGTGGTCGTGCAGTTCGCCCCCGACGACTTGAAGCTGTCCGAAGTGCAGACCGAGAAGCTGAAGAAGCTCGCCGGCCCGCGATACAACCCCGAGACGGAGCTCATCAAGATGAGCTGCGAGAGCTTCGAGCACCAGGCGCAGAACAAGCAGTATCTGATCAACCTGGTCAACGACCTGATCGCGGCGGCCAAGGACCCCAAGGACACCTTCCAGGACGTGCCGCTCGACCTGCGGCACCACAAGATCGAGCCCAAGCCCCAGTTCCCGAAGGAGTGGCGGCTGACGGAGGAGAGGAAGAAGGAGCTGGCAGAGTACCGGCAGAAGGCGGCGATTGCCGATGCGAAGAGGGCTGAGGAGGGACTGTTGGTGGATGGGCAGAAGCTGATTGACGACTTTTTGATACAGAAGCTGGCGGAGGAGCAGGAGAAGGAGAGGGTTGCGCTGTTGGAGGCGGTGCCGAGGGCGACAAAGTTGACGGGAGGAGGTTCAAGGGCCAGGAAGTGAGGAGGGCACCACTGAAGAGGGGAAATGGGGATCAATAGGAAAGGGAACGGAAGGAAAGAAACTCCCATCCGTGGCGGTGGGCGATGTATACCTTATGTGTGTGTCCTACCCGGGACTTGGGGTTTTGCTGGTGGAACACACCATGGTTTGATGGATGCCGAAAAGACATGTATAATAGAAGACGTGAGCACCGCTTTGGTTGGGAGGCGGTTTGGATGTACAATATGAACTTGACGTCAAAAATGTAGATGAGATGTACGACAAGGATGGTCTGTGGAATGTGGACCGTGAGGCTTGAATCGATGTTGTCGTTGGCTTCTCCAGATTCATCATGTAGGGTACCCTTCGTGCTGTAGGGTACCTATGAAGCTCTCTATGATGTTCATCAGGTTAACGGATTACTGAGGCATGTTATTGATCATCGGTTCTAGGCGCATCTTAGTATGTTTAAGAGCCTTGCAAAGCCCCCTACGATATATCAGTATTTGGGTCATTAAAGCTGATAGCTTCCAGTACTGGGGGATCTAGCAGTCCGAGATTTTCGAAGTTGATCCCCATCAAGACGGGTCGACGTCTCCAAGAGTCGTAAACTGTGCCGTCGCTGTCCACCGTTACCCTGTAAAGAGCACGCAGGGCACTTGGAGATTTTTGTGGAAAGAAAGAACCTTGAGTCTTTTTGCTTTCACAACTGCTCCAACATGAATCGGCTAGTTGCTTCTTGGACACTGACTATAAGAAGAGAGTAGACCTATTGAGAGTGCTTATACGAGAGATGGTTCGTAGCACCTGTGAGTAGGTAGTGAATGATCGATCGCCTCAAGATCTCACGTCAGAATCCAAAGTCGACGTCTTGTGCTTGCATATGTCTACTAGTTAATGACCTTTGATATAGACTTGCAGTGTTCTTATTCCTTTCTTATGTTCTTTATTCTTTTGAGCTTGCTGTCCTGTATCACGACATTTTGAGACATGTTCCAGGCACACACATTCACCTCAGGGCTGCCGTGTTCCGCATTTCTTCAGTTCAACCATCCATCTCAAAAGCGGGGCACCTTGTTAGCTCACTCATCAATGCCTCGGTTCCTGGGCTGAGATTCATTGAGTACCTGAAAACTGCAGCCAGTTCACACGGAGAGCACAATTGAGCCGGCATTCCGCGTTATATCGCACCGAGAAATGAAGCACACCAGAGGCGCCAGTCGGGGCCGCGTATCTACTGACCGGCCCGGGAAAAGCGGCCATTTTACGAAATCCAGACATAGGTAGAAACCGATGCGAGAGAAGGCGAGTTGTGACTTGTTGGTTGATACATACAAGAGGTACGCAAACAGGTACAGTAAGGTAGTATCTGTTAGCGGCAAGCCGCGGGGACCGGCAAGGATTAATTCGATGAAGAACGACCGGGATTCATCAATTGACCGGTTTGCGACCAACGAACGGGGTTTGTAGCGGCTGCTTTGCTTTCGAGGTCCATCACTTCCACATGCCAACTGAGCTGCTGCTGCTACTGCTACGGTACTGCCGCGGTTTGTGTTTGGGGGGGTTTTGCGATGCCAGAGAGGAGCCGGCCATTGCGACGCTGAAGCCGGAAAGTGACTCGTGATTGTTTATTACCTTGACTTGGCTCTTTTTCTGCAACTCCGCACCTAAGGAAACCATCACCACCAACGTCGCCACAGCATCAACCCTCTCCGGTCGGCTGTCGCCTCTGCTTCTGCTTCTCGACCGCTGCTGAGCTGTTGCCCTTTCATCTACTACCTACACAGGGTACATACCTACACAACACGCCTCACACACTTCCAAGCCACCTCTCTCCAGCGAGTGCTGCGACACCATGGCGCTCACAACGACGGCAACGACGACGACAACTGCCAGCGGCAGCATCCCGCCGCTGGAATTCTCCTCGCTCGACGACATCACGGCCAAGCACAGCACGCTGCGGGCAACCTTCCGCTCGGGCCGCACCAAGGACGTCGAGTACCGCAAGCAGCAGATCCGGCGCCTGTACTGGGCCATTGTCGACAACGCCGAGCTGATGGAGCTGGCCCTGCACAAGGACATGCGCAAGTCGCGGTTCGAGGCCAACATCTCCGAGATCGACTGGTGCAAGCAGGAGTGCCTCGACGCCGTCGCCGGGCTCGACGACTGGGTCAAGGACGAGCCCGTCCGCGACCTGCCACTGCAATTCCTGCCCATGAGGCCGCGCATCCGCAACGAGCCGCTGGGCACCATCCTCAACATTGGCGCCTACAACTTCCCCTTCCAGCTCAACATCACGCCGCTCGTCGGCGCCATTGCCGCCGGCAACACGTTCCTGCTCAAGCCGTCGGAGCTGTCGCCGCACTCGGCCATGGTGCTCAGGAAGATCATGGACGAGGCGCTCGACCCGGACAGCTACGTCTGCGTCAACGGCGGCATCGACGAGACCAAGCACATCCTCGAGCACAAGTTCGACAAGATTGTCTTCACCGGCGGCCGGCGGACGGGCACCATCATCGCGCAGAAGGCGGCCGAGACGCTCACGCCGGTGCTGCTCGAGCTGGGCGGCCAGAACCCGGCCTTTGTCACGCGAAAGGGCGACGTCAAGCTCGCGGCCCGGCGCCTGCTGTGGCAAAAGTGCCTCAACGCCGGCCAGGTGTGTCTGTCTCACAACTACGTCCTCGTCGAGCGCTGCGTCCTCAACAAGTTCGTCGACGAGGTCAAGAAGCAGTACGCCATCTTCATGCCCCAGGGCGCAAAGGCGAGCCCCGACTTCTCGCGCATCGTCAACCAACACCACTTCAACCGGCTGAAGAAGATGCTCGACAGCTCCAAGGGCACCATTGTCATGGGCGGGTCGATGGACGAGGCGGACCTCTTCATCGAGCCCACGGTGGTCTTGGTCAACGACATCCACGATAGCATGATTGTGGAGGAGACGTTTGGGCCTATATGGTCCGTTCTGCCCTTTGACACCTTGGACGAAGCCATCAATATTGCCCACGAGGTTGACCCGACGCCATTGGCCTTGTTTACCTTTGGCTCGGATGCAGAGAATGAAAAAGGTATGTCCTCATCGTACTGCGAAAGAGCACTATATACCACCCAGCTTGCTCGATATGAGGAGGTCAAGAGCTAATCAAACATGCCATGCAGTCCTCAACAGCGTCACATCAGGGGGAGCCACCATGAACGACGGCTTCTTCCACTCCATGCTCAACCAGACCCCCATCGGCGGTGTCGGCACGTCTGGCATGGGCAGCTACCACGGCTACTACTCCTTCAAGGCCTTTAGCCACCAGCGGCCCATTGCCAAGGTGCCCGCCTGGACCGACAAGCTGCTGCGCGTGCGGTACATGCCGTACTCGGCCAGCGAGTACAAGCGCCACCGCCGCATCAACGCCATCAAGCCCAACTTTGATCGCGACGGTCGCGTCGTCAAGGGCCTCCGGTACTGGGTCTCCGTGCTGCTGAGCCTGGGCTCCAAGAGCGCGGCCGGCCTCGTCTTCAGGTGGGGGGTCCTCGTTGCCCTGGCTGTGACACTGGGTCTGAAACGGAAGTCTTTAGGGATGTGAATCAGGGGACGAGCAACGGGAAGCAATGAGATGTTTCTCTTCATCAGGCAACCCTCTCTATGAGATCCTTCTCTTCTCTCAGGATCTTCTGAGGAGGGATATGAGCATGAGGCATGTATGTTGATGCATTTCACTTTTGCGTTTGATGAGTATTCGAAAGCTTGAGATACCGTGGTTCCTCTAGAGCCTCTTTCGATGTTTTTTTTTTTTAAAATAAAGTATTCCCCTGTATTTGCCTTGCCAAATTTATCTTGATGTTGTGTAGCTGAAACGAGGTATTGGAAGAGAGAACATACTTCAAACTGCATCAGACTTCCAACTCTCAGATGTGACTTGTACAGCACCTCTACCTCTCTCTCTGAGTTAGCCCCCTCCCCCTTCTACCGCCCGGATAACGCCGCAGCAAGCCTCTTGCCCCTCTCGCCACCAAGATAGATGTCATCATCCGCAGATTCCCTCCCAAACTCGACAGCCTCGAGATAGCCCCTCGTGACGGTGTCCTCGTCCACCTTGACGCCGTTCTCCACCAGCGCAAGGATGACGCTCCGGCAGCGCGCAATCTCCCGCATCGTGGGCACGTCGATGTGGTTGTTCTGGCTCGAGTAGATTTGCGAGCTGACGCTCTCCTCCATGCGGTTGATGCCGGCCGCCTCGGCCGCGACGTCGCTCTCCACGTGCTTGCTGATCCAGATGTATCCGTTGACGCCCAGCAAGACGTCAATCTTGCCGCCGCCGTTGGCCGTCTCCATGGTCCACAGCTGGCGCTTGGAGCGCACCACGCCGGCGCCTCCTCCCGTGCCCCCGACGGCGACAAACACGCCGTTGCGGAGCTTGCCGTACTTGAGGCTGCGCGTGTGCAGGCTGGCGGCGCCGTCCTGGTGCAGCTGCTGGACCTCGGCGACGAGCAGGTCGCCCTCGGCGAAGAAGCTCCGGATCTGGAGCTCGTCCGTCTCGGTGCGCTTGCGGAGGATGCCGCCGGGGAGGTTGATGGCGGAGATTTGCAGGATGGCGAGCTGCGCGGCGGCGACGTCGACGCGCCACCGCTTGGCCTGGACCTCGACGATGCGGCCGACGACCAGGTCGCCGATCTCGGGGTTGTAGCGGGCGCGCAGGGGCCGCACGGAGAGGAGCTTGTTGGTGCGCGTGAGGGTGCCTGCGAGGGAGGAGGTGATGTTTGTTGTGTTGGGGGGGACGTATGTCCCGTGGCCGCTGGGAGGGGGAGTCAGTACAATGGTTGTAGTTCAAGGATGTGTAGATGTTGATCGGTGGTTTTGATGTAATGCGATGTGATTGAGGTTGGTTGAGATTTATGGGAGGGAGGAGAGGAAGACGAGCTAAAGGCACGAGAGAGATGATGGTGGTGACGATGACGATGACGTTGGATGAGGTAGAATAAAATAGAATGAAGGGCTTTTCAGGGAAAGAAGTACCGCATCCATTGGGGATTCGACGTAATGACCGTCCCCGGCGTGAGAATCTGGTCTCTCGCGTCGGCTTCCTCCTCATCGAAATCCTCGTCCTCGTCGACACTTTCACCGTCCTGCATCTGAACGTCGCCCAGGACGGCAGCTCCGCCCATTTCCGAGTCCGAGTCCGAATCTGAAGCAACGTCCATGTCGATGTCCATTGCGCGCGGCCGCCGAGGCGCCGGCGTGCTGGGCTGAGGGTTGAGGATTGTGATGGGCATGGCTGTGAGATGGACTGTTTTTTGTGGTGAGGATTTGGGGTGGCGGGAGAACACCGCGAATTGGCCCGTAGCCTGTATTTGAGAACCAAACTGCTCGCTTCCCTGTCAGCTATGCTGTCAAGTTCACCTTGGGGCGCTTGATCGATGTGTTTTTTTTTTCTTGTTTTGGTGACGGTTGAATTTCTTGAGTGAGTGAGTGAGTGAGTGATGCTGTTTTGCTTGTATGAAAAAGTTCAGATTGATGAGAGGTCCAAAGTGGGGCCGATGTTTGGCGCTGCCGGCCTACATACATTTTGGCTGGTGAGCTGCTGGACGCCAAAGAAAGGGAGACTTGCCGAATCATTCTAAGCAAAAGAGCCATGAGATGCTCAGAGAGACATTACTTCAACTTGTGTCTGATCGAATATTTGAATCACATTGTTCAAAATAGTTATTCACCTTGTCTTTTACGCCGCACTTGTGTCGTAACAGCAAGACTCATCAAGACATGCCATGAGTAACTGGGCTCTTCAGGTTTACTCCAGATCTCCTTCACGATGGCAATAATAGAGAGCAATGGTGTCGAAAGAGGAGAGAACATTATCCGTGCATTCAAAGTAGCCTTTTCCTGTGCCTCCAAACGCCGCATCCATGCTGTGACCCAGTCATATACAAGAGAAATAGTACAGTAATATACACGTTCGTTGCTTCGTCTAGCCGCCTTCATCTTGCCTTCGCTGGTCGTCCACGGACTGCATCTGACTTGACGGCTTGGCTCCTACTCTGTAGAGGCGAAAACATCACGATCGCGGGCAGAGTCGTCAAATCCTCAACAGTGGCTCATTTGAATGCCCTCCAGAGGCCCATCCATGCAAGGCTGGCCGAGATGGTGACGATGCCAAACTTGCGACTCCTCATGCCAAAAATGGACTTGCTCTGCATGATAACAGCCCTCTGCTTCTCCAGCTGCGACATGCCCGAAAAGTAGCTGTACGCTGCAAGACCAAAGAATGCACCGCTACCTATGAAAGCGTCAGCCTTACAACTCCTTTCACCATCACATGAAGAGCTTCAAGTTCAAGTCAATGTACTAAGAGGGACCAACCGATGACTTTGCAGGGCAAGCAGTCGTCGCCGCGGTCCTGGCGCAAAACGTCCTGAAGCCGCTCTGGCTTCTCGAGCGAGTGGAGAGTCGGGATCTTGTCGCCGGCCATGTTGAAGAAGCCCTGCTGTCTGACCGAGTTGTCGACTGTTTGATGCAGAGACTGACTACTTTGATACTTTTTAAGGTAATAAATGGGAGGATTTTGAGCTTCAAGATGCTGCAAGGTAGCGACAAGCTGTGATTGGTCTTCATCCATTAGTCAGCGACATCGCACTTGGAACTGCCCCGACCGGAGTTTCGTCATGCTGTACAAAGTACTTTGTAGTCGCGCGACTCCAAACCACTGGAGCTTCTGGCAGACCGTTTGGCTGGGCAAGGCGCTGGGCCGTCACCATGAACGGCGTTATTGAAGCGCTGCACATCTACGATGACAACAGGTAAAGCCCTTGGACCTCTCTGGAAAGCTGTCTCTTGGAAGCTCTGCTGACTTGCCACCAGAAACCCCATCCTGTCGCACACCTACACCGGCCGGCCTCTCTCGGCCTCCCACCTTCTGGCCCTCTATCTCGAGCATCCGTTTCCGCGGCCGAGCCTCATCTACCTCCCCAACGCAAACCCGCCGACGCTCGTCTTCAGCCTGACGCACTCCAATCTGCTGTTCCTGGCCACTTCGTCCACCGAGATTGAACCCCTCCTCGTGCTCGAGTTCCTGCACCGAATTGTCGATGCCTTTGAGGACTTTGTGGGGGCGCCCTTGCTGGCTGTCAAGCTCGAAAACAACTACGATGTCATTGCGCAGCTTCTGACGGAGATGTGCGATGCCGGCACGGTCAGCACGACGGAGCCCAATGCTCTGCGAGAGGTCGTCGAGATGGAGGGCTGGGTCGACAAGCTGCTCGGTAGCATCAACTTGCCAGGGTATGTGCCCCCCGCGATTGTGTTGATGAAGATGGAATAATGGAACTCATGTCAACTGACACGGGAGCAGGAAATCCCCGCTTAACACAACTCCGGCCGCGCCGTCACTGATAGCCGCCAACACGCCAGCCGTGCCCTGGAGACGAGCCAACGTACGGCACACCTCAAACGAGCTCTACGCCGACGTCGTCGAGACCCTGTCCGTAACGCTGGCCCCGTCAGGGAGGCCGCTGGCTGCGTTCGCTAATGGAACGATTGCGTTTACGTCAAAGGTGTCGGGCGTCCCCGATGTCCTGGTGACGCTCGGCAGTCCGTCGGGGAAGCATAACATAGGCGGCATCATGGAACTGCCCGTCTTCCACCCCTGCGTTCGATTGGCACGGTGGAATGAGCGACCCGGGGAGCTGAGTTTCATACCACCCGACGGACGGTTCATTCTGGCTGGTTACGAGGTTGATCTGCTACCATTTACTAGTGGGAAGAGTGGGAGCGTCAGCTCAAACAATCTCAAGCTTCCCGTCAATCTTGAGATGAAAACCGGGCTTGGGCCGGTGGGGTCCGAGTTTGAGGTCAGGCTGCAAACTAACAAGATCTTTGGCACGCCGAATTCATCAGCAGTAAGCCAATTGAGCCGCGCAGGAGTTCCTGGACGGTTATCGTCACCACATCCCGGGAGCCCAAGCTCGCCGCTACTCGACGATTTGATTGTCACCATTCCTCTGCCCGAAGACGTGAGGAACTTGTCAGACATTAGGCCGTCCCGGGGGGATGCAAGCTTCAACAGAGCCGAGGGGCGCCTCGAGTGGCACATCCCGGCAAAGGAGATTTCTGGCCCGACGTCTCATTTCGGGTTGAGGTGTACGGTGGTGGGATCTCTGGCCGACGACGAAGAGGAGGAGTTTGATCCTACGGGATTCGGGTTTGGCACCGATTATGCATACAACGAGCCATACCAAAGCACGGCCGTCAAGTCAGGCAAGGACAAGGCGGGCGCAGATGATGAGCAGGATCCTAAGAAGACGGCGCAGAACAAGATTCTGATGCCTAGTTCGGCCGCCGTGAGCTTCTCGGTCAAGGGATGGCTGGCGAGCGGACTGAAGATTGAGAGCATAGTATTAGACTCGAGGAAAAGCCGGGGGCTCAGCGAGGGCGTGAAGCCGTACAAGGGCGTCAAGTACCTGACGGTCAGCAAGGGAGGAGTAGAGATTCGCTGCTAATAGACTGCTAGACGTACGGGAGTTGTATTGCCGTTCTCACTGTTGATTCCTTTCGTCGTCTTGAGCCAATGATACCGTCTAACCCGATGCCCGAGCCAAGTCCGAGGCAGCTTCGCGGCTACCCCCCTCCGGCAACCGTATTGATTGTAACCAAAGGTGATCCTCTGGGCTCAACAGTCTTGTCTGCCCCAACAATGCTTTTTGCAGCATCTGTGTCAAGTCAATTCATACCTAGATCCACAGCTTCATTGCTGCTCATGAAATCAACAGCAGCCATGGCCCGGTGACGGCTCGGCAACAGCTTACTCGCTAGTCGCTTGTGCCCCACGTGCGTCCTTGTCCAAGTGCGTCACTGCTTCTGCACCCTCGGAATCGGCTCTCCTTCGCCTTCACTTACACCAACCTGTCGCATTCCATCCTCCTCTCCCCTCATGCCGATTCTGGCCCTGCAAAGCGCGACAACGAGCTGAGAGAAGGCAGAACCTCTGTGGCTCCCCGCATTGGTCGTCCGCCAGGCCATGAAGCGCTTCGCGGGCCCTGTTCTGCAGCGCGGGCGTGGCGCGAGGGTCAGGGTCAGCCGAGATGCGTCAGAGCTGACCCGGGCTCTGCGATGCTGCGCGCCGGCCTCTGGAGCATCGTCTGCCGCGACCTGTCCGGTGCGATGGAGCTCGAGCCGGCCTGGGAGGCCGCGGACGGCGATTTTCTTCCCGGGTGAGCTGCTGTTCCTTGCCTGTGCGAAAAAAGGGCCCCGAGGTCGGGGTAAAACAAAAGGGGACACTGTTTGTGACTGATGCGTGATTGCGTGCGCCTTGAGCTGGACAGGCCAGGGAGTGCAAAAGGTCGGCATGCTGTCGCCGTGGCTGGAGGCGTTTCCCGCGACGGCTTCGCACATCATCCAGGAGATTGACGACGTCGCCGGCTTCAAGATCTCCGACGTCATCCAGAACGGCCCGTCCAAGGTCCTGACGCAGACGACCATGGCCCAGCCCGCCATCATGGCCACGTCCATCTTCATCCTGCGCATCCTCGAGCGCGAGTTCGACTTTCGAGTCGCCGACCACTTCGACGTTACGCTGGGGCATTCTCTGGGCGAGTTCACGGCCCTGGTCGCGGGGGGTTACCTTGCCTTTGAGGACAGCTACTATCTCGTGCAGCGGCGCGCGGCCGCCATGTCGGAGGCGACGAAGAAGGCCATCCAGGAGTACGGGGGCGAATATGGAATGGTGGCGGTGATTACGGAGCCCGAGTACATGCAGCCCTTGATCAAGGCGATCCGCGACTTTGTCGGGCACTCGAGCGACGGGAGCAAGTCGGAGAGCAGCGAGGACGTGCCGCCGATTGAGCAGGTGTTGATTGCCAACATCAACAGCAAGAACCAAATTGTCCTGAGCGGCAACATGGAGAGGATCAAGACGCTGATAGCCCATGTCCGCCAGTTCTTGGGCCACGATCCGCGCGCCGTGCGGCTGCACAGTGATAGTCCCTTCCACAGCCCTATTATGAAGCCCGCGGTGACGGTCATGAAGAACATCCTGGCCAAGAAGAGCCGCGTGCCTGGCCGGGAGGACGAGGACATGGTCACGTTTCCGGGCTTGATGCCGTGCATCAGCAATGTCTCGGCCAGGCCGTTTGAAAGCAAGGAGCAGCTCAAGGACTTATTGGCCCGAGGGTGCCTCGAGACGGTACGGTGGTGGGCGTCCATCAAGTATCTCGACCAGGAAGAGAAGGTCAGGCGATGGGTAGGCATCGGGCCTGGCAAGGTAGGAAGGAATCTGGTGGGAAAAGAGGTGGGCATGAGGGGGAAGGATTTGGTCAAGGGAGGCGGCGTCTGGGCGATTACAGATCCGTTTGAGGTGGAAGAGGTGCTGCGAGGGCTGGAAGAGACGGCCAACATTGTAGATGACGAAGAAGAGTGAAGGACAAGCTATTGCTGAAGAAGATGGCAATGCATAGACGAGTCAGGACGATGGGGCTTGGGTGTAGTAGTAGTATGTATCAGCGTGTAAGATCGCATGTAAGATAGGTGGTGGGCGGAAGCAGTGATTGTATATCGGGATGTCGCGTATATTCAAGACGGCTGTTACCTGATTCAACGTCGTAGTCTGTGCTAATAATCGCCGTTGATGAGTATAATAATGAGTAGAATTCTGTCTTACTCAGGAGGTTTGCTGGCATTTGCATGTGAAGCTGCTTGTGTGTCGTTGCGGCCACCCCACAGTGACGGAGGAGGCACCTCAATTAACTGTACGTGCATCCCAGCCCACTCTGCAGCTTGAGCTCCAGCACCTTAAACCTCAACCTCAAACCTCAACCTCAACACCACCTCCCAAAGAACCGCACACAGACAAGCGACACAATGTCCGCCGCAATACCTTCAGTCGCCTGCCTCGGCGTCATCGGGCGCAACGTAAGCCTTCCAACTCTCATTTCCTACCTCCCCAAAACCTCAGAAACCAAAGCAAAACAGCAAAAGCTGACTGGGAGCCCGGCAGAACAACCCCCTACACATCTCCATCTTCCCGTCCTACGACCCCCTAGCAAACGCCTTCACCCCGATCCGGAACCCGCTCCAGTTCTCCCTCCTCCTCTCCTCCACCATCGACGTCTTCGACCTGCGATCCAAGAACAGCACCGCGTCGGGCGACTATGGCCTGCTGCACGCCATCGACGACCGCCTCGCGGCCTACGGCTTCGAGACCAACACGGGCGTGCGCATGGTCTGCATCGTGGACATGCGCGGGCGGCGCGTCGAGGCGGGCGGCAGCGGCGCCGTTGGGTCGAGCGCTGCTGCTGCTGCTGCTGCTGCTGCCTTGGGGGCTGGCGGTGGCGGTGCTGCTGCACCCTCGATGTCGGCTTCTTCCTTGGGCGCTGGCAGCGGAGGTCCTTCGAGCTTGGCGGGCTCTTCTGCGGCGGCTGCGACGGCGCGGTCGGCAGTGGGGAGCGTGGGCGCGGGACTGCGCGATGCGGAGCTCAAGCCTGTCTTCAGGGCGATGCAGAGCGCGTACGTGAGGCTCCTCCAGAATCCCTTCTACGACCCTGACGAGCATGCGCCGCTGGGGGGCAAGGGCGGCAAGAGGATCACGAGCAAGAAGTTTGGGGATGCCATGAAGAGAATAGGGGAGGCGTGGACGCCTGGCGTTACGACTTTGTGAGGGAAGATCATATGGCTTTGAAGGAGCTGAGTAGAGGATGTGTGTAGAGGGACATGGGCGATTTCTGGGCATTTGCATTGGCGTTTCTTGGGGGGGAGGGAGGAGGGCTGGGCTTCGTTTTTCTTCTTTTTTCTTGATATCCGTGATTGATATGGGTGGTGCCCTGGCATTGATTTCCTGTCTAGCGGGCTTGTAATATCTGACTTGTAACTCTTATTGTTGTTCCTATCTTGAACTGTTGCCCTTGGCTATCCCCTCTCTTCGCTCCGCTTCTTCAGATGCTCGACTCTCCATCGCGAGAGCCCTGCCACCTCGTCCACCTCTACGCTCGCCCCCATCCCCTCACCACTGCCGAGCTTCCTCTCCTCCAGGACCTTGACCCGGTACGGCCTCGAAGCCTCTCCGCCCTCCCAGTGCCGCGCCTCCATAGCCAACGGCTGCCACCAGTCCCCCGTCCTGGCATGCCACCTCGCGCTGCACAGCTCCCACAGCCGCGACGCGGCCCTCTTGTAAGCGAAGCGCTCGTCTTCGCCTGTAAACGCGCTCGTGTTGCCAAAGTCCACAGGCCGCTTCTGCAGGCCAAAGTCCGAGTCTTGGTCCGGGTCGTATTTGGACGTGGCGGATTTGGTGTCGTAGTAGGACACGTTGGGGCGGAAGGGGGCGATCTGGTCTTGATAGACCTCGGCCACTGTCTCCGAGTATGTTGCGTCGTCAACACTCAATGCATTTTCGCCGCCCTTGTCCCCCGCTTCTCCTGAAACCTTGTTCGTAGGCTGTAGTGTTTCTGGAAAGAAGAGGTCGTCTGGAGGACTTTCGGCACGGATGACGAGCTTGCAGCGGGCTTCGTACATGGCGTCGAGGAGGGTGATGAAGCGCCGTGCTTCGTTCTTGGCCAGGATTGTCAGAATGGGGACGCGGTCGATGATGAAGGTGTGGTATGTCGATGCCATTGTGAGATAGTCTGCTGGCCCGAACGACTCGACGAGCTTGTCAAAAGTCCAGAAGACGAAGCCGTTGTGGTGATGTGGTGCGACGACTTGGCGGCCGTAGACGATGAGTTTGGATGGCTCCCAGGGGACTAGCCGGCTGTCGGACCCCAAGACGATCTTTTGGATGCTTTGTGTAAAGGATTGGTCGTCTTCGTCAAAGAGATAATAGTAGGGCGGCCTCTTCCTTTCCTTCTTGGCCTTGTCACTCCCAGTTCGTTCCCCCTCAACAGGCGCGGCGACATGTAAGACGCCATTCACACCTTGTTCTACCTGGTCGACGGCAGCAAGTGGGCTGGAATCTTCTTCTCTCCTCCGCCAGTCCTGCGCGCCCTCCATCTGCCAGAAGTCGCATCGAGCCTTGAGCACCTCGAGGAAGGCAGCAAAGTCGCTCGTCTGGCCAAAGAGTTCCCCTCGATTGCGCGACGCACCCCCAAAGATCTTGCCCATGAGGCCCCTCGACGTCGGCGCATAATCGACGCCCGTGGCCTTCTGCAGCTCCTCGGGCATCCGGTTTGACGAGGCTACCAGAACTCCGCCCAGCTGGAAGAAGGCGACGAACAAGTTGCTGAGGATCTTGCTTGCAGCTCGGTCTGGGAGCTGGAACTCGTCTAGGAAGAGAATGGGGGACTCGTCGACGAGCTTCTTGGCCATCCAGAGGAGAGAGTATTCCGCGGCTGCATTTGCATCTGCACCTGATGACTGATGACTGGACCTTCGGTGCTTCTCAAGTTGCGACAGTGTGTAGAGCATAAAGGTGTTGAAATGCCATCGCTTCTTCTTTTGCGTGGGTAGGCCCTCAGCCAACAGGTCCAGAAGCATCGACTTTCCCGTGCCAACCTCCCCTGAGAGAAACAATCCCTTTGGAGAATCAATATCAATGGCCGTCTGATGGTTCGTCAACACCCGGGTCAGGGCCAGACTCTCTCTGCCTTCGGGCGTGTTGAGCAGTTGTTTGAACAGGGGGTTCCGCCATATTGCGTGGTTTCGCAGTGCCAAGATGCCCTCGCCGGTCTCTTCCTCTGGCGGCTTCTTCTTGGGCTCTGTGAGGCGAGCGACTTGGTCGAGTCGCTGACGATAGTCCGCTTGGGGAGAGTAATCTTTTACGCGAAGGTAGATCTTGTGTAGGTGCCGTGCCAGGCGGTGCTGAGCGGGATCGGGGGAGTAGACGCCTGCGGCTACTAGGGACTGGTATTTGACCAGAGGGTCGGTGATGGTGACTGCCGTGGAGAATCTCCTCATGCTGACAATTTGACTCATCTGTTTACTTGTGATATGTGGCCATGAGGGCTATCATGGATCATGAAGATTGGTTTAACCAGCGGTTGAGTGGCTGACACGGAGTTGGAAGATAGCCGCGGTTGGCTAGAACATTGAAGGGATATGGAAGAAATAGAAAATTATCGAGATTGGCTGTGAGACGAGAAGACAGGAGATGGTTATGACAAGTTTGATATAAAGCGTCTAGACACAATTGATCAGATAGGTATCTGTATGAAGTGTCATAAGATGGTGCCAGATATCAAATCTCAAGTTTTCATAGTAATACTGGCCGCCAACAGAACCCCAAGGTGTAGTAGCCCAGCTGGTGCCGCCAAAAAAAAAAAACTGCGCCGTCTTCTGCAGATCTTGCAGCGTCACCAAGCACCTCAAGTTCTCGTAAACTTCAAGTATTGCCTATACCAATCAGAAATCCCCTTGAGTTAACGGCATTAAGCGTTTCGTGAATCTATAACACGTTCAGAAGCATGTTGTTTAGAAGGCTTGGGCCTCGAAATGTCCGGCATTCAGAAGCCTCGTGCAGTGCGAATGACGGTTACGGAGTACCTCTCACCTACAGCGAAACTGTACGCTTCTCGGTGTACATGCGCACGGTTTCACCAGCCACGAGCGTTTTCTCTTTGATCGAGACGCCTGACGACAAGGTGACTTTTGCTTTTGGAGAGACCTCAAGACTTTGTTCTCGAGTATCGTCCTTATTTCAACGCGGCGCTCGGGTACTTGCTGCCAAGGTACCGCGTGGGTGCGTCAGATGCTCCGGCGAGCCAGATCAGCGGTACCTGTACAGTACTTCTCTCACCCCGCCCAAACCAGTGCGGCATCAAGTACCTTTTGGGGCACCAACCTCCGTGCGCCGGGGAATTCTGCCCATTTTCCAGTTGTTTTTCGCCCACCGCCAGCAGCGCCAATGAATCAAAGCCGCTGTTTTGCTTCTCTCACGCACCGCACCAATACCCCATAGCAAACCATACCATACCACATCTGCTCGCCCTGTGGCTGGAGATCCATCTTGCATCTTCATTGCCTCAGTCCCGGCATTTCGACATGCCCTTCTAAGCTCCCCCCTTTCCATCATCGAATCCATCTGTCGCCGCCTCTCGAGCTCGTCAGCAGCTTGCCTTCGCGACTCGCGCGCCCGGCGCGATCTCTGCGATCTCGAAAATCTAGCCCTCCTCACACCCAGGCCTTTCCCGTCGAGCCACCACCATGTTCTCTCCATCCGCGAACGAGGGCGGCCCGGCCACGGCGACTCGCTCCCGACGGCGGTTGCGCCCCAAGAGCCAGGAACAGCTTGTCGCGGCCCCGAAGCCAAAGAGGCAGCGCGTGCCCTTGAGCGAGCAGACGTCGACCAACGCCGACGCCCAGCCTGAGATGGCTGAGGTGAGGCCGGAAAAGGCTGCAACGCCCGCCGAGCCCAAGAAGGACGTCGGCATCGAGAACGCGGCTCCGGTGCAGACCGTGCTGCGCAAGGAGCTGATTGTCCGGACCAAGAAGCCCAAGCATGGCGATCGTGCTGCTCAAAAGGGTGATGGAAGCCTTCTCCTGGTAAGCTGCAGAGCTCCATCTAGCTTTCAGAGCTTGGCCTCGTCGCATCGGGGCCTCCTTCACCATCGTTTCCAATTGTCCAATGCTGATACGTCTCTTTGCAACGTTAGACAAGCACCAATGCATATACTGTTAGCAAATTACCAGCGCTGCCCGACAGAATCCGGAGTGACTGGTCTGGTACGCTTCACCTGAAGTTTTTTTTTTTCTTCCGCATCTGCGGCGGCCTTCGCGCGTACTAACTCGAGCAGGGAGCCAACACGCCGACATCTTCTCATCATTCGGCTACGCCTTGACGCTGACACCAACTCATGCTGTCGTTTGGCCCTACAATTCGACCTCGCAATCCCCCGAGACCTTCACCTTCACTCTACCGTCCTCCTCGAAGCCCAACGACGCCCTCCCCGTGGGATGTCTCGTCTCCCCCTCTGCCTCATCGACCGAGCCCGGCTTGGTCGTTGTGATGGCGAGCACTGGCAAGGTCATCTTCTGGGAGTCCATCTCCAGCGCCGCTACGTTCGCCTTCATCAATAAAGACAGATCGGGTGTTGAGTACATGATCTCTGGAATGTCATCGAGCGAGAAAGTGGTGGCCATCACCAATGCAGAGACCGCAGGCTTTCTTCTTACCTTCAACAGCGGACGCCTCGCGTACATGAACGTACGTGATAGCCACGGACGACCGGCAATCTCTGTCCAATTTCTACGAAGCAACCTGTCAAGCACCAACGGCGGCCTCTTTGGCACCATTCGCTCTGCCTTTTCGCACCTGAGCCTCAAGGGGGACATTGCGGCTGTCCGGGCTGATAGGTCTGCGAGAGTTGGCGAGAAGAATATCGTGGCTTTGACCAACAAGGGCAAGCTGCAGTCGTGGAAGGTTCACCGCGGAGGCCACCACGAACCGTTCGGCGAGTTTGACGCCCGAGATTCCATTATATCAGCGCTCTGGGAGGTTGACCCGTCCTACCGCGAACTCTCGGCCGAATCCTTTGAAGCTCTCGACTTCACTTTTGTCCCGAGGGGCTTGGAGCACAAATACCTCGACCTCAGCAAGCTCAGCGCCGCTACTGCTACCGATGATCCGTCCGTTCAGCAACTCCTGCTGCTTGTCAGCCTCACCAGCCGGACCGTCTCCCGTTATGCCCTCGTGGAAGTCATCCTAACTCAGAAGAGGTCCCAAGTAGGCATGATCCGACCAATTACTTCATACACAACCCCAGTTTCGCAAACGGATTCCATCCAGGCGGTTAGGCCGCGACTCTATCTGCCGCGTCCTGCCCTCGTGGCCTTTGCGGTATTTGATCGTGCCGCGGTAATAGCCTCTATTGCAGTGTCACCCGAGTCTCCTGATTCTCAGCTTCAATCTGACACACACACCCTGTCTCCCTCCTTTGAAGATGTCATCGACTTTCGCGAGGATAATGTCCATGAAGTCGTTGGATCCGGGTTCGAAGAAATGCCACCGGCGTCGACTTCCAGCGATGAAAGCCGAGCAGCGCGTGCAAAGAGCAAAAACCCGGCCGTGGTTCTCGTGGTCCGCGGAGCCGGCGTCATTCGGATCGCAACCACGGATGTGGACAAGTTCGCCAGCGATCAGCCTCCACAAGTGTCGGCCAAGAACAAGCTGGAGCAGGCCGTCTTCTTTGGCACCAAGAAGAACAACCCTCTAGTGTTCAATGCCCGCCAGGAGATCCAGTTCTCAAAGGATGAGGTTGCCCAGGCCGCGCTGGAAGTCAGCAACGAGATTCTAAGTTCGACCACCGCCTATATTGCCACCCTGCCAGCGTCATTGGAGGAGAATCTCATCGCACGATCTAATGCCTTGGAGAAACTCATTCTGCACCTCAAGGCCACAGGTGCCAATCTTGACCGCACAACTCGCTGGGCTTTGTTGCACAATGCAGAAAAGATGCACGTCGCAACGCTACTGTGGAAACGACAAGAGGCCTTCGTTGCAGCACGCCCAGCAGACCTCAAAAAGACCCTGATTGGATACATCGTTGAGTTCATCCACGAGGACCAGAAGCATAAGCCCAGCCCCGAGGTTGGCGAAGTTGACCGCATCCGCCACTGGTTCCTCAACGACATTTTCCGCCTCGAACTTTTTGTCGCATGGGCATACGAAGTCATCAAGGTCTTGTACAAGGACAAACTGTTGGACGACGCCAAGGTGACATACATGATTTACGAAGCACTTCAGATCAACATCTGCGCCCTGCTGGGGGCTCTTGATTTCCGCAGAACCAACCTTGCCTTTTACGGGCTGGGTGACGAGAAGCTGAGATTGGGCATCCTCCGCGATGGTTACGAAGGCCTCCCCGAGCCGTGGACAGGATGCCACTACGTTGCCAACAATATTGCACGCTTGGTCGAGCTCTCGGAACAGTGGCATTTGAAGTGGACTCAGACAGATGCGGAGGAAACCACCAAGCCTGCGCATAGACCGGACCCAGCCATCATTGAGAAGATTTACAAAGACCTGCCGGCGGCTATTGACGGCATGCTCACCTCAATTCTCGAATACTCTCGATGGGCCGAAACGACACCAGACCAGAAATCCATGGGCCAGACGTTTGCCAAGGAATACCACAAGGAAAGATACGAGAGACCCATAAGCCTTGCACGGGCAGGAAAATTTGATGAAGGAGCTGCCATTGCCGAAAAGCATGGCTGTCTGGAAGGCCTAGCAGTCATTCTGCTCGACCACATGGAGGAGGTTGACATGGTGGGCCGCGAACCCGCACTCACCGCTTTGGAGCTGGAGAGCCTGGCCATCGTCAAGAGAGAGCAAGCGGAGCGGCTCAAGTCAAAGTTCACCCGATATGGCCAAGAATTTGCCTTCCCCGTTTACGAGTATCTGCTCAAGAAGCACGGGGTTGAGGCGGTGCTGTCGTTTGAGCTTGAGACGCACGGTTACAAGACACGGTTCCTTCGCAGCAGACCTGAGCTGGCGCGGATATCGTGGATCAACGACATTCAGCAGGAGAAGCAAGTCGGCCATGCTGCAGAAACGCTTATCCACCTCGCCCTCGAAAAGGAGCAGCAAGTGTGGAACAAGAAGATTGAGCTCAGTCTTGGGAAGTTGGCCCTGTTGGCGGAGCTGGAGCAGAAGTCGCAGCCAAAGTCGCAGTCGAAAGACTACAAAGCGAGTGCAGACGAACTTCGCATTGACCAGCAAGTCAAGCACGTCGACAAGGAGCTCACCACGATCAATGTTCAGGATCAGCTCTACGCTCAAATCCTCCCCAGCACTTACGACGCCGTTGACGAAGCGGCGGCTCTGAACCTTGCCATGGAGGCCCACGCTGCAAATGTGCCCAAGCGCCAGAAGGTCCTACGCCAGCTGTTCGAAGATGGCATGGAAAGGCTGCTGAAGCACGAGGTCCTCGATCCCATGACTCTCATTGATTTGTTGACCCTCGCGGACATCAGCCCAGAATCCCGACAAATGACAGGACACCCGTTCTGGTTGGCCCTCAAGGTGGCTGAGTCCAGTTGCAGCGGCGATGAGCTTCGGGAAGCGAAACGGCTCATCTGGAGGAGGCTCTTCATCCGAGATGACTGGGCCAAGATCAACGACACTCAGCTGAAGGATGATCGTGAAGTTGTGGAGAGACTGGCAAATACTGAGCTATATGCCATGCTCTCGGACTGCGTTCGACACCGTAAGTTGAAAACCCAAGAGGCCGCGTACGAGGAATGAAGGAAAACACCAGAGCTAACACAGCCGAATAGAAGATGCCCAAAGCGAGTTCAGGCCTATGACGCCGAGAGACGCCCTTGGTGCTTTCACGGAGCAGCTCGATCGTCGTTTCCGCGACTTTGACGCGAGCATGAGGACCAAGCTCATCGACTGCATGCACCACGAGGACAAGCTCCTTACCCAACACATTGAAAAGCACCGTCTCACAGAATGGCTGCGCACCGCTCTGGAAGCGGCTCAAGCCCAGCACGACAAGGAGAAGCAGGAGGCGCCGAATGCCATTGCTCCCCTGACCTTGGGTGGCCCCCTTATTGACGGCAACACCACCGCTTCTGGCACTAATGGCAAGGCCCTGTAAAGCAAACTTCCGCTCGGAGGACGACACGACCACGGGACGAAGAGGAAGGGAAAACACAAAGGGTGGAAGAGAAATCATCCAAATGAGAAAGATGGGGGGGCAAAAACAATAAGACGTAAAGAGAAACGAAACAATCTTGGCAAGTGTCTTTTGTCATTGGGCGGCGTTTGGCTGAATGTATCCACGGTTCTTTCTTATCTGTTCCATCATCAAATGCTGTACTATAAAAATTTTTCCTCCTCGAGCACAAGAGGGGGGGAAAAAAAGGGAGGAAGAGCAAAGCGGGTTGAAAGGCAAAAAAAAAAAAAGGAACATTGAGACACACACACAGAGAGAAAGGATGGAAGGAAGGGCCTTATCATACTATACATAGGTACAACCTACCTTGACTTCTCCCAAGAGCCGGGAGCAAAGAGAGTGGGTAGGTAGAAGTTTGGGCACAGAATGCTTCGGTTTGCCTTTCTTTGGGGGTTTTCTGTCTTTTTGTCTATTATAGGTAGCTTCTCCCTGTGTTGGAGAATATCGACATGGCGGGTTTGCATGATCTTTGCACTCAAAGCATGCGTTATGCTCTATTGCTGTTCGTGAAAGGGTCTCTTGACCAAGGCATAGGAAGGGTTGAGGAGGCCAACATTGTAAAAGTTGTGCCTGTGAGTACACTGACCATTGATGCAGTCAGTCTTCACCCAAGGTTATCGAGCATTTTGGCGCTGCCTGGTGTCGAACATCTTGGTTATGTGGTTGATCATTCATGAACGGACAGGTCGAGGCCATTATACGACACATAGGTTTGAACAAAGACACGCTTTACATACAAAGAGCATAGAGAGAGAGTATTGTGTCAGACGTCAATTCATTTCAGCACTGGGCATATCGTGATGGCTACCAATTTCCGGGCCGCTGTCTTCCTTCTCCATAGCTCCAAGAGCACCTTCGTTACGCCCTTTCTCCATCATGACAGAAAATAAAAACGGCTACCTCGCCTTTGCCCTCGCAGCTTGGGCATATCGCTGCTTTGCTCTCCCCGTGACTTGATGCCCATCCCGCAATCGTGTGTGCTTGACACCTTGCTTAGGACATGTGATGCAAATGGGATATGGTCTGAGTGTGATCCAATAAGGCGGCGTTACCGGTGCAGAAACATCGCTTTGCAAGTAAAGCATCTTATTAGATCTTTGAATACGTACATGCAGGCTTTGCTTAACCCTGCATCTTCTTTCTCTTGCCGATCTGGGCAGAGAAACCAGTCTTGATGGCTGTGACACTTCGTCGTGAACCGCAGTTGTTGCAGGTGATGAAGTACAGACGGTTCTCGCCCTTGTTCAACTCAGTATCGGGCGACTTGCAGGTCTTGCAAGTAACGTATTCAACTAGAAACACTTGGTTAGCACGGCGTTGGTGAACAGTGGGAAGTGAAGGGGACGTGGAAAAGTATGGTAGGCGTGAGTGAGTCCAATGACTTGCGAGCGCCGCTAGATGGACAGCCTGATGCCCTTCCACTCCACGCTCCACTTTGCTTGATGGGTAGACGTACTGATGTATTTCCTGACGACGTTCTCAATCTGCTTCTGCTGGAATCGACCCTTGATGACCAATCTCCTATTTCCGTCAACGGAGCCGTTTGTACCCAATTCGGCGAATAGGTAGGCGGTGACGTGCTCCTCGGTTCGCTTCATGCGCTTGCAGATATCGGCAATGTTGGCAAAGACGGTTTTCCTGTTGCCTTCACGCATGCACTGAGGCGGAGGGATCTTGTAGCTCTTGGTGCCGCTGAGCGAGTGGTCGGGATTCTTTTGTGAGAGGACGGTGAAGAAGCGGGAGAGGAGGAGGGTATAAGGGATCGTCTTGGACTCTGAGTGGCTCCAGACACCGGTGCCCGTCTCCATGTCGCCCGCATCCTGGGGCGCCGTCTCCTCGGCATCCTCGGTGTCCTTAACCTCGAGCTGCTTCAGCTTGGCAGTGAACTCGTCCTCTTCAGCACCCTCGGCCTTCTTGACCTTCTTCTTCTTCTTCTTCATGGTCAGGTCAAGACCACCGTCCTCGGCGGGGGCGGCTCCATCCTCGGCCTCGGCATCACCCTCGGCGCCCTCGACCTTCTTCTTCTTCTTCTTCTTCTTCAGCAGAGACAGGTCAAGACCGCCATCTTCGGGAGGGGCAGCCTCGTCGGCGGCGGCTTGAGATGAAGGATCAGCAACAGCAAAGGCTTCGAGAGCGGCAGACAGAGGCGGCGTACGAGGCGTGTGTGACTGGGCCGTCTCCTTGGGTTCCTCGGCGGCGCTCATGATGGTTATTGAGCCGTCGGTTTCGACCACGAGCTGTTCGTCGGTGAAGGCAACGGATTTTCGGGATGCCTTGCGTTCGGCCTGGTCCTGCGTGGTGGGGAAAGGAAGAGGAAGAAAAGTTAGTGACGACGTTTCTTCGCGTATCTTCTTGATGGGAACTGCAACGCGTGGAAAAGAAAAGGAAAGGGGGGGGGGGGGTTAAAGGAAGAGAAGGAAAGGCTCGAAAGGGGATAGGCTGGGAAGTGGTACAGTACAGATCAGATGCTTCTCGATTGTGAAGCCGTCTAACAAGGCAAAAAAGCTGTGACTCAGACGTATGACAAGGGGAGAAGGGAATGGGTGGATGAACAAATTGTCCCCCAAAAGAGGGTTGGTGGGGTAAATTTGCTGTGATCGGGGCTATTTTTTTGCGTGGCCAATGCTGGCCGTTTGTGGGCGGTGGGCGAACTTTTGAGAGGGGCAAAACGAGAAGAAAGTCGGAGGGGGATGATGGACGGCAGAGCAGCTCCAGTGGCGACGCCAGGGCTAAGCGGTGCCGGTTGGTGCAGGAAGGGGAGAGACATGACAGGACGCTTTTGCCTTGCCGGTAACGAAACGGAGACGCAGCTCCATTTCCTTGTACCAGCAGCAGCAGCAGCAACAGGCGACCTGCAGTGTGCAGTGCAGTGCAGAGTAGCAGCGATGGGTGACTCACCTGTACTTCGTTCTCCATGGTTGCAGTTGATGTGATTTGATTTGATTTGAGTTGGTTGACTGATCGCCTGGTGCCTTCCAGCTGCAGTGCAGTGCCTCCCGATGGTCTCAGACAAAGAGTCCCTCTTCTGCGTCGTTGCGTGTCTGTCCTTCCTTCTCCCTCACTCGGACGGCTCTCTTGGGCTGTCCTTTTGGCTTCGCTGTGGCGGTTGATGATATGCGACGGGGTGACGGCTGATGCTTTGCGGCCCAACGATATGCGCCCTTGCACAAGATGGTACTTTTACCTGCAGAGGCTCACTGGTTCGCTTTGGAGCTGCAGCGGGAGGTTCAGAGCAGGTAATGAGGAAATTGAGGTTGAGAGTTTGAGTCAGCTGCACGTCATGTCCTGGGCCTTGCTTTGGGCCGATATTGAAGCTGCTGGGCACTGATGGCCCTTTGAGCTGGCCCAAGGAGGGGTATCACGTGATGCCTCCAGCAATCAGAACACATACTAAGGTAATACTAGTAGGTACCTAGAATGTTCGTCTTGCTGAGCAGCGATAAGATTGGCGGCGATAGCGATAACAGCTGCGTTATCCCGAGGCGGGCCAAGTGCTACTATTACCTACCAAGGCCGCCGTTCGGCATGACATTCACGATCCCATCATCGAGACGGCACAAGCAAGACCAAGCTCCACGTGCGTGACGCCTGCGATTGTGAGACCTCAGCAAGGCCATTCAGTCACGTCGCCCAGCCGCCGAGAGACCGACATCTCTTCCTTCATGGCCTGAAGCCTCCCAACAACGCCGACTACGCGCATCGCCGTCTCGTCATTTTCCCCTCCGAGTCCATCCATCCATCCATCCATCCATCCAGCCAAAAGTCGTCATCAAGCGCCAGCACCGACTCCATCAAGGCACCCCGTCGCAATGGCTTCCGACGAATCACTCGTCGACCTCCACGCCTCCTCCCTCACCGACGACAAGGACGAAATCGACTCTCTCCCCTCAGATTCCACCAGCGACATCTACTCCGAGGCCGACTCCGAGGCGCAGGCCGAATGGGATCGCAGTCTGGAGCAGCTCCAGCTCCTCCTCACCATGATTCTCGTGCCCTGGATGGGGAAGCTCTTTGGCCGCAAATTCGCGTATTGGAGTAGGTTCCTCCAAGGCACCTTTGTCATACCCCTCTCTATCATTACCTAGGTTGCTGACAAGCTCTCTACAGGCTGGGGTAAGTACATGAACTGGGTGCACAACGTGGACGTGCAGGTCACGAACAAGAAGTCGTTCAACGCCGCCGGTGCTGTCGCGGCGACTTTATAGCCATCAGTCGGTTCAAGACTCGTTGAGCGTTTTTGGGCAGAGTGTCTGGGTGCACGCGCTGGCGATGCATAGACTCACTCTCCCCATTCGGCATTCGGCCTACAACACACTGTTTTGATACACATATCGGTTCCGATTGCTGCCACAACTGTTGGGACATTTCTATGTTGAAGTCGTTCCGACACAAATACCCCAAGGCCTGGTTCGGCATCACGTATCAACTACCACGCGCGAAGTAGCACAGCCGAGGCGAAACCAGAGGGGAAGACGATAGTAGCAACAAGATATATATTATAAACATGACTTTGTGTCATTCATCAAACAATTACCACATTAATTATCATTTTCATAACTTTGTCCCTTCCTGCCAAGCTATGGCGAGACCAATGGATCCATCCAGTCAACCCAGTACCCAATCTCGTCACCTCGTAAATGTATGTGGCTTTACACCGTCACTTCGTACAGCATGGGCGCTTCAATGCGCGTCGTCCGTAGACATCACCGCTTGTCGTGAAACAAAGCTATCCCTGATTGCCAGTACCCAAAAAAACGTCTTCACATTAAACCTAGCTCAATTGTCGGCTAGATGCAATCCACCAGGGACGGGCTACTGTCGCTCGACAACAGTACTGCCCTCACGTGAAAGAGCGAGAGCTCAGAGAAAACCTGAGCTAGAGTCTCACGATAAGCGCACTTAGACCCCAACCTGAGACATGGCAGGTCGAGAAGAGCGCGAAGATCGGGAAGTTCGCATGGAGCCGGTGAAGCCGCTGCTCCTGGCATCCCTCCAGGTGATGAAGAGGATCAGCGAGAAACAAGCCCAGAGGAACCACATAAAGGCAGTGCTGGCCTGGATCTCGCGGCACCTCCTCTCGTCGTGGTGAGAGCCAAAGCCGATCCAGTCGCTGGGCAAGTGCTGGCCAGAAATGTTGCCGCAGTTGGGCGCGCGCAGCTCAGCGGCCAACACAATGGCGCAGATAAAGGTGAACAAGGTGGCCAGGCCGTCGAGGATGAGGAGCGCCGAGGGCACGGCGATGCTCTCGATGAAGATTGCGAACAGACCGTAGAGGAGCGCAACCCATGAGAGAGCGGCGACGAACATTGTGAAGTTGACCGTGACCATGTGGCCGTTGACGTTGGAGGCGATGACATTTCCGATGAGGGCCGTGATGAGCAGCGTCCAGACGAGCGCGATGCCGCGCAGGGCAATCTTGAAGAGGTTGGACATTGTGGCGGTGAGATGCCTCGACTCCGCGATGCTGAATTGTGTCGATTGAGTCTGAGATAAGTTTCCGGGATTCGGCTTTGAGTAGTAGTATCTAGATGATATCCCTGGACCCAGCGGCGAGAAGAGTGGATTCTATGCTGCGATATGTGCTGTTGCGTGCTCTGTTCGCGATCGACGGGGTCTTGTCCGTGCGCCAAGAAGATTTCTCGATTGGCGAAGAACACAATATCCAAGCTACCGGAGAAGCACCAGGCGCGCAATAATTCCCTTCTGATGGCGATAACGTGGCGATTTTAAGCAGAATATTTGGATTGTAATTGAGCAAGAGAGAAAGTAAAAAAGAAGCCGGCGCAACGTGCTCAAGAGCAGAAGATGCAAGGAGATGGAGAGGGCAAAGCGCAGATGCAAGAGTGTCGACCGAGCAACCACACGGCGACACAGCTTATAAGGTCAAGGTGCGGGCAAGTGTGACGTGTGGGGGACGCAGCTCCAAAAGCGAACTAGGACCGAAACGAAGCAAAAGGGTCGAATCAGCCAAGCAGGGCCAAGGCAAGGAAAGCAAGCTTGTGCATGTGAAACACGGCGTCAATAGAAGAGTATTACAATGATCACAGCCTCTCTGCAGTTCTCTGGCAGTACAAGTGGGCGCTTTCAGCTGCTCTTTGACTCTCGGGGCAGCGAGATTGGATGGGAAAAATGGAAGCTGTGCTACTGCTGCTGCTGCTGCTGCTGGCTCGGAGAGTTCGGCACGAGAAGAGGCTTTTTGCATGACGTTTTGTCCATGATGGCGCTGATCTACGGTTGTCATTGGGAAGCTTGTTTTTCTCGCTGGTTTGCTGCTGTTCAAGGTTTCGTCCTCGGTATGCTTGGAAAGCTTGCGGATTCGCTCCAGGACGCGCCTGACGTCACGCGGACTGAGAATAAGGACACTTGAAAGCCCAACTTATGTATCTTCGCCCTCTCGCGATGAGGAGAAAAAAAATAGAATTCGAGGTCGTGAAAGCCACAAGGAGCTGCCACGGTCTTTTGCAAAGCAACTCGCTCTGTCGGCACTCAAGCTGTGCTGAAACAGCTTGGAAACTGGTCCTTTGACGGCATTGTTTGAGCGTTCTTCTGCCGGTTGCGTGAGTTGAACGCTCGCGATTGGCTGAGATCAGCCGCTAATTGGCGCCAGACTGCCCCTTTGGGGATAACTTGTCGATTTTCGTTGGCCGGTAGACCGATGCATGTCGTCATCAACATTCATTGGCCACGAAGCTTCCAGAGTTGAGACTTTCATCCGATAACCGTGCAGATGACAGGATGATTGTTACTTGAGCTTGCAATAAGAGCTACCCGAATACGCGACACATGACGGCTGCTTATGACAACAAGCTTTAGAGCTGTGAGAACCAAATACTACCTACCTCAATTCTTAATAGGTGAGATGTCTGTTCCTTAGACCTTAAGCAATATAGCTAATCTAACCCTTTATTTTATAAGTCCTCCTATTTACACTATAGCATATCTCTATTTAAACTATAGTAGTCTATATATAGGGTAAAATTCCTGCGCATACACTATTAAGTCTATTACTATACACCTGCTTACAGTATAAGGTAGTTAACTATAATAGCAGGCTTATCTTTATATAATAAGGCCACAGCTTTTATCTTTAACTATTACAGCTAACCTTAAAGCTAACCTTAAAGCTAACCTTATTACAGCCAGCCACCTATTATAGTATAAGATTAACAGCAGCACTTATTATAATCCTAAGATAAAGGAGGCAGCTGCAGTAGCAGAGGCAGTAATAAAAACAGTAATAAAGGCAGTAGTAAAGGTAGCAGATACCCTAGTGTAAATCCTATATGCCCTCTACCTTATAATATCTCCTTAACAGTAATAACTTCTAGTATATAATACTATACTGTAGTATGCAGGTATAGGATATTCTACTTAAGGGGTTAGTCTAGCTAGTGGCATAGACCACTATAGTTTAAATAGGAATATACTATAGTGTAAATAGGAGGACTCTGTTTTATTTTCATCTAGATCACCTTAAGCTTAAAAAGCTTTAGTAAACGGGAAGTCTCCCTTAAAAGACACCGCTCTGAACCAAGCTGCGTACCCCCTGATAATTCTCTCTGCTCCCTATTCACCCATGGATATCCTCGAGAACATCATGAAACCCTTCCCACCGAGCCGTACCTATTCCATTCTTGCCGAACCTTATAGGGGTGCGTTCAAGCAAGTGTAGCGGGCTCACTGGCCTCCGACAGCAGGCATCAAACTGTATCTGCATATACACACATATGCCTGGACACTTGCAGCTCTGCGCTTCTCAACACCCTGACGGTCGGGAGTCTTGCTCAATAACCCTTCTTTTACTATCATGGAGACGACAAAGCTACCTACGTTTTAACTTATTCCAACAACGTGACTTGCATCAACCAACAACATAAGATCAACCCCAAAGAGAAAACGTAGCTTTACACGCACATACAGCTGCCGCCCACAAGTGAAAGTTTTTTACCTGTCCAACCAACGCTGAAACCTCGATACCTCTTTCGGATCGTTGTCTTGTCTCTCTCGGCCCACACGAACACTTGGCCATTTCCCGACAGATAAGAGGGCTCTGACCAAGTACGCAGTAGCTTCATCGCGTCCAACCTCATGCTATTGCCACCAACGGCTTCGGCTCCGCGCCGGCCGGGAATTTTTGCGGAGCCTTTGCCGGCCAACTTTCGGACATGGGGGGGCGTGTGGGGGTTTCTATGTACCGGGGAGTTTTGTGAATAGCCTCATTGGAGAGTGGTGGCAGAAAAAGATTGACTGGCTTTCTCTCGCACAATCGGAAAGTGTGTATGAAAGGCCTGGAAGTATTTAATCCATAAAGGTCATTCATCCGCAGTGACATTGGACAGTATACAGAGGACGGCCTCGTTTCGCCACAATGTCTCCGATTCTCGATGCCGATGCCTTCAAACCATATCGAGTCAACATACATTGTGCAGAAGAATGTTCACGAAAACTGTAGAGTTGGCTCACGACGCTGTCATTTCCCATACTCACCGAGCGTCATGTCTGCGCAAACATAAGAGAACCCCCAAGAAACCCCAAGAACCATCAAACTACAGGTAAGACCTCGCTGCGTGGGTAACAAGGTTTCATTCAGCAGAGTCAGCTCGGCTCCGCAGCGCATAACCTCGACGACCAAAGTGTGACATGCCCCAACGGCTTCTCTGTGGCTTGACAGCTTCAACTTGGAAGAACGCACAATCTCTCTTTTCTGTGTCCCATCTCTCTTCCTCTCTCCCCCCTTCTGCCTTTTTGCCTCTGACAAAGATTCCCTCTCACCCCACACAAGGCCACGTTTTTTTCCTGTGTGAAGCCAGGCCAAAAGAAGCTTTTCCTCTCCGCCATCCTCTTGCTCGCCCTTTTCAGGTTCGGCTCTTGGCGCGGAATATGGGTGCCGGTTTTCACATGGTGGCTGCTCGCGCGTGGCTTTTGCGTGCATTCCACAAGCCAACCATTTCTGCTCCATGTACGTACACCAGTAGGTCGGCCAACTACAGCTCAGCTCTACAGGAGCTCTTCCCGTTCGCTGTGAAAGAGAGACGGTGGGAGGTTGAGTGTGGAAACGAAGAGATGGTGGTCGCGTGCGTTCCCTCCCTCCACCACCACCACCACCCTCCTTGACCCTGTTTTTTTCTTCTGACAGCCACCCAATCAGTCGTGGCCGGAGCAAAAAAGAGAAACCCTCATCACTCATCCCGCTTCTTATGCATATGGTCAACATTATAGAACAGTATATAGTAAAGAGTCCTCCTATTTGCACTATAGCATATTCCTATTTAAACTATAGTAGTCTATACTACTAGCTAGACTAACCCCTTAAGTAGAATATCCTACACCTGCATACTATAGTATAGTATTATATACTAGAAGTTATTACTGTTAAGGAGATATTATAAGGTAAAGGGCATATAGGATTTACACTAAGGTATCTGCTACCTTTACTACTGCCTTTATTACTGTCTTTATTACTGCCTCTGCTACTGCAGCTGCCTCCTTTATTCTAGGATTATAATAAGTGCTGCTATTAATCTTGCACTATAATAGGTGGCTGGCTGCAATAAGGTTAGCTTTAAGGTTAGCTTTAAGATTAGCTGTAATAGTTAAAGATAAAAGCTGTGGCCTTATTATATAAAGATAAGCCTGCTATTACAGTTAACTACCTTATACTATAAGCGGGTGTATAGTAATAGACTTAATAGTGTATATGCAGGAATTTTACCTTATGCATAGACTACTATAGTTTAAATAAAGATATGCTATAGTGTAAATAGGAGGACTTATAGTAAAAGTAGCCTTCATGTAGTGTAACATACTCCCGCACCCAACACACATATACTACAGTACGATAAAGCCGCTATGCTTAGGTTCTAGATGTGGTGAGACATCATATCTGATGAACAAGATTACCGAAGATCCGATCGAGTCTGATGACTGCATTTCAAGGGCATGGCATATGGGGAACCGAGAGCTTTTCCAGGCTCCCGGTGCGTGGCTAGGAACCAAGCTGCCGGAACCAGATCTTTCAATGTGAGACATCAGAATCTAGCAATGGTCCAATGGAGATGCTGGTGAACCTGAGATTACGGGGTCCCTCACTTGATCTTTTCCCCTTGTCGTTGATAGACAGATTCTGCCCACCTAAGTGAAGCCCGAGGGCCAAGATTGACGTGCAGCTAAACGTCTTGTTCGTTCTTTCAAGACGTCCAACCTTGGAGAGGGTGTTTACTTCCAACCGGACTGTCCTCCATTCTAGAAACTTCGCATAGTCTCGCAACATTCTAGGAATGCTTGGTACCAAAACTATCCATCACGTAAAACTTTGAGCCGCTAGCTTGAAGCCAAGTTTACCTCATCGCAACATAACAATCCGGAATTTTAGACATACCTTTCCACGAGGTGCGTTGTCACAGGAACGACATGATTCGTCCAACCGCGCAACACACAAAAGCCCTTGGGGGAAGCCAATGTAAATCACTGTAGAAAATTCAGGGAATATGCAATCTCACCGTCAACAAGACTCCATGAGCATGTCATGCCTTGGCAACTTGTTACCAAAAAAGCCTTTCGGGAACCTGTCACCCATTCCGACTGCTCCGCCTCAAAAATCTGTCATGCAAGAAATCTTATGCCGCTCCGCTACTCAACCTTCATTTCTATCCTACCTAAGATCGCCTCGAAGAGTACTCCGTAAAGTACTAGTAGTATCCAATTGGTTAGAATAAACAAGCCAAAAATACATGGATTACACTCCGTAAGGCTGGCGGTGGTGCAAACTCTCTCTCGACTTCGCGCTTCCGCAGCGGACATTTCGTTCCGCCTCTGGAATTTAAGGGGGAGGGGGGGTAAAGGAGTGGCTACGGACTGCCCTCCGAGCAGAATAGTATCTCGATTCGATTTACTTTGCCGCGATCACAAAAGTCAGTCATGTTCAAAATATCCGTGAGATTTGCTCGAATGTGTTTCTCCGCGGCATGCATTTGAGGGCAAGGGAGGAACATTCTAGAGGGGACTCTGATGGAATTCGCATAATTCGATAGCAAGAGTCGCTATATGAACTCAAGCGTCAGGTGGCGCTGAGCCAAACGATTCGCAACTGTTTTAACCGTGGTTAGATTTCTCGATACGACTTCAAATCCAACAGTAGCCGAGTTACTGTGTTATGTTAGACTAACTGATACTACCAGTCATTAGGTTGATAGTCGCCGGTGTGTCGTAGCTTGATTAGAGACAGAGGGGGCTGACCACTTTGCAAGTCTGAGGTCGGGGCACCAAAGCGAGCCGCGTGTAAGTCTCGAGGATTACTGCTAGAATGCGGCACATCTTCTGACCCGTCGTATGTAGCGGTTCTTCTCAACACCAGTCGAAAATGACATACATGTTTCAGACCAAAACTCTATGCCTGAAAAACTAAAGGAGCAGAGACTTCATGTATATAGACGCTGATGATGAAGAGAATGCAAGAATGGAGAGTTTGCTTTGCTTCGTGCTTCATCTAGTAGACAAGATTCCTACCCAGAATCATGCCTCATTCTTGTTCTAGAAACATTTTCCAAAAGAACCTTCAAAAAGGTAGACTCCAACTTCAGGTGAGAAGTTCAGCAGAATGTCATAAGATAAGAACCAAAAGAAAAAAACATTCAAGTCTATAACCTTCAGGGCTGGTATCTATAGAGAAAGGGAATTCGTAACAGCATCATCAAGAAGAAAGCGAGAAAAAAAAATGTGCCACTGATCCATTCCCAACAACTTTTCCTTCTGTTCGTCCGTATGCAGAAGCATGAAGGGCCATGACGCGCCAGCCACGAAAGGTAAATAAGTGTCAGCTCATCATTGCTGGCATCCAAGAAAGGGACTCGAGTCCGGCAGCACGCCATGCTTCGTTAGCACAGTAGCTTCAGTTTCAGTGCTAGTGAAGCTGCGAATCGGCCATCATCCGAAGTTCCCCAATGCATCAGCGCGAACGGCAGAGAGATTGCCCTCACTTGAATGATGTGCAAGTAGAGTCAAACCTCCAATCACCGTTCCAAGCCTCACATGCAAAGGTCCTGCTAGCGAGACTTAGGTCCCCAAGTAGGTGGTGCCGGATAAAGTCGAATTTCCAACCTGGATGTGGTTGCTGACGCTCCATTGCGGCGGGAGCCTGTGCGCCTCTTGTGACCCTAATCGCTTGGCAGCGTCAGGGGTAGAACAAATCGCCTCGGCGTTGAGTGATCGCACACAACTACCAAAAGGTAGGAATGGTGTGGTAAATGAATTGGGAAGAAAATAAAAATGGTGAGTGAAGCGGGGGCGAAAGACGTTTGCTGAAGCTCTGTGCACCACGATAGAATCACGTATAGCGTAAAGGGGCGTCCTTCACGCTACAGTGTTTTCAAGGATATGTCGTCAGTGAAAGGGGAGGCTGGAGAACCGAGGAAAGTAGGTTTGTGTTGGTGATGGTTATCGTGAACTTGATGATGTCTCCGTGGTGGCCTCCTTTTGGGCGACGGCCATTGCGTGTCTGTGGGATTGTTGTGGAAGAGATACCACAACTCATGCCCGAGCATGGTCCCAGTACCGCTTGCGAGCCTTGACGGCTGTCGTGTTGCCTTGGAAGCGGTGTTGGAAAAAGTTGAAGACGGCAAACTCATCTCGGGTCATAACATATGCGTCGGGCTGTGCTTCAACCTTGCCCCAGATCTGCGACAGGGCCATATCCAAGATCTTGCTAACAGTTGGATCCGAAGCACCATCTGGGCTCTCTCGGGCAATCTCCAGAGCCTGGGCAACGGCGGCATCCTGCTGGGCCTGGTGTTGCTGAGCAGCCGCCGCCCTGGAGGCGTGGTAGTGGCGGCTACTCATGCTGGCATAGCCGAGCGAAGGGTCTGGCTGGCGATGCGGCATCGGGTGGATGGTTGGCGAGTGCTTGAGATGCTGCTGATATTGGTTTGTGGAAGGATGGACCGACAGCATCGTACTGAAAGGCTGATGAGCGTCGGTTGGGGCTGTGGGCATATATATAGTCGAAGGCGTGGGAGTACAAGCAGTTGGAGGAGCCGTACTGGCACGTCAGTGACCGGGGTCTGGCCAGGCTATATAACGCAGCTGCAGCGTGTAAATAGCGGGTGTTCCACTAGCAGGACGGGGACACGGGGCAATGTGCGGGACGGCGCCTCTTGCGAGTCGTGGAGGGATTGTCGATGCAAGTTCTTGCAGGAGTGTCGATGGACGATCAGGCTCTGGGCCAGGGAGGGGGATCCTTGCTTGGAAGGGCACACACTCCTGGCAGAACGTTGACGGCTTGGCGTACGGTCCGTGTGTGGGGGCCAAGAAGCGGGTGTGAAGCTCTGGTTGTTGTCGTGCGTCGTTGGTGTCTCTGGTCTGTGCGCGTCTGCAGGCGTGTCCCAAGAGGGGGTTTGCAGCGAGATGCAGCGGCTGCTCTGGGCAATCGGACTTATCGAGAACAGGGGGGGTCCCTTGTTATTTGGTGAGGGCAGCTCGAGGCCAGGCGTGAGTCGAGCAAAGCAGCAGAAGGAGGTCGTGGGAAAAGGGGGCGTGTTGCAGCTTCGACAATAAGGACGACGTATCAGAAAAGACCGACAAGATGTCTGAATTGTATTATTATCCAACTTCAGGACATTCCCCGCAGGACATGTGCCAGAGGATCTGAGGTTGAGGGTTGAGGAGCAATTCGACGTCCAGAGCGCTGGAGGAGATGACCAACTCTACTTATACTTTGTTTCACAGGTACGCTTATACGTGGGCACAAAGCGGTCATCGGTCGCCGGTCACCATGGAAAACAAAACAGCATTCGCAAATCACCTCGAAGCTTCGACTAGCGTCGAGCAAAAACGAAAAGCCAAATGGCGCAAGAGAATAGGAATAAAAAATTTTAAGTCGCAACCACAGCCGGAGCTGAGATGCTGCTGCCCAAACCAGTATGCCAACAATTTAGCCCCCAGCATACGTAGGTACCTACCTAACCCGTGCCGCGCGGTCTGGTGTCAGTTTGCCGCCCCCCCAGCCTTGATACTAAGACGCCTCCGGAGCAAGAGGAGCGAACAGCAAGTACTTACTGTAATAGATGCGCGTGGCAGAACAATAACCGGCAGAGTGACAGACCGGCGCAACTCAGATTGGTTGGTCATCATGGGCCACTGCACTGGAGCTGGGCCCGAGGTTCCGGGACAGGCGCCGACGGGGCAAAAAGTCAAAGATACGAAGTATGGGGTACAGGCGGACGGCAGTGGGTTGGCGCTGTTGGGTGACAAGCGAGGCGTCGAGACGCAGCCGCAGAAACCAGAATCAGAATCAGAATCAGAATCAGCAAGCCTCGAGCGAGCTCCGGCACTAAGCTGGCAGTGTTGGCTACCTTACCTACCTGTTAGCCACGCCGGAGGAGTAGGTACGAGAAGAAAGTCTAAAGGCAACGGCACGGGTCACTAACACAGTTGTGTCAGTCAGTCAGGTATGGACGTTCGACGACGGTCGACTCGACTCGACACCGAGCCCACAATAAGAGTCCACACAAGTACTGTATTACAGTGTCAGTGTAGAACAGCTCGATGGTTGGGGCTAATTTAGATCTGAGTTTTTTTAAGTTGATGCGATCTGTGCATCCAAAGGACTTGACTCTCCGGACGCCCTTGCCCTTGGCTGGTATGCGAGAAATGCTCAGCCGAATGTAATTGGGTGCACACACACGCACACACATACTTTTCGCAGCATGGAGTGACTCGCGACACGACTATATAGTTTGAGGCCAAAAGTCAGATTCGCCGCTGCCTGTTTGGGTTTCAATGCTGTCATTGCTTGCCTACCTTGGGTGTCCTGCCTTCTATTTCCAGGCCCATCTACAAAGGCTATTCGGAGAGCAAGGGCATTGAGCGTGAATTGTGCTCCACCAACGCTCGATTGCCTCTTGTTAGCGTTTGGCTCCAATGACTCGGTGGCTGGTCCAGTCCCTGATGAGAGCAGCAACTTCATATTGTTGGTTTTCCAGGTCGCGTTCCACTGCTCGCTGCTTCCTCCAGGATGCGCGCCTTGCGAGCCTCGACCATTGTTCATAGAGGAAGGAGTTGTTCAGTCCGGGCCGAAGTCCTGCAGTTCGGCAAGCAACACCATCGACGGTGGTGCCGTCACTGCATGAGTCGAGTACCTAGTATCGGCTAATTGTACTGCATTAATCGACGGACACACTCCAGGGAGGAAGGCCCGGAGCATCTATGAACAAGCTTCATACACCGCTCTTGCATTGGTATTTAGGGTGGCACGCAGGCAATCCGCCGTTTGCAGGTAAAACCATCGTGTGAGTGACTTACGTGTTGGTTGCGTTTGGAACTCTGCTGCGTTACACCATACATGGTCAACGACTCGCTCCCTAGCTGGCGAATCTCGATTCAGAACAGGCAGGCAGCCGCCAGAAGCTTTCTGTTTCTCACACGAGACTGCGTAGGAGGGGCCGCTAAGGTCGCCGCTTGGGGGCTATCGGTGTGCCTCACTTACGTGTACGCCTGGATCTCTTCTGAAACTTGCCTTTCTGTTACCTTGGTCCTGTTATTCTATTCTCTATCAGCCAATATAGGTAGCGACGTAGTGCATAGCAGCCTGACGGACTGATCAAGGTGTCTCCGGCCTTTGCTGCCTGCTGGTGTGAGGCTTGCATGTGCTCTCGTCGTCGAAACACTTCCCCGGACAATGTGAAATAAGCTTTCGCACCGCATTGCCCCTTGTTCAGGGTTAGTCTCAGCCCAGTGCTGCCGGAGCGGTCAAAGAGTGTCGCCCTGCTGCACTAATGCGGCACGTCATACTATGGACTGTCCGGCTAGGCGGGGTGCAAATTGCTTGTACATATGCATTTCTATGGTCTCTGTGGATCTTATTCCCCCGTCTTGTCGGAGCCGATTGCCATTACTATTTCCAAAGGACTTCGTTTGGATGCTTCCATGCTTGCGTCGAGTAATGCACGCGCGCCGCTCCTTCTACTCAGAGAATACGAGCAATGTAGATTGAGATGGTGAAACACGCGACTTTTTCTGAAAGTAATCTTCAGCCCAGCCCAAAGAATGCCAGCTTCAAAACCTTGGGCTTTCGTCACGACTGATACACTTTTTGCTGGATTCCATCGCAACTTGCGCGTTCTAGACGCGGTAGGCGCCTCGTGACCACGCGCTGAACTCAGCAGAGAGTGCCCGGATTCTTCACAATGGTACAGCTGAAGTGTACAGCAAACTTTAGTGAGCCGATGTCAGGATGCTTTCTGCGGAGCTCACCCTGAAGCTTGAGTTTATGGTCCAGCTTATCAGCCTCTTCCTCTTTTTTCTCTTTCAGCTCCCCATCCATCGTGCGAGATGCTCTAGGGCCCTGCTTACGGTACGCGAGCTCCTGTTAAAAAGTCCTCCCTTTGCCCACGTCAACAGCGCCTTCACATGGGGGCTAAGAATACGGACAGTGGAGAGAGGGCTGCGACGCCGCCAGAAACGTGGAAGCCGCCTCAGGCGCATTTACTCCGCAAAACCACGGCCACAATAGCAGCACATGGCCAGAGGATGGCAATTACGGTCTCTGCCGATATTCAGCGAATAGCAGCACTGCTCGGATCAAGGGGGCGGCGTTCGGACGCCTCGCTGAGCCAGCAAGTTGCACTTTCCCCCAGTCAGGAAAGACGGTCTGATGCCAAAAAGTCTATTTTCTGGGGGTCCGTCCATTGAAAACCACCACAATTCGTCTCTTTGCACTGCAATTTCTTTTCTTCTCCCGCCCGCCTGCATTAGCAACTCTGCCACGAAATTAACAGAGAATCGTGGTTCCTTTCTACTGGCTGCTTGCCTTGGCTAGTGAATGTGACCGTGGATCAAGTTGCAGGGCCTCCCGTCTGCTAGTCCGCACGCTGACGCCTTCGATGTACGTGTCTGGCGTCTGTCGTCGAAATCGCACATGCAGCATGCCTCTCTCTCAGCATCCGGTGACAGTCGGTGTAAGTCGGTGTCAACTAGCCTGCGCTGACCGACCGTCTCCGACTATTGACCTTGACTTGCTGTTCTCTGCAGTGCACAGAATGGTCGTGGCATGCGGGTGATGTGTGCTTCACTGGTGCTACCTACCTTATACCAACTTCATGCTGTCCGAATCGTTGCTCATTAGAGAAGGTAGGTTGCGGTCGAAATGTAAAGTGAGAGGCAACCTTGCGCTACGAGAGACCCCCAGATATCACTTTCAGTATACCTGACCAACGACGAGGACAGACGCAGACACTCTCGACGTTGTTCATGGCTCCGTGTGCCCACCTGAACTCCCCAAGTGGATCGGCATACTGCAACAACTCCCCATGATGGCCGTTGGAGGCTCATCAACAGCTGCTTCGCGCACACGCTAATGAATGAATAAAGACACAATGTCTTGATTGACGTTTGGGCTGTCTCAAGGCCCCCCCACCTTCGCAGATTGTAGTGGGCCAGATTCGATGCCGCGCTCCGTAGATGACGCCGAGAGCAGTCGCGAATTGCCTATTCTAGACCCCGGTCTGGGTGTGGTACGACTCGGCATGTGCAAGAACGTCCCCGAGTGCTCGGAAGCAAGTTTCCTTGCTCGTCGCGCCTTCTCCCAAGAGGCCAGCCATCACAGACGTGCAGCATTCAGGCGGGGAGGTGTGAACAAGTAAAGTCGTGGTTGCCACAATGGGATCAACATGGCGCCATCCAGCCTAACGAAGATTGAGACGTCGCGAGCATCTGAGCAAAATGTTCACTCCATCACAGTTTTTAGAGGCCGCTGTCAGGTTACCCGTCGCCTTTTTTTTTTCTGCTCTTAATACCGCTAGCTACCGAGAACCTACCGTTGCAGACTGAGGCCTTGCCGAGCCTCGGAGCTTGAGGCAGAATCGCGGGGAGTTTCGATACATTCATATGCTACTCGGTCGAGCAAATGGCGTTGGACAACTCCACCCCGAGGTGCGCTCGGAACCTTCGCACGC